CGGCAGAAGGCCTGCGAGCCCTAAGGAACTCAGTGATGCAGGGCCACAACAACACCTCGGAGTGGCTTTCCAGCTGCAGTGCTCCTTTGCTCCTTCCTGAGCATTCCTGACTTCCTGCAGCACCGGCCAAGGTTCGCCTTCCTGACTGGCATGATCGACAAGGCAAGCGAGAGTACGTGGGATGAGCTCGAAAGACTGCATCCAAGTCGTCGGCGTATAACACCCTTGCAGTGCATGAACATGAAGTGCTAGATCTCGGCGACACGCGTGTCTTAAGATTTCAACCGATGCCGTGATTCGAGTGCGCTTTGCAAACGTTTTGAGTGCAGCCAGTGCTCCTTTTGCATGCAATGAGTTGCGGCGAACAGAACATGTACGGAGCAAATTGCGGGCTTTTCTTGCAAAGACCACCCTGTCTGTCATCGACAGGTTCACCAGCACGTTGGCTTGGTCATCGGCGCGTTTATTCAAGAGATCTCAAGCAAAACTCCTGTGATGGGGATGGAGGCGCCTTGGCTTCGTGAATCCAAGGTCCGCTGTTTCTTGTTCACTGCAGCCGCTGCTCTATTGCACGAACCGCAAGTGATCGTTCGCTTTGCATCCAAGGATGCCATAACATCCGCGGCTTCGATGTCCGAACTGTCCGCGACATCAACCCCAACGGTTCCACCAGTGGGTGTCCGTGGTTTAACCAAAGACACCTCTGTATTCGGAAGCTCGCCGGCAATAGTCGCATCTTCGATTCCCTGCTTCATGGGGATGTTATGTCCAGCATGGACGCTGACAGGAGGATCTCGCGACCGCAGCAAGGACACTGCACTGAACGACTTTGGGCTGCAGAAAGGTGGTTGGGTTCACTCCTGCACATTTTTTGGCAACTGCACAAGGGCCGGTAACATTGATGGGTCCTGATGCCTCGCATGTTTGGACTAAAGCCCGTCTTCATCAAATCAGCCTTGCCGCAGAAGATGACACGATAGAAACTCAGCTGGACCTCGCAATCAGTGTATGACAGGCCCTGAACTCTGTGAATCCCGTACTACGGCAGAATTGCTTTCACAGAAGGCTCCGCTCGTCGTTTTCATTCATCAAGAGGTTGGGCCATTGACCCAGGATGTACAGCTCGCTGAAAGCTCGGTCATTGTCATGGCACGCTTTATAGTCAACCCTGCAAGATTTCCGTGCTTCCTGTGCGCCACTCTCAGGATATCGCGAAGCGACAGCTGACGCCAAACACTCCTCATGATTTTCAGAAGGTGTTCCCAATGAGCTCTCCATTCTTTAATATGCAGAGCAGTCCGCCAGAGCTGGGGTCTCTGTCGAGTGGACATAGTCTGCCTCTGGACTCTCGGCCGCGCACCCCGCAGCATCTTCCCGGCAGCGCATTGATGCCGCAGTTTACCCCTACGGCGGCATCCATGGCCAAAGCCTTAGCTTCTCCGAGTCCGAGTCCGCTTGCGGATCCGCGCCGTTCGTGGACTCTTCGAGGCTGGCTTCGACGGCTCAGAGCAGCTTGGCTATTATAAGACTTTAAGAGATAACGCTGTGATGCTCTCTTGTCGTTTCTAGTCGCTTTGGGTCTGCCGGTGCCCGCAGGAACTTACACGGCTACATCGCGCAGGTGCAGGCAGCACATGGCAGCACTTGTGAGATTCCGCCACAAAGCAGCTACAAGTTTTGACAGGCGGCAGCGGCAGCCCAGGACACTGCACAGCGCATGCAGGCAGGTGCATGCCATGCCTACTCAGAAGTCCCAGCTTAGTGAATTGAACCTGTGCACTTGTGTGTCCATTGCCCTCCAGCAGACCTTCCGAATGTTTCTGCAGATTGACTTTCTTGCTCAGACTTCGTGGGATGGCAAGGCTGTGAGTCGGCGATGCTGAGAGGGACGTGGTGCGATTCTTCGGTACCAAAAACGTGCACAGGAAAAATTCAGCGCGGAGCTCCTGGAGCAACTGGCTCGCGTGGGGCCGATGCACCCGGACCGCTGTCTGTTGATCGGGCCCTTTGTGCAGGGATTGTCCAGAGTCATACTCGCTACTGTCTTAGGTTTGTAACCTCTTCGTGCCCAGAAATTGCAAAGCTCAAATCTGATCGTGCTAAGCTTGATCCTCGGGTCTGCTGGCGTGCCCTCCAAAGACCTCTAAGAGCACGGCTCCAGTCCCTGGCGTTCTGGTAGATTTTGCATAGAGGGTTCCTTTGTAGTGCAGCAAAAGAGGCACATGTCCTGCCATACATCTCAAAGCATGCTGCCAGAAAATCGATCGAGAGGACCAGCATCTCGCCGCTCCACGTGTTCCTTTGTATCTGAGCACTCCAGAACGGACGCCAATTCACCCGGGACTTTCAGTTTCAGGCGCTGCAGCCGTCCATTGGCTTGCCGGTAAATCTCTGATCTCGGTGCTTGTTTTTGGGGGGGTTCCTGTCAATTTCCTCATTGACCGTGCGGTCTGCTCTGTCTGTCACCTTTGTCCAACCAGAAAGCACGAAGCAGAGGAAGCCAAGCTTGAAGCGCCATGTTGCTTGCAGGTGCTGATCCAGGACTGCTGGCGGCACATTTAGCTCAGACGAGTGTGGCACAACAGCAGGTGGGCTGTGTGGTTGGCATCCACAATTTCAATCTGTAGCACCGGAGTGCACAACGGGGTCTGCTCGCTGATCGAGAGAGCCGAGTGCAGAAGCCCTGCTTCAGAATTTCGCTCCTCGACCTGCAGGTGCTGCCCACGATGTGTCCACCAGTGCCAGTTCTGGATACGCCCTTGCTACCGGAGGGCAGGACGGTTCGGGGCGTTTTGTTTTGGAGGTACTAGCACGCTTCTAGCAAAAGTCCACTCCTGTGGATTATTCCTTAGAAGTTAGAAGGCTTGCTAAATCTGCCAGGAGGCTGCTGCCAGCCACGCGACTCACTAATCGTTAGAAGTGCAGCTGCGCTAAGCCAAATGCACGTGCAGCCCGGAGATCCCAGGCTATTTTTATGCAAGTCTTCGCTTACACACCGCCCCATGTAGCTGCAAAGACAAATTGCTGGGTGACGGCAAGAGTATCCGACATACGAGGCACCCAATCCCAGTTTCCCAGCCATGCACTCCGATGGTTGGCAGGTTAGCATGAGGCAGCAAGCGTTGACCAGCGTCGTCTTAGGGCTTGACGATCCTGAGGGTCGTTAGGATGCCGGGTGCCCGGGATAGTTTTCCCAACTTTCATGATCCAAGGGTTCGCGCTCTCAGTCCGTCTAGTGGCCCATTGCAGACCATGATCCACGTGGTGACCACATCCAATGTGTAATGCAAGTCTGTTCCAGGAACGTTGTCATCTCGAAGGGTACCATTGGCCATCCACACAGCTGCCGCGGCTTGGGGTGCAAGTTTGCATCCAAAGAACGAGGTTGCCGGGAAGGCAGGCCATGTTGCACGCTGATTGGTAGGCCCCCGCCTGTGAAGACATGACTGCTTGCAGGAGCGGATTGTCTGCGCTGCCACCTTTGTATCTGGAGCCGCGGGATTAATAGCAGTTGAGTCTGTGTGGGCATACATGGTCCCGGGTCCCCCCCAGGATTTCCACCCGTTTGCCCCCAGGGCTGTTTGCAACATCAGTCATAGGCCATAGAGATCGAGCCTGTTCGGGGTGTGATCCTCGTCACCATGGTCGGATGCGATCGTCACCACGATTAAAACAATACCAAAACCTGATGGTATTGGACATCTTACCGTCACATTGCTCGTGACTCTCGCAAGTTTTCGGCATGCGAGGCAGCTGCACATCTGTGCACGATGGTCTTTGCATTTCATGGAGGCAGGTTGCGGAGACGGTTCACACCGGAACAGAACCCACCACCCAAACCACAGGACGGATGAACGAGGCGACAGGTGTCCATGCAATGGGGCCCGCATCAGCCAGTGAGCCAGTGCTTCTGCACACCGGAGAACCGCACCAAAGCGAGGGTAATGCCATAGGGACCGGGGCACCATCCACAAGGGGAAACGGGGACACCACCACTCTTAATGGTTCATATATATATATATATATACCTATATACCTATATACGCATACATGCAGACCCACACGTATCGCTGTGTGTGCGTGTCTGTCGTGCTGCAGACCAGAATGCGTCAGCCATAAACGGTATTGTGCGGCATGCTGCCGTTTTTGCACGCACCCGCCGTACCCGCATGTTAGTCTGCACGGAAGGAGCAGAGCTTCGGAAAAGGCCGCAACTGACCAAGAGAAAGCAGCTCAACTCGCCTGAGAGGCGCTTTTCTTGGCGCTTTAGTCGGTGCTGATCAGGTTCAAAGTCTAAGGCTTTGACCCAAGGTGCCTCAAAGCATGGTTTTGAGGCATGCACTCCGGTCGAACGGTGCGGAGGTACCATGTTGCCGGGTGCTTGACACATTTGTGGCAAAGCGGGCACCCGACAGGGAAGTGTAACATGGATAGATGGACTGGTGTGTTTCACGATGTGCAGAAGAAATATATGAGCAGCAGACCGTCCACCACTCCGTCTGTCTGTTACACATCTTGGAATCTTTTCCATACTGGTGCGAAGAGGATGATGATGTGTCTTATGCTGCAAGCAGTTTGACAGACTGAATTTATGTAGATCTTTCTCTGCACTTTTGCTCGCGCTGTTTTCCACGATGACTCGTCACGATGACCCTGCAAAGTGTTTTCCACGCTCGTTGGCCCTCTCTGGACCAGACGAGCTATTTAGAAGCAAGGCTCAAAAATCACACAGTACAGTTGTTTAGATATCAGCAGTTAGCATTGTTTCTGAAGCTTACCGTGAGCATTTCCGCGTTGCCGGTCTCACCCAACTTAATCTTCATCCAGACTCCTGCCTGAGAGTCTGTGAGTGGAGGCCACTGGAAGCCAGCGACCGTCCCGCGGAGATTGTTGTAAAATTCAGAGCTGGGCGATTGCTGCTTTGTGGGTGTCAATGCTGGTTTGGGTTTATGTAGGTGGCACTGCCATTGACAGGTGCATTTTCGGCCCCGTTTCCCGAGGCACGGCTACTGTCTTCCGTGGATGCCGGCTCCGGCAGGCCATCCGTTCTTGCCCTTCAGAGCTCCGGAACTCTGTCGTGCCTGGAGGTTGTCCTTCAGCCAATTCCAGCGCGCGTTGCAAGAGGACCCAGCCGTCAGACACAGCACAAATTCCTGTGTATATAGTTCTGGATGGAGGACTCGGCGCCACTTGCTGAGGCATCTGTTAGCATATCTCGACAAGCAGCATCGTATCATCGTATCATGATGTGTCGTGTGGAGTTTTGTGGACTATCGCGTTCTTCTTCGTGTGTGCTTCCTCGAATTTGAAGGCTGGACTGCCCAACGTTTTCGTTGACCAGGTCATGTGCAGTTGTCCTGCATGTGCTATTGCCAGCGGTATGTGAAGAAGATCTGGTAGAGGCAAAAGCAATTATTGCCGATAACGGCGGATCTCCGCTGCCCCCAGAAGAAAGAAGAGGCATGATGGCGCTTAAATGTCCACGGCTGCTCTTTATCGATGCCAGCGACAAGCGTAGGCGATAATAATCGCCCACGGACGGACATTTCCAACGAGGATTTCGTGAAGGCGCAACGCATTGTGAAGTCTCCCTGCCTAAGCCCTAAGCTCAGTGATCCCGAGGCTGGCATCTTCGCCAGCAGGGTGCAGGCGGCACCGTCGGCTGTCTTGTCTGCTCCAGCACCCTAGGACCATGGTCCTATCCTTCGAGGCCCAGGGACCTTTCAGTGGCAGCGTCCTGGTCCCGACCAACGATGCCTCCGCCGCGAATCCACTGGCACAGAGAGCAGGGGAACTCAGTCTCGGAGACAGCACGAGAAAACGGTTGACTCCGCGGGGATTTCACCAGGTGCTGGCACAATCAGACGATGAGCTTGCAGGCAGAGTGCAGGTTATGTCATTGCGGGGCCCAGTCTAGGTGGACATGATCCGTGTGTCAAGCCAGCAGAGACAGCGGTGCAAGGGTAGAGCACGATGCGCTGAGCGCGCGGTGCCACCCATGTTTGTTCCGACCAGGAACACGTGAGATGACACAGACTGCAACACGTGCCTCTTGCTTCTTGCATGTTCTTTTCTGGCCGCTGACTTGCTGAGAGCAGGTATGTACATTGGCGGTGAGCTGGATCGCTCAGGCCATGTGCCGGCTCACATCATAGACGAGTGGGGTGCTTTCTGTAGCGAAAACTGCATTATACTGCCATGGCACAGGTTATGAGCAGTACCTCTCGCAAATAGGCCTCGGGCCTCCGGCTCGGTGAATTCCGTGCAGCAGAGAAATGCGGGTCGGATTCGCACGAGTACGTCTGAAGTGACTACCGAGGTTGGACTCGGAGGTGCAGAAGCTCATTTCTACGCACGAGAGGGTGCGGCCAAGCATGCACGTCGTTCGAACACATCTATGGTTCGACTGCATCTCTCCCTAGCGATGCCACTCTGCAATGCGCATATGTTCAGTTCATACGGAAATACATACCATGTGTAAAGAGTCCTGGCTGCATGCACGCCAACCTCTGCATCGTTTAAATATGCTGTCAATACCAGTGTTTTCCTGGTTGATGTTGGGGTCGGAAGTGAAGCAATGATCTCGCGCAACATTTGTTACTTGTCTTGGATGTGGTAGACATGGACCGGATGATCTCAGGTGGCATGGATCCACCGGTGGCAAGAGACACCTGTTTTGAATACCAGTGCATGTGGGGTTGTCGATCGTGGGCAGGGGTCGCCCGCATACAGGCAAGTGGGGGTGACGGCAAGCACATTTCTCTGCAGCAACAGCCAATGCAGCTAGTCCTGGCAGCGCGAGCCACGCTAGTGAACACACATGAGGGTCCGGCAACACTGACAGCATACAAGACGAGTATTCACGATAATCTTGCCCCTTTACAATACTTGGGAGCGATGATTCTTCGTGGTTGTGCCTCGGGTGCCGTTGCCAGGCCGGTGTCAGTTTCTCCGCTCTGTGCCGGGCTGTCATGGCCGCTTTGGATGCAATGCCTCGTTCCAAGACCTGAGGCCAAAGAAAAAGTTTGGGGTTTTGGGCTTGCAATTTAAGTTTAGGCCTCCATGCACTGTCGTCCCATCTCCATTTGGACCGTGTACCAATGCCAGAAGATGTTTGTTGTGCTGGCTCCAGCTTATCGCATGGGTTAGTTGCAGCAACGCGTGCAGCTGGGATGCCGTGACATGCCTTTCCTCAGCACTGAGTCAAAGCTGAAACCGTGGTTTCAACGTAGAACCAGTGGCACCTGCATCAATGGAGCATACCCCCCATCGGAGCAGACCAAACCGTTCAAAAGCTATAGGTCGAGAAGCTACTGCTCGTCACATCTCGATCTAGTCCAGGACTATCAGATGTCTTTTGCAATGATGGCTTTCTGGCCGCGTAGCAGAAGCATCGCGTCCGGCACCCACGATTGCGAAGAAACGCAGTGGGAAGAGGTGCATTGGAGAAGAGACCCAGGTGCTTGAGATTCGGTGTGACATCTGGAGATGAGCCACTCACCTAAATCGTGCATAGCATCGCTATGGGACCTTCGCGTTTTCTCAAGGCCAAGGCGGAGTGCGTCATTGCTTTGTGGCTGATGTGCTGCAAATGCAAGGTGCAGATGGGCACAAGAATGATGCGGCAGTCAGCGAAGACCTGCCTCGTGCCCGCAGGTGGTCACGGTTCAGACTCTCACCGCACTTAAGCCTTGAGCACTCGATTCCGTTCACCTATTCAGCACTTTCCTAGCAAGACCGAAGCACTCGCCAATGGGGACACCCGGATGAGCCCCAATATCTGAGCAAGTTGGCGGCTTGAGCAGCGAACAGAAGGAACCATTACGTGATGTGGGAAGCCCGTCGAGTCCCATTCCCGACCTCCGAGTATCTACAGAAAGTCCGGGCAGGGACAACGTGCAGATAAATCCTGAGCTTTCTATCTGTCATGCTTTTGCATCCTTTCGCCCTCCTGAGTGGCCAGCATGGTGTCATGTTTGTTATTCTCGGACATGCTTATATGAAGATGATGCATTATGCTGGGAAGCTCGCCTGTGTGACTGCCGAGCAAGGTCGCCCTCGAAGTCCAAGCGTGCTACCACGAAGCCGCGAGGGACTGTTGCAGAAGCCTCGAAAGTGTCAGGATTTATGTGCCGTCGCTGTTGTGGGTTACTGAGCGACTATTGCAGAGTCCGTCGGATGTGCTTGAGGTCGCCGGTGCCACCGGCGCGCCTGATGGCTCACCCAATCCGCAGCATTGATTGCAAGAGAGATCGGGTTGTTGACAAACGGCCTTGCCAAGATGAATGCTATTCAGTGAGAAGACGGGCGATGCAAAACGTTTGTTGCATTCAACGCCTATCTCTTTCGAGCATGTGATTCCTCTCAAGCGATTTTGTGGATGCCCAGGAACAGCATCAGAGTGGCTGTCCGCATTCGGCCCTTCAGTGCCAGCCCCTCAGGTGAAGCGAGTCGCACGTGTCACGTCGCTGTAGCTGCACTGTAGCTTTGTAGTAGTGAGGCGAAAGAGCTTGGGGAAGGTGGATTGGCGGAAATGGCGGCCAAGCTGCATAGCGGAGCCCGCGAGTGGATCGGCCACTGATGCATGTCCTTTAAGCAAGAACATGTTAAGATGCATCCACGGCTGGAAGCACTCATCATTTCATTTCGACCCAGAGGTCCTCGACATCGTGGAAACTACAGCGTGAAGCCAAGGGTTCTGCAGGGGGTGAAGTGGTCACGAGCGTTCGAGAAGCGTGTTGGACCTGCAGTTCCTGTATGGCGCGAGCAGTGCATGTCGGTTATTAAGCTTCACAGGTCATTTCAAAGGGCGTCGATCGCTACGGTCACGACAGCGACTATGTCAAGCCGAAGCAGTTCACCTTCGATGCGCTGGCATGTTTTCAGTGCTACTGAGTCCTGCCTCCGTCCGTGAAACAGCCGCTTCATTCTGCAGTCTTGCACACAAAGAGAGCAACCAGCGTCGATTGATCGTTCGAGGTTCGAAGGGCAGCTTCATTGACTGATTTGGCCAGGACTCGGTTTTCAACTCGACGGATCCTGGCGTGGAAGAGGGCTCTCAGGCCCAAGTGTTCCAGGACAGCCCGAAAACGGTCATAGCAGTCAACAACAGCTTGCATAGTACCGGACTTGGGCTTATGAAGAGGGGCTGATTTGATAATGCCAAGAACAGACTGAATGATGTGGCTGCGCTGTAGGTTGCCTGCAGCATGTACCATGCGTGAGCCTGTCTGAAACTCCACTCCATTTGACTGTGAGATTGAGAACTTGACAAGACGCATTTCGCTAAAGCTGCCCGCAAAGACTCATGATACATCACAAATGGGCTCGGCCGTCGCAGGAGCTCGGGATACCCATCTTGGAGAACGCGTTGGATGCTTCTTGGCTATGTGTGGACGTTCCATGCTGTTTTGATCAAGCTTCCATGGTGGGCGAGCCAGTGAAAAAGGTTACAGTTGCACGGGAAGCATCTTCCTGTTTCCTGATGTATCGTGGCAGTACTGCAATGCAGTTGAGATGCTCAGGCTTACAACGGCTGCATCATGGCCTATGGGCAAACCGGTTCCGGGAAAAGCTACAGTGTGCTCCGCACTCAAAGCACTGGTTGACTCCCGGTTGGCTTTGCAGGGAGCTCATGGTGCGTGTCTCGTGAGAGTCCGTTGCCACAGCGCAGCTGTGGTGTTCTCAAGCGTCAGTTGGCCATACGGAGCAGAGCTGCCAACGTAAAATCCAGCTGAATCCTGAAACGCAGCTGCATGCAAGTTACATCATGCAAGTCGCGTTGGGTCAGATGCGAAGATTAGCGCCAAAAGGAGCGGCTCCACACAAAACTTGGGGGCTGGGCTTGTGCCATGGCAATGCAAGTCGCATATCGCCCACCAATCAAAGACCATGCTGATCGCGTCCAGAGTGACTTGATCACTGAGCCGCGCTCGCTGGGTGCTCTGAGCGATCATTTGGACAAGGTGCTTCGAGAAGATGTCTAGACAACGTGCCTGCCTATCATTTCTGTAGTGCAATGATTCCATGTCCTGCCGTCTGGGAGCGATTCGTCCCCTTAAGTTAATTAGGTTCTAGGCGGAGCTGCATGCAGCGGAAGCAAAGCTTGTCATGGTCAACTTACAAGTGGGATGCTGTGGTGTAGCAGTGTAGCACCTGCAGCTTGCAGTATCATTACGATTAGGAGAGCAGTGTCTATGTTCTGACCACTCTGCTGCAACAGCTACTGATGCTCTGTCGCTTACTCGTCACAGTGCTCGTCGTCGTCACAGTTCTCGTAGTCCTCGTAGTCGTGCGGACAAAATCGGCATTCGAGCACTGGCATCGTTATGGTAGTAGTATTGTGGTCGTCGGTGCAGTTGTAGTTGTAGTAGTTGTATCGGGCTGAGTAGTAGTAGCAGCAGTAGCCGCAGCAATATTCGTAGTAGTTGTAGTAGTAGTAGAAGTAGTAGACGTAGTAGAAGTAGTAGTAGTAGTAGTAGTAGTAGTAGTAGTAGTAGTAGTAGTAGTAGTAGTAGTAATAACAGTAGTAGTAGTAGCAGTAGTAGTAGTAGGAGGAGTAGGAGTAAGAGTAGGGGTAGGAGTAGGAGTAGGAGTAGGACTAGGAGTAGGACTAGGACCTAACTAGGAGTAGGAGTAGGAGTAGGAGTAGTAGTAGTAGTAGTAGTAGTAGTAGTAAAAATAAAAATAAAAATAAAATAATAATAATAATAATAATAATAGTAATAATAATAGTAATAATAATATTAATAGTAATAATAATAGTAGTAGTAGCAGTAGTAGTAGTAGTAGTAGTAGTAGTAGTAGTAGTAGTTAAGTAGGCGGTAGTCAGTACTTAGTAGTTAGTAGTTAGAATTTAGTAGTTAGTTAGTAGGTAGTAGTCGTCGTCGTCGGTAGTAGTGGTAGTAGTGGTCGTATTGGTAGTAGTGGTAGTAGCGGTAGTAGTGGTAGTAGTAGTGATAGTGGTAGTATTGGTAGTAGTCGTAGTAGTGGTGTGGCAGTAGTAGTCGTCGTCGTAGTCGTAGCAGTAATTGTAGGTGCAGTCGCAGGCGTAGTTAGCCGGAGGAGGAGGAACAGTGAAGCGTAGTGGTAGTGGTAGTATGCAGTGGTAGTGGTAGTATGTAGCAGCATTGGTACAAATAGAAGAAGTAGAAGTAGAATGAGAAGTACAGCCGATGATAGTCCGAGCGCCAACGGTCGTACTTACAGACACATTGAAAACAGCTTAAGTCCTTCGTCGGATTGTTTATAGCCATCGGTATTGGCAGTTGCGACTAGCCGACAAGCCGGAGCGAGGCGAAGCAACCGGGGCGGGGGGCGGCGGACAACAGACACAGCTCAGCCGTGGCTCGTGAGTGACGCTGTAGTTCAGCTTTTCGCACGGGCCCTCACCGCCTGCCATAGCCGCAGACCAGAACTTCTGCCGACTATGAATACCCGTAAAACGTGTTTGTACAGGCATCGTGTTGGAGTTTCAATGCCTCCAGGAGACCAAGAGCTCTCGCGAGTCTTTGCTCGAAGCGACCGGCTGGAAAATGCAGCTGCTCGGCAACAAATTTCCGCCGGAATCCCAGTGTGGAAAGGGTTTCTTGCTGGATCTGATGGTGTTGACGGGAGTCTGTAACAGTATTGGTTCCCAGTCCTCGAACATCCAAGACTTCTGATACAGATACACACACACATATGTATATACACACACATGTATACACATGTATATACACGCATACACATGTATGGTCACCCCCAGCCATGACATACCATACCCGTTAAAACCTCGCTTTCACCGGCGATTCCGGCCTTTTTGTAGGTTCGGGATTGAAGCCTCTTGCCGCTGGCCTTGACCATATATCTATGTCTATGTATACATGTGCATACGTAAATGCACGTGTGTATTTGTGTGGGTATGTCTCATATCATAATGTCTCATGCCCCCCGCCCTCACCTAGGTTTCCCCCCTTAGCACATAAGCCCTGGTGCTTCCACCAACCGGCTAGGCAATGCAACGGAATGACTGACCCATCTTCCAATCTCGCACACTCAGACTACAGGGAGGGGGAACCAGAAAATGGCCGGGTACAAGGTCAGGGCCGGCCCAAAAGTAAGCCCGGACGAAGCCCCCGAAATAAGCGCGAATCAAGCCCGACACAAAGCCAGAAAGAAGCCATAACGCATGTATTGATCGTGCAGCTTTCATGATTTATGTCTCTAGCCGATGAGGCGGACCGCGAGTTGTTTCCTGGTGTTGGATTTGTTCTGTATACTTTGACGCTGCTTGCCCTGCCCCTGTTGATGGTACTGGGCCGGATTTGGCACTACTACTAGTTACTAGTCACGAACGTGCGTGGTAGAGGTCGGCAGTTTACTCTGGCACAACGTGTTTTCCAAGCATTCTGCGAAGTTATCTTCACATCCGAAGCGCTCAGCAAGCTGCCAGGTTGCGGGACTTCGTGCATCTAAGCCTTGGTCCAGGCACGTGACACGCCGAATCTTCAGGGATTGACTTAAGTTTGGAAGATCCAAGATATGGCTCCTCAGCATGGCTCCATGCCGCAGGTCTGAGCTCATTCCGGACAATGGTGCCCTTGCTGCGATTTCATTAATTAATAGCTGTCCTGCGCGTTGAGCGCTGTCTTAGTGCCGTTCCATTAGCTACACAACGAAGAGGAGTAATCAGCCGAGGTGTCTTCATCCCGGCGCGTGAACATGCAACCGGATGTTGATGCGAGCCGCTTCCCAACGCCTGAGCAGGAGTGCTTTTGTTTGTATGTTTGTGTGTGTGTGTGTGTGTCTGTACGTGATTCTGATATGTGTGTACATGACATGACATGGCGTCACATCACATGGCATGACATATACACATAAACGTGCGCACATGCTTGCACATATGCATGCTTTCATGTGCTCATTGGCCCTTGTACCAAATTTTAAGTGCAGTGTCATCCCAGTGCGCTCCAGGAGACAACTTCAAGCCTCAGGCCTATTAGAACCCTTAGAAAAAATCTCCGATACACTCCAAAATCAAGCCCTCAGCCCCACTAGCAAAGGCCGCAACACCCTCAAGCCTCAGGCCCACTAACATCCTTGGAGCAACTTACAAATAAACAAATGAAATCTAACCTCAGGCCTTCGGCAGGCGCCGCAGAAGGCTTTAAAAACAATCTAAAACCAAACCTGAGGCCCAGTAGCATCCTTTGCAGATGCTCCAAGTCCCTTCAAAACCAAGCGAATCCTCAGAACAGCCTCCGAAACCCTTCAGAACCAAGCCTGAGGTCTCCTCTTGTTATCCTCTGTTCGGTTAGAATTGACCATGTGCAGAAGTTATCTGCACAAAAAGCAGTGCCGAACCCGAAACACTCCCCAAAAATGCCGAAATGCTGTATTTCGTCGGTGACAGTGCGACATCATGCAGCCTCCTCTGTCTATCTTTATATATGTATCTGCAGACCACCGCTTCAAAAGCGCCTCATTTTTGCGGAAGGCGAATTTCTTCCAGTAATCGCTTCTTCAAAAGTCACGGAGTGCCCAGAACATCAAAATACGTGGCCTCACCAGTGGAGTTTTGAAATGATATGACTTGACAGTTCCCGAGCAGTCCCGAGCAAGTTTTTCTGCTAGCATTATTCACTGGTCCGGATACAGGCAGGCCTCGATGCGGTTTAGGCAGCCTCCATTTCAATGAACACCGATGAAAGTCTCGCTGCGTCATGTCTGGTTGCCACAGCCCAACCCCACTTCCAACTCCTGTTCGTTTAGTGGAAGTTACGGCATGGCAGATTGTGCTGGAGCCACAAGCCATTCTCGCGGTCAGGGCTTCAAATCAAAGCATGGACGGACCAGCGGAGTATTTTCTTCACCGATTGAATTGATGCTACATAACAGTGTGTGAGGAGTTCCAAGCATGTAATTTCCGCTCTGATCCTGGGGGAAGAAGGGCCTCCATGTCAATGACAACGTAAGTGGGTCCAGGCTACGTCCAACGGAAGTGTCTGTCTTGATGTCTGTGGCCTCGCCTATCCGTTTCCCGATTCGACACATCAGCTACCTTTGTCTGTCATGTATCTATCTCTCTGTTTGTGTATGCATCTATGCATCTGTCCATCTATCTGGCTGTTTCTTGGCTTGGGCATACATATAGACTATAGACAGGCATGGACCCACATGCAGACACAGCTGCAGACACAAATACAGACGCAGATGAAGATGCAGACGCACCCACACAGAGACGCACGGAAGCACAGAGAGACACACAGAGATATGCACAGACACCGCAATGACACAGACATGCACAGATGGCGCAATGACGTAGACACGCACAGACATGCACAGACACCCATAGACGCAGACGCAGATGCAGACGCAAACACAGGTGCAGACGCAGACACAGACACAGACAGACATACACGCATGCACATGCATGCCTGCACATGCACGCAAACTGGTTTTGTTTGTTATTGTAGAGTGCTGCTAGGCTGCTGGGCAAGTCGGGGGAGCCGTGAAAGCTCGGGGCACTCCACCAGGACCCACCTTCCAGCCCATGCGCTGGAAGAAGATTCCTGCGCTTCGGAGACACTTGCTGCACGCAATTCAACACAAAGTTCGGCTTCAGTTCCTTTCACGTAGATTCGATTGAAGGGGCATGTGCATAATGGCCAGTGGAACAGAAAGACATCCCATGAAAGAGTTGCGTGTAAGGTTTCGAAAAAGCGTTGCTGAGGATCCGAGTTTCATCTCGCCTCCTTCTTCATATTCACTTTCGGCCAGCTCGCCAACTTCCCCGACATCACCGGCATCTACACAGTCATGTTCGCCACGAGCTACCAGTGCTCCGCCTGCGTGCGTGCCTTACACCTTTGAGCTGATGTTTTAAGTCCTCGGCTTCAGCAGGCCGGCAAGCCTAAGACAGGTTTGTAAGCAATACGCCGAACGAGCACTTTATGTGTCCGCTCTCAACTGTCAGGTCATGTGTGTCAGAGGCAGCTGAAGAAGAGGAAGAAGAGGATGACGAGAGTGACATGAAGTTTGTTCAGGCTTCGCTGATTGTCTGCTTTTGAGCAGAAATGCTTCACTGTGTGCTGGCCACAGAATCCATGGACTTGTGCGGATCCCCAACAAAAGACGGCAGATACTGTAGATTTGACAGATCTGGCACATGAATCCTGCGTCATCGCAGGCAGTCACCGATCGCCGTCACAGAACGAAACTGCGCTACAGTGTGGCTTGCGCACGCAGTGTCGATGCTTTGCCATCCCTGGAAGTCATCAGGCTGTGACTCTGAGTGAAGGTAAGCGTCGGTGAGGGAAGCCGATTACATTCTGTGCAAGACTCCTGCAGCACTCGAAGGCCGCAGAAGTCCAGCTTGTGGCTCCGGAGGAGGCCGCCGCAGACAGACGTTGGGCAAAGTGCAAGCTGTCATCGGCAGGCGAACAACCAGTTCGGGATCGGTCCACAGTGGCGGCGAGGATGATCAGGAGCCGAAGACCCCGACTCTGGGAAGGCGTCCGGTAGTGTTCTGCTTTTGGCACGCAGATGGCAAGCGGCGAGCGCCGAGTGTTGCGCACGGTCCCTTTCTTTTGAAGGTCCCTCAGCGCCGACATTCAGACAGGTGCATGGGGAAGGAAGAGGGAGCGACCTGCTTGCTTTCACGGTGGCCGCAAAACGTGTTTTGTAATCCGCATTCATTCATCCAGACGGGCAGTTGCTTGAGTCTAGCATGCTGACGGTAGCATCTGTTCATGACCTGCCAGATTGGCTTGCGATCTGAAGCTCCCAGTACCTCTGAACTGCGGTGCGAAAGGTTGACGGGACATAGCCGGCGGACTGCTCAGGAGCCGTGTACCATCGTGTACCGTTTGTTCCGAATCCCGAAAGATGGCTCATTTACCTTGCATCACTAGCTGCGCTCCCGTGGCAGCCGCTTGCCAAAGATTTCGATGCCATGCTTGCAAAGGTTCTTCGGACAGTGCCTATTTCTTTAATTTTGAACACCGTTGCAACCTGCAAGCGTCTTTTGGCCAAACATATTGTGAAAAATTAGGATCGCTGCAGACAGCATAGAGAGCGAAGCAACTGGCGGAGGAGCTTTGGCAAATGCTCAAAGGCGACCCTACCACTAGTTATCGGTTGTTGCTTTGAATGCCAGATACGTTACTTTCAGTGCTGAACTTTCCAAGCATCAAAGGCATCCCGAGCTCCTCAACAAAAGCCTAAGGCTGCAGTAGCCAGCTTCTGCCAACAGAATGCCTGTGGATGTTTTTGCCAGCTGTCGTGGCCGATGTCGCACGGAGCCCACATATATCTGTATTTACATAAATCTATGTATACTACATGGATAGACAAACAGCCAGATTTGGGTTTCTATCTACTCACGTCTTCATGCATGCAAGCATCATGTATCATGTATCCATCCATCTATCGCTATCTGCCTGTCCGTCCGTTCATCCATACATCCGTCCATCCATCCATCCGTCCATCCATCCATCCCTCCCTCCATCCATCCCCCCATCCATCCGTCCGTCCATCCATCCCTCCGTCCGTCCATCCATCCATCCATCCATCCATCCATCTTTCCATCCAGTCATCTCTCTTGCTCTATACATGTGGTTTTGACCCCGCCAGCACATCAAAGATGCCAACTGAACACTGTTGCGGCCGGGTCCCGGAGCGACGTGTCATGGTCATGGTGGCAATTCCGAGTATTCCGTTGCATGTGTCACTTCAATATACAGGTCTGACATCTTTGCAAATCTGCTCCTCGCAGGTTGCCCATGGTTGCCCTGCGCATACTCAAGAGCGCGGAAAGCACGAACACGGGGGTTCGAGGGTGTTGCTGAAGCCCGGCTGAAAGCCCTGATTTGGCCGGCCGAGGTCTGCTGTTACCCTTGGAGAATTCGCGAAAAACCTTTAACAGACCGCGCACGGAGGGAGTTCTGCCCGTTTTGAGGCAGAGGGCAGTTTTAGTGTTTGGGCAGCTCCAGCAAGCGACCTGTCAGAGAGACTCGAGACCAATCCAAGAGCAATTTCAGAGAAACGACGCCGTCTCAGACAGGTCGTGGTCGGGTGAGCCAGTGCGATGCGACAGGAGATCGGGTGCCTCCATACATCGTCGCGCCAATTTAAGTTTGTAGCACTCATTGCTGAGCACTGCTGGTCAGCCTAAGCTGCGCGGAAGCAGTGCATCAGTGTCAAGTTCCAACAGATACGAGCCTGCCAGATCGAAGAGGCTTGGGGTCAGTCGAACTGTGCCGCTCGTGGCTGTCGATGCCATTTCTCTTCAGGTTTTCTTGTGACTGATCTGTTAGTTTTGATGAAGAGTACGTCTGAGTCTGGGCATTTTCCCCCAGTCTTCATGTTGAAAACAGAGATGTGTACAGATCATGGACCAGCTTGCATGCAGGAAAGAATTACTTTTATCTTTCTGCACAGGGTCGTCCTTTCCAAGGAAGGACGTGCCAGAGGCGCTAATCGAACCAGAAGAGAAAACTTGTTCAGCGGGCTGCAGCATACAATAGAGGCACTCCAAGCTAAGCAGTGCGCAAAAGAGATCATCAGCTTGGCTTCAGGTTGGGCGACCCTGCCAGCGAGAAGGAACAGGGCTTGCTGCCTGGAGCTCAGCAGCAGCAAGGAGGGTAGTGTTTGTAGCGCAGTCTAGCTGCGCTGCCACATGATCTCTTGATTCCCCAAGAAGGGGAATGTGCGGTCTTTGCGCAACACCTCAGATCCGGTGGAAAGCGTTTGAAGCCGAGCGAGTGGCAAGCCGCAAGGCCACGGGCCTGCGAGTGCCTCTTCGAGATGATCTCGAAGTCAGAGCCTTACGCAGTGATGTTGGGCAAAGATGATAGGCTTGATGATAGGTGCATTGTAAGCAGATTGCGAGGCAAGCTGTGGTGGCAGCGGCAGTCGTAGTGAGTAGGACTCAGTGGGAGAAGGAGTGGGAGTATAAGTGGAAGCAGGAGTAGTAATAGGAGCAGGAGTAGCCAGCAGGACCGGAAGAATAGGCAGCAGCAGCAGCAGTAGCAGCAATAGTGGTTGTTATTCGTAGTATTTTTGTTACTATGTTTGATATTAGTAGTGGTCGTAGTGTTCGTAGTAGTACCGGTAGTAGTAGTAGTAGTAGTAGTAGTAGTAGTAGTAGTAGTAGTAGTAGTAGTAGTAGTAGTAGTAGTAGTAGTAGTAGTAGTAGTAGTAGTAGTAGTAGTAGTAGTAGTAGTAGTAGTAGTAGTAGTAGTAGTAGTAGTAGTAGTAGTAGTAGTAGTAGTAGTAGTAGTAGTAGTAGTAGTAGTAGTAGTAGTAGTAGTAGTAGTAGTAGTAGTAGTAGTAGTAGTAGTAGTAGTAGTAGTAGTAGTAGTAGTAGTAGTAGTAGTAGTAGTAGTAGTAGTAGTAGTAGTAGTAGTAGTAGTAGTAGTAGTAGTAGTAGTAGTAGTAGTAGTAGTAGTAGTAGTAGTAGTAGTAGTAGTAGTAGTAGTAGTAGTAGTAGTAGTAGTAGTAGTAGTAGTAGTAGTAGTAAGTAGAAATACGAATACCAGTACTAGTACGTGCTTCTATATGCTGCCATGACTGTCGATAACATGCTGCATCCGCACTGGTCGTTGTTTTAGCAAGACACATCCGAACATAGCAACACAACAGTTCGAATCAGCAAGTAGAAAGGCATGGTCATGATGGTGATGCTTATGACGACTATGACAATTACATGATGATGGTTCTTTCGTCGTCGGCAACATCGTTGTGCCCATCACGATGATCAGCACCAGAATGATGAGACTCGTTCTCATTTTATTTTGACAACTACCACAACACCCAAATTGCCGAGCCGGTTATGCGGGTCATCACCTTCGGCTCCCATTCACCAATTGGCTTTTCTGTGTGGCAACGGCGATTAGGTCTAAAAGCTCTGTTCTTGCACCCAAGATTCTGCGCTTGACTCCAGGAGGTTTTTCCTTAGACCAATATCCTGACATTTCGGTCAGCTCATCTCAACGCCCTGAAGATCCAGCGAGCTTCCGGAGCCGCCGCTGCGCCAATTCAGGCAGAAACAGGATGTCGAGAAAGCAGGCACTCCTTTGCAGACTGCGGCGGTCATCTCAGTTCTGTGAGACTCGACCTCAACCTAAAGTGGCATCGTCGATGTTCCGGTTCGGGTCGAGGTCTTGGCCAGCTACTTGGAAATCTACCAGGACTTGTCGATGCGCATAAGCCGTAGCAGTCGCTGTCTAACTCAAGTCCATGGCGAAGGAGAAAATGTACGATCTGCTGGTCAACAACAGGACTGATCTCCAAGTCAGGCTTGGACACTGCACCGCAGACTTCAAACCGGTTCGCTCTGTGTCGCACTGCTGCAAAAGTAGGCAGGAGTCTGCAGAGTGTGCGGGCACCTATTTGCCCTGAAGGCTGCATCCGACTCTGGGCCCGCACGTGCCCGGGCTCATCCAAAGCCCGGTGTCAAACAGCAAGGAGGTGCAGGCCCCAGTACTTACATCCCGCAAAGTGCTTTGAACAGAATCGATTTGAGAAACAGATCCCCTAAAGCCCGAAACCCCATCCTCTTTCCGGAATGACTCCCCAACCTTCAGGTACGTGAGCTGCTGGACTTTGGTGCCAAGAATCGGGCGGTGGGCCTGGGCCTTGGGACTGCCTCCGCTCCTTTTGGGGTACCAGGGACCCCTAAAACACCCTAGAGGCCCAAAGAGCAAAAGGTACCCCAAGCTTCCTGAAACCGCCACATGAGGGTTTGGTCTTCACTGGCTATTGATTGTTTCCCCGACGTCGCGAAAGAAGGTTTGGGGCAGATTGGGGCAAGGTTCGGGGCGGGGTTCCGGGGCAACTTCTTCGTTGTTTCGTGGAACACAGGGCCCGGCAGAATCCTAACAAAGAGGACCCACGGGGCACTCCCCTGGACCATTCATTAAAGTAGTATAACTTTCAAGCCGGGTATAAAATACTCTGCTGACCAGGCCACTTGGTTCGCACTTGTTGCGACTCCGCTACTCCACAAGACGTCTTAAAAAAGAAAGGTCCACTGGGTCAAGACTTTTGCCCTCCCGATGCCTCACCGTGACCTTTTCCTCCAACAGAGAGAGATATGGGGTCTCAGCCGAAATAAGGTTTGGGGCAGATGGGTCCCGGGCCAATTCCGGTGCAAGTTGCAGGGCAGGGGTAGGGACGAAAGTGCAAAAAACAGCTTTGGAGTCTTCAGCCGAGTTTTCAGCTTTCAGGCAGATTGGGGCAGGTCAGCGCGGGCAGGCCTTGCCTACACCCGAAAATGCAGCCACCCATGAACTGCTGAGCTCCGGGCCCAAACGCACTTTCCGAGGCCTGCACCCCCTGTAGTTAACTCTGTGTTGAGCTCCCCGGCCGAGGCCTGGTTTAAGGAGGAGAAGCCCTCTCTTATCACAGCTTTTCCCATGCAAGGTGAAGCCAAGCAGACAGCACTTCTGCTGATTTTTGGATCAGTGCCAAAGCCGATAGCCGGTATCTCTCGACCCAGGTGCCACCAGCATGAACGCAAGCTCCTCTCGGTCACACGCCGTGTTCACCCTGGATATTCGTCTGAGCTATTCAGGGCAGGCAGCTCAGATTTCGGCGGCGGATCAGCGACCTGCCGCAGATCAGAAGAGATGACACTTTGCATGAGCTCTTTTGCACTGCAGCTAGGGCGCAAGCTCGAGATCTTCAGTCGAGAATCCATTTCGTGGTGCCAAGCCCAGTGCTGCCTCAATCTTTTCCGTGTTCTGTGGAAGAATTGCAGGACCTGGCTGGGAGTGAGAAACAGAAGAAAACGCACGCTTCCGGGGAACGGCTCCAGGAGCGCACACTTGACACAACTTCGGGCTCGGCATGTGCTGGTTTTCGCTGGGAGTGCCCGGACATTTCCGCACCTGGGTCGAGGAGGGCATAGCCATTAACCAGTCGCTCTCAGCCCTCAGCCGAGTGATTCAGGCTCGCGGCATGCGGACATGCACCTATTCCTTACTTCGAGAACATGTGTGATGACCACGTCTGAGACAGGCCCTGGCTGGAACTGCCGGCAGTGGCATTCTGCCCGTCTTCCGCGAGTCAAAGCTCACCCTGCTGCTGAAGGCCAGGAGATACACCACTTCTTCATCTTGCTGCACCTTTTGAAGCCCGAGGATGCACTCAGCGGAAACAGTCGTACAGCTTCTTGGATTTACTGGTGCCTGTGGAGTGATGCAAGTTAAGCGCCATATGCTCAACAGAGGTCCTCCTGGCCTGCATCAGTCCTTCACGTGCGAATTTCGAAGAATCCATCAGTACCCTTGAGTTTGCTGCCAGGCACTTAAGGCCAATCTAGGTCCTGAGCCAGACGTGGCAAGCTCTCAAATGCAAGTTTCTGCCAAGGCTCGCTGCAAGTTGATCAAGACGAACGCGAAAAAGAATGAGCAGGACGGCGGGTAAGAGTCACAGCAGTACGCTCAGCCGCTTCTTAGGGGCGTCCGGAGGATAAGCGACAGCTGATGGAGACGCTCTCGAAGGAAAAGCTAGAGATTCAGGAAAGGCTGGAGGCCGGTCACGAAGAGCCTGGACTCAGCAAGCGAACACAGCACGCCCAACGCCCAGCACAGCTGAAGAGGCAGAGAGGCAACAGAAGCTTCTCCTGCAGCAAGAGCTGGAGAGGGAGGTGGAGGAATCCAAGAAGAATCAGGATCACCGTTTGCGCTTGGGGGTTGTCTTGCGACCTGTGGTTGCGTGCCTACTGCGAGGACTTGGTGCTGAGAATGCAGGAGGAGAAGCAGCGAATCGAAGAGCGGCTGAGGGACTTGCAGCGTGGGTCCCGGTGCCGAAACTGAGCTTGGACATTGGATGTTGAATGCGGCTGTTGGAGGATCACTGAGCAGCAGCTACAGCTTGCGAGACAAAAGGAGCAGGACGAGAAAGAGAAGGCATGGCAGCCAGAGATGCTGAATGCAGGCGATCAGAATGAGTACTGGATGTCTTGCTAGGAGCAGCAGCGTCTGCAGCGGCTGAACGAGGAGAAGGAGGAGCGAGCATGTTCCAGCTTACGGATAGTGGATAGCTGAACTGCATGGTGCTGCTAGTAAATGTACATCTTCAGGTTATCAAGAGCTGTGAGTTACCGTCTCTGTCGCCAGGCAGAACTCCAACAACGATTGCAGCAGATCGACGCCAGTCATGCAGAATCCGTACAGTGCTCAGCGGGCAGCGAGAGTGGGACAGTTGCGAGCAAAGATCTGTTGGTCTCAACAAGTTCACTGGATAGGACAAGCAGGTTGGTGGAGGCCGTCCCATGAGACAGTGCTGCAACTAGCCGTGCCTTGAGCAGCCTAGTCACAGTTCACGGTGGCCTCGTGCCCCTAGACTTGGTCTTCTCTGAGCCTACATAAGGAACCCCCCTACGCCCCCACTGCGGCTGATAAAGAGGAGGTTAGTCTTGCTGCTCCCTGGGTGTCTACCAAAAAGGCAGAGATGGAGCGCCAGCTCCGCGAGCAGCGCGAGCGGGAAGAGTCGGAGCCTGAGCTGAGCTCGGAGGTGACGAAAAATTTTAAAGCCGCACCGCTTGGCTACTTCTCAGTGTTTAGTAGAAGTGTGCGACTCTGGATCACCCGTTCAGGCGAGAGAGCAAGGCACGAGCAGAAGAAATGCAGGCCTCTGGAAGAAGCATCTCGATGTGTGGATCCACTGCTTGTGCCGACGTTTTTTTGACAGGAGCGTGAGCAGAAGCAGCAGCAAGAGCAGGAGCGCATGCAGAAAAAGGCACTTACTGCTTGTAGACAAGCTTTTAACAAGGCCTAGGTTTGCAATTACCTGACAGGCTCAAGAGCTCGCCGAGCTACAGGCCACTGACAAGTGCACGTTGCCACCGCCGCAAGTAACTAAAGATCTCCGACAAAGTAGCACGCCCAGACGGGAAGATCTATTTTCGCAAAGCCAAGCCGGCTCTAGGTTTGCACATCATCAGCTGGTTTCAGCTACTGCTTCCAGTAGATGGGTTCTTGCTTTCTGACTCGAGTCTGGCTGAATTGGATGGCTTGCACACTCATTCAAGTTTAAAGCAGTGAGCAGAAGGCCTTCTGCGTCAGCAGAGTTGGATCTGCTGAAGGCATTTGTAGCGAGACGAAAGGCCAATGCTGATCTTGTCGGAAGGCGAAGCTGCACGAGGTTCAGCAGCGAGAGGCACGCTGGCTGTCTAACTGCTTCACTGTTTCCACAAGCACAAGCCGTGCTAGCATGTTGCTAGTGTACTCCTGTTTGCCACTTGCTTTTGGGCTTGTCGCAAGAACGCTGTCTACCGGCATCAAACGTGCAACAATCCCTTTTTTATGGTCATCAACTTTGATGAGCATGCCGTCCCAGCTGCACACCAGGAGGAGGAGCGACAACGGGCTGCCCTTACGATGGAGGCCCAACGGCTTTCACACAATGATTTGGCCGACCGGACGAAACTTTGCTCTATCTCCTAGTGAGATGTTCACAACTCTATGCAGATGTGTCCCGACACTGTCGCATTCCCACTGCGTGTGCAAGCCGTGCATGTTCGTTGCATAGCTGCCGTCAAAAGCAGCAGTTTGGCAGGTCGAGCTGCGCCAGCGGATCGAAGAAGAGATGCCAGCTCCTCAATGTGTTTGCGAACAGAGGATCGCAGGAACCTGTCCCCGTCTCAGGTCTAGTGTGAGACTGAGCCGAGCTTTAACTTGCTGTCGAGCGAGCATGCCTTGATGAGGAAGCGCGTGCAGAACAGGGAGGAGGTCCTGACAGTGGTGGTTCCGAATGCATTCTATGCGGCTTTCTCCATTGCATTCGAAAAAGGACCTGAAGCGAGAGCATCAAGGTCTTCAAAGCCTTGAAGAAAGCCCCCGCCTCTTGCTGAGAAGTCCTTCCTGTGCTAGAGCTTTCGACTGAGGCTTGGCCTTGAAGAATGCTGATATCGAGAACAAAGCTCAGGCAGTCGGGCACCAGTGCTGGTTTAAAGGGTGTTGGGCGGAAGCGTAGCACCCCTCGGGTGGTCCGTGAGGAGCAGAAGATGTTCCGTGAACGCTTTCTGAAACAGCCGTCGACTTAGCCCTGCAGAGTGGCATGTCACCGTAGATGGTGTCGCTTCACGGCTTCACGGTTGTGTCTAAGGCTTGGCATATCTGGCATGGAGCATGACATGGAGGAGCTGCTTTGCCGCTTTGCCGGGCCGTGCCCTGGACTGTCTGATGCCATGGCCAGGATACACAGAAAATCCCGCGTCTCGTGAACATGAACTCAGATCCTTCTTTGGAGGTGCCTGAGGATTCTCACATCGTGTTGCATTTGCTGCGTGATGGCATGTCTGCTCACAGGGCTGCTTGGTATACTATCTGCCACTGGGTGACACGTCCCCTGCTCAGATGCTCAAGCGGCTGGCCTTTCGGTATGATACCTATCATGGCCACTGCTTCTTTGAAGATGATGGTCACTACCAGTATCTACAAGTCTATAATGCTGTAAACTATGTGCTGTTGCAAACCTAGGAGAATTGGCGCGGACCAGCAGCAATGCGACGTCCGACTCTCGGGCGACTTTTTGAGCTTCCGTTGCTTCAGTTTGGAGAATATCGAGTCTAGAACTGGGAGGTGGGTTTAGGGGCTTGGCTTCGGGTTCTATGGGATTGCGGTCCACGGTCCTCCGTCAACGATGATGGTATGAAGGTCTGTCTTGCCGGACTCGACGTTGCTGACCAGGTCTGTGCAGCGCTCAGATTCAACGGCTCGCATAGTGCGGTTTGCTTGTCGACAAATTCGCTGGAGGGGTAGAAGAGCGCAAGACGCTCTTGGTCAATCGGGATCGGAATCACGATAGTCACTAGGGCAGCTTCGTACCGTGTAGAGCCAGGCGAGATCCGAAACGACGAGAACGAGAAGCTGGAGGCACACTGATGGGCGGAGTAAGTCCAGCACGAATCAGCTTCTTGCAGGGTATTGTGTGTTCCGGATGGTCAAACGAGTTGCCAATACAACTGACAAGAAGGACTCGATGACATGGGCCCTTTTTTACAGGGTAGGCTTCTGTGTTCCACAGCGGTTGAGAGCCGAGTCGCTGGCTGTACGTGATCAGTTCTCTGCTGCCGAATCACCGGCTGTACCTGGAGCGTCCTGATTAGCTTAGAAGTGCTTGCTTTCTTGATTGATGGAAAGCCTGAAGGTCGTACCTTCACCAGAAGGCCTTGTTCGCGTCAATGGCATTCAGGTCGTCCTGCACTCGAATCTGAGCTGTGTGTGCTCAGCATCCTTCAATCTGAGATGCTTTGTGGATGCCTTCCTGTCCTAGAGGTACTCAATTTGAGGTTTAAGTTTTCGTCACTGAGGCAGAGGAAGGGCAGGAGCTCGAAAGCGGCGATCGCCTCGCCATTGGTCTGACTCCCAGCAGAAGGAGCAATTCAAAAGGCATCTTCGCCTGAGCAGCTAGCCGCTTGCCCAAGGCTTAGGATCGTGGGTTCATCTTTGACCGTGCCAGGTCGGGCTCACATCTTCCGAGTGGTGATTCCTCAGAACAGCTCCGCAGAGTGCACGCCTTTCCGTCCAAGAAACGTCTGCCACGGTCTTCTTTCTTTGCCTTTATCTTGTCTTCTTTTCGAGGAAGGACGAGGAGGAGGACTTCGAGACAGCCGCTAGCCTGCATTCCCAATTTGACTGCCAGCCCGGATCTGCCGAGCGTGGCAGAGAGTTCGGCAAACCAGAATCGCATCCAATCACAAGAGCCACCTTCTGACTGCGCCGTTGGGTACTCAGGCAATGAAGGAGCTCCAAGCCAACAGCGAGGCAGGCGTTTCGATGCTCTGCTTACTCTTTTCCTTCTCAGGTGCCTGCTGCTTGTTGTGTGACAGAGTCCGTACCTTCACGCAGGTTGACCCTCGATGGAGACGAGGAGTGGACGATGCTGTCATGATCGTCAAGCAAAACTACGGCACAACAAAGGCCAGCACCATGATGTCGAACAGTTCTGCGTGTCAAATGGAGATGACCTCCTGCAATCCTTTGCATCTGGCTCTTCATTTGCCGAAAGAGTGGGAGGCCAACCTGCTGCTCGAGTCAGCCAAAGCTGCATCCGAAGTAAGGGCCCGGAGCGATCTTGCCCGCTGCCTGTGATTTGCATTCAAAGTGCCGCGCCGCCCCAAGGTCGTAGCTGAAGCCAATGCCATTCTGAAGACGGTGCAGAATTTGAATAAGGAGCGACTGCTTCTGGAGTGCATCGAACTTAAGACCCCCGGCCCGGTTTGGAATGAGTTCAAAGGCTCGAAGATCAACACCATTGCATCACATTTCCAGCGTGTCGTGGCTACATCTAATGCATGATCGATACGAAGCCGAGTAGAGAGGCTTGAAAGAACTTGACAGCCTCGGGGTCTGTGGGTCACTGCTCTGAAGTCCGTAAGTGTGTAGGGCTCTGCAGGTCCAGCGTAATGAGTCAACTCATCCTCGGAAGCTCTTTGCTTTCTGCTCTCGTCAAGGCGGTCAGAGATGCTAGTTGCGGAGGACTGGCGAAAGGGCGTCTCGCACTACGAGCTGGCTGTGCTTTTCCAGGAGAACAGAGTTCTAGTTCTGTAGCCATGTGCAGCGACTGCTGCCTGAATTAAGCGATTGGGCTGCCTGATCTTGACCGTGCCAGTGGCTGCTCAAGCGAAGCCGGGGGTCGCATGACATTCTCGCAGGCGGATGGCCTTCCGGTCGTGTGTGTGGTGGCGAGACGCGAGGTTCGAGTAAAATGACCTGCAGTGCAATTCGCTTGGTTCAAACGACGCTTTCAGGAGGATCAAATGTTTGCGGCTGTCCCGATGAGGGAACAAGGCATGTGGGTATGTGGCTTCAATTTGGGCTGCAGCATGCTGTGATGCCCGGCAGACGGAGCGTGTATCCAATCGTTTCTTCAGGCCGAGACGATTTGGAAGAGATAGCTTTTTCGGCGGGGATCTGGGAGGCGGGGGAGTGCAAGGGACGGCAGAAGCACAAGGCAAAAGCATGACTTGTGAAGATAGAGGATCCACGCACGTGTTGAGTGAGATGCGGCGTGCAGCGGTGCCTCACAGCTGCCGAGCGCTTGAGGCTGGCCGCTTCGAGGAGCAGCGGTTGACCCTCATGTACGAGGCCGGCAGCGAAAAACGCCTTCACGACACCGTCGATGCGCGCTTTGTGCCGCAGCGGCACTGAATCGTCCCATCCCGCTGCGAGGCTGCTGATGCTCTGAAGCGAAGGCCCACTCGATGCCCTGCTGGCCTCCAGAACTTCCTGGATTCTGTGGATACCGGGAAGGACGGACCATGCTCGTCTGGGCTGAAAGGGCTTGATGCAGCAGGGTTTCTTTCTGCAGTGGAAAGCACATGGCAACTTCCGTCATCCGGCTCTGCAGCTACTGGTAGCGTCTGCTGTGTTTGGGCGACTAACACCCACCGAAGAGCGAATCGTGTCTCAGGATCAGCCCAGCGATCTGGACTGGGAGTTGCAAGCCTTTTCGGAGGTTGAGCTGGACACGTTCCAAGACCTCTCCACCAGCTACAAGGCCTTCCGCAAAGCCTCCAGCGAGTTGTTCCCTGCCTGTCTGCACTGATTCATGGGCACTTCCTGTCAGGAGCTGCAGCTGTCGCGCAAAAAGAAGGAAGAGGAGGAACGGAAGCAGGACAAGGGCCCTGTCCTACTTCTCTCAGCATTTCTCGTCTCCGGCTGTCAAGCGCCAGGAAGCAGGCGGCCAGGGCATTCTCGACTATCTCTTTGGAGGCCGCAGCAGGAAAGCTCCGGAAGAGAACAAAGAGGCCATCGAAGCTCTTTCAGCCTGTAGCGTCGCTCCAGTGTGCCTGCCATCGACAGTTGGTCTCCAATGCACCTGCTCGGATCTTCGAGTGGTCACTTCGCAGCACTTAGCCATGAAGTTGTCGTGTTGTCGTTGTGCAAACGGGCTTCTGATGGGTGACAAGACGGCCGCGTGTGACGAGTCTTTCTCGCCAGTCCAGCATCTGGAAAGGTTCCTACCAAGGAACACCAGTCACCACAGCTACAGATGCTTTTGTGGCTTCAATGACCAACGACGACTATGGCTACGACTACTGCGACGACGACCACTAGTGCGACGACGACTACGAGTGCTACCACGACGACGACTCCTACTATTGCTGTTACTGCTACTGGCTACTGGTGTCATCACCTAGAAGGGAGCCTGCTTGCTTGATAGGGCTGTTTGCAGGCAGTCTAGACTTGGACTCGCTTTACGCTTACCGTTGTTCCTCTTCGTAGCCATTTTGGCTCAAGGCTAAAGTTTGCACCGACCTGATGTGCAACCCTGAAGCCAAAAGCCAGAGCGTTCAGAATGCTCTCCTCGCTGTTTTGGTGGGCCTGGGACGCCTCGCAGGAAGCAGATGTCTACGACCGTCTGGCCCACGACTTGGAGTCGGTGTCCGACTCCAGTTTCAAGGAGTTGCAGTGGATGGCTCACCAGATGTCCGCGCTACGCAAAGAAGCGCAGCTCAGCAAGGAGCAGCAGCGGCAGCTTGCTTAAGGAGTCTCAAGACGCCCATGAGCACACGAAAGAGGAACTCGCTGCAGCGCACGAGGAGGGGGCGAAGTTGACGGCCGCCTGCAGCTCGTTCGAGGAGCAAGCAATAGTGGTCCATCTCGGTGCTCGAGACCAGCGCGAGGCGGCGCTGCGACAAGAGTTGAAGCAGCTGTCAAGAGCTGGAGCTGGCGCTCTTGATGCGCTGCGACGTAGCGGAAGCGCACGAGGCGCTGCTGTATTTCGGAGATGTGGATGTGGCCGCAGAGGCGATGCCGGAGGGCTGGCATGCGGAGGCTTTGGCACAGCAGCGGTCTCGCTCCTGCGGGAAAGACCGTGTTTCCGAAGCGAGAGGAGAGCTGAGGTGGACGGCTTGCTCCGGCGAAGCTCTTCTTCCACCAAGGGCAGGTGCACAGACCTAGCCAGCGGCAGATGTGCCTTGGCAGTGCTCCTTGGCTTTGCTCCTTTCCTTGTTTTGTATCATTTTAATTATTTCGGGCGACTTGGCTCTGCCCCTTGGCTTGGCCCTGTTCGTGCCGCTTGGCTTTGCCACTTGCCCCAGCGCTTAGGGGGAGGCGTGCTCCCCAGTTGCTGCCTGGTCTGGCCGCTCCGCCGAGGTGCACGGTTTAGGTGGGGGTCTGTGCGTTGGCTTTGCTTCCTCTCGTCCCTTGTTGGTTTACTCTTGCCGCACCCGGACGCAGCTGCTGCTGTGCCGCGAACGCCCTATAGGCCGGCAAGACCCCGGTCCGTTACAGTGACCGGACATAATTTTTGCTGGAGCGTCATCTGCGTGTCCTTTCCCTTGTCCTTTTGTCTTCCTGCTGTGTTTTACGTCTTCTGTTGCCTCTGTTCCTACGCATACATGTTGACTGCTGGTGCACAACCACTCGGTTGTCATTGCTTGAACTGCGGTCTTGACGTCTGCATGCCGGAGACTCGACGTGTGCGTCCGCCCGTGCGGAATTCTTACTCTCCCTCTTCTCAGTTTTTTTGTATTCTTTCCTTCTTCTTCGCAGTTGATTTCCCTGCGGTTGTCCGGGCGTGGCTTGCTAGCTGCTTCAGGGCAAGACCGCGGTCTCTTCTTGATCCAGACTCTTGGGCATCCCCCCATTTGCGCGCATGACCAGACAAGATTCACTAGATGCAGACATTCATCATACCTCCGGGCAATGACGTTTTACGGAGCCCGGGGCGGGCGCCCTGCCAGTTTGAACTCCAAGCGGAGGGGCGATGACGTTTCCGGAGCCCCTCCGATGTCGGGAGGGATAGCGCCTTAGGCATGGCCCCGTGTGTAACGGGTGCCGCTATTCACCCACTCACTCACTCACTCACTACTGTTGTTCCTCCTCTACTACTACTACTACCACTACTACTAGTAGTGCTGCCGCTACCACTACCATTACGACCAACACCACCACCACGACGACAACGACCACGACCACTGCCACTGCCACTACCACTACCACTGCTACCTCAACTACTGCTGCTACTAGTACTAGTACTACTGCTACTACAACTGCTACTGCTGCTGCTACTGCTACTTCTACTGCTACTGTTACTTCTACTGCTACTGAATCTACTACTGCTACTGTTACTGTTACTGCTAGTGCTACTGCGATTGCTACTGCTACGCTACTGCTACTGCTGCTACTGCTACTGCCACTACTGCAATGCGCGACGGTGCTGAGGTTCTAGTCAAATCCTTGGCATGACGTTTGTTGCTAAGCACCGTGAGTCAGGTTGACTGGACCTCTTCGTCCAGAGAAAGAGTCTCGACCAGAAAAAGATCCAGATGTCCGGCACTCAGCTGAAGTGTGTTTTGCCCGCGCAGTACGACACGTCCTTTCTCTCGCCACGTTCATCTGTGCGTCTGCGTTTCAACTCCTGGTGTCGGAGGATCTGGCATTGTCTAGTTGGCAGTATAGGGTATGCATCGAGGCTGCGGCGGCGGCTGCTGCCGAGAAGCTCAGGGCCGCAAGCGCCAAAAAGGCTCGCATCAAGTTGGCTTTAGGGTCTTGGGAAAAGAAGAATTTGATTTTGGCTTGGGATGTCAGGACAAGACGAGTGTGGCTGAAGTCGTTGGATTCTTGAGGTTGAAGGTTTGGGGACTTTAGGGTTGAAGCTTTGTGAAGTATAGGATGTGAGTCGGTGCTCCTCTTCTGCTAGCTGCTAGCTTGCAGGCCCGCGAAAATCGGCGCGATGCCAGTGAGCCGTTGAAGAATCGCAGGCGGAAGCTCATGGATTCCACTTGCCTCTTGCGTGCCTAGCGGCCTTACTTCCTTTCTGTCACATTAGGGTTTCCTGTAGGTGGTGGGCTCTCGAAGATAGGAATTCGCAGCATGTCCGGCAAATTCAAGGATGGCCATCCACACAACCTGGAGTAAAGCATCGCATAACATTATTATCCAGCCGTGGTGGTGATGTGCCAGAGTGCGACATGCCTCAAGAAACCTAAGAAGGGTCCTCTTTCCAAAGTGTAGCGTCCTTCCAGCCGAAAAACCTAAGAGAGAGGCACATGCAACTGGACATGTGGAAGTGCGCAAGTACCGAGTCTCTAGCGGTGCCCTGTGCTCGGCCGGCCTGCTGACTCAGAGACCTGTGTTTTCAAATCCTCCGCAGAGCCAATGTAGATAATCAAGAAGGAGAAAGAAGGCCAGCGGCTCATCACCCCTTCAGTCATGTTCTGTGCTGGCAAGGGCCTCGATGGCGCCTCGAGGGACTTTGGTTCCCGAAGCAGGTGGATTTGGGTACTTGCCTGGGTAGCACTGGGCGGCTGTCATCCTTGGAGGTGCCACTGGCCTCTTGGAGGTTCCCAAGTCCGCGATGAAACGATCGTCTTCTTCGTCGACGTCATCCGCCCGGCGAGCCGCCGCAAAGGATGCTTCTCCCAAGGGCGATGTATGGGCTGCTGCGGAGGACTGCCCACACAGCGGTCTCCTCTGTCTCTCAGCTTCATCGTGTTTGCAGGACCTCTTGGAGAAATTCAGCTCCTCACCCAAGGAGGACATCCGCGTTGATGTGACTCGATTGGAGGCCTCATCTGCTCCTGCTGCCTCGATTCGTCGATGCACTCTTCACAGGCACCCATCCGGAGAGCAAGCAAATCTGGAATTGAAGTGGTGCCACGGGAGCCTTCTCCTATGGGTGGAAGCTCTGGCAGCCCGAGCGCGTCACAGGAAGATGATCGCCTCACCGCCACTCTGACCGAGTTAACCTTAGGGACGGCCTGTGTTTTCCTTTGGGCTTGAGGGGGCCCTGCAAACTGGTGTCCCTCCTGTCTCTCCCGTCCTGTCGGCAGTGCGGGGAAGAAGGCAGCAAGGAAGGAAGGAAGGAGGACATGAAGGAAGGGGGAGGGAAGAGTGAAAGGGGATGAGTCTCAACCTAAAATCCTGAAAGAAATCAGTAAGCAGAATTGAAGGAAAGGCACGCAAGAAGAACATCAGCAAGTTAAGAAGCAACGATAAAGAAGAGCATGACCGAAGTAATGCTGACTTCCACTGCCGCTGCTACCGCTGCTGCTACGATGTTACGACTGCGACGTCGGACGTCGACCTCGACCTCCTCCTACTCCTCCTACTTCTACCTACTACCTCTTACATAGGGTTGGAGTGGACGCTGTCGCGGTTCGGGCATGGATGCTGCTTGAGTAGCCTGCTTCAACAGACCCTTCAACAGCAATTTCCTAGCAGCTTGCGGCGAGGCGGCGAGCAGCCAAGGCCCTTGAGGCCAAAGGCCTCCCCCACTCTTCCAACAGCACTCGCTTACGAAGCAAACCAAAATTTTCTGAAAAAGCTCTGAAGTGTCAAACTTCGGGCGAATCCTTTCCGCTCAGCGCAAGGTAGAGATTCTCGTCAAGGAGCTTTTCAATGACGACAAGCTTGGCGTTCGCCTGCGCATGGAAGGGCTGGTCGTTAGCAACTTCGACGTCCCAGAGGCAGGCGTTGCTTCGGTCTGGGAGGGCTTGAAAGAGATTCCAAGCGCATTCACGTAACTGTCAACTGCTGACATGCTGACATGCGGAACCGTGCGCCGCTGTGTAATCGACAAGCACATCTGAATTTCAGCAGTGGCAGTGGCATCACTTTGACATGCCGATTCAGAAACTCCTGTGCTGAGTGTTGCGTAGATGGCTCGCCAGGCTGCTGACGTGGGGTGGCATCTGTTTGATGAGATAGTGGCTGTGAACGGTCGTAGCGTCGGCACACGGGAGGACAGGATCACATGCTTTTGCATGCCGGTCCAGCATGTGGCGGGCGATGCTTGCTGCTAGTTCTCGACTGTCTTGAACGCAGGAGTTTCGCACGGTTCTGGCAAATGCACGAAAGCAGATGCCCATCGTCTTTACCGTGCTGCGTGGCCTACATTATGGATCTTGATCTTGTCTCTCGATCCATGTGCAACAGCGGCTTGCGACCGCAACATATGTGTCAAGCTATCTGCCCCTCCATCAGTTTTGAGCACTCAGCTGTGCATCTGCAATGTTGTGTTCTGAATCCACATGTTCCCTCATAGATGTGCTGCAAACTCTGTAACTGCAGGAAGCGGCAGCGTCCAATCCTTGGCCACGGCAGGGCACGAAGGACCGTTGCCGGGGCTCGGCCACACACAGAGGCAAGCAGTGTTGGGCCTCGAGATCGAGCAGCGCTGCTCGGATGCAAGGAAGCCGGAGATTAAGCGTTCGGGACTCACGTGACCCCACCTTCCCACTTGGCGAGGAAGCGCAAAGCTCGGGCAAGCACCAGTGTACCGTACCGAATAAAGGACACAGAGTAAAGTGATCTGCATCCTACATTGTCCTACATCTTAGATCCCCAAAATGGGGACTGACCAGCCGCTCGGTCCAGCAGCACTTGAACAATATTGCAATGATGCTTGTGCTGGCAAGATGGTGCAAGACCACAGCCAGGGGCTCATATACACATATCAACATATATATATATATATACACATACATATATACACCGCACTACTGCAAGACTGACACCAAAGAGATTGCAATCAGTGCTGAAGGGTCATTTTCCTCGGCATGGTCCCCGCAAATGTAAGCGCTTCAATTGAGAAAAAAAGAGTTGTCTTGAGTTGAAAGATCTGACTAAATTAGGGCTGTATTTTTTCTCATGGTGGGCGCTTTGGCTGGCTATATTTGCCCGGCACCACTCTTGTTGGCTGCCATGATAATGCTCCAGTCTCACCCCTCGAAGAAAAATGCATTTGGTGCGTCTGGTTGTGGTTGTTGGTGCCGGAGAGGAATAGAAACTGTACCTCAAAACGAACGGAGGTTAAGGTTGTCCCAGACTTGGAGCAAAACACCTGTCCGCGCTTCACGGTTTGCTTTCCAGCATTGAGCAGCAAGAAGCCAAGGAGCAGAACTCACAGAATGTGGACAAACAAGACTCCTACGCGATAGTCACAGCGAAAATGAGCGAAAATGTGTGTAGCGAGAGTACAGGCCCGTCCAACTTCAGCTGACGTAGTTTGCCATGGCGCCGGCATCCATCGATGAGGGTGCCGGATTCTCAGCGTCGCAAGTCCGGATCATGGAGTCTACGGAGCGGGAGTCTCATGTTCCCTACAGACAGTTCTCAAGGTTCAGCCTTCGATGGGTGTCCGCCTCGAGACGGATTTTGATGCTTTCTTCGAGAGGGAAGATGCGGCAGCGCAGCTGCAACACTGGCGCGAGGCTAGGCCGAATTCACAGCACCGAATGCAGAGGAATCCTGCTGTGCTACTTCCATGCATCTCATTAGCTCGACAGGAGATCGCATCGACTGCCTGCAGCCCAGCCATTCAAAAAGAAGCACCTGTGGCCAGCAAAACGGACCGTTCCGGAAAGGTCCTTGGAGTGCCTGCTTCCGAAATTCAACTAGGACGCATCAGGCGATGCCTCATGAGCATGCGAAAGAAAGGCGCGTGGATCCTGTGTGCGCAGGCGAGGTTCGCTGGACCTCGAGTTTGTTGTCGAGGCGCAGTCTGCTTTCCACAAGCGGGTTCAAAGGACTCGCCTCTGACCAGCAGGGCATCAGTGCACAAGAGCTCCAGCAGCGGCTGGACCGTGAGGACTGGAGCCTGAGCCGCCCATGGCTTTCCCTAACTCTACCCGTCTGCAGGCAGATCGGCTGCGGGCTTTGTTTCAGGAGCCTGTCCTGGAGGCACTTACGCACATTTATCGTCGAGACTGTTGCACAAGCAAGGCAGCTCCAGTTGTGCCAATCCGCATCATCACATCCATTCGCGACGCTCTTGCCCTTGCGCCACTGCCTTCGCCCCTCCCGTCCCCCTCCTCACCTCACCAGCGTCCCCACCACCGCTGCCGCCGCCGCCACCGCCAGCAGCAGCACCACCACCGCCACCATCGCTATCGCCATTACCATCACCACCGCCTCCATCAACATAAACACAGCATCATTGTTTTCAGCCTTATCATCATTTTCGTGATCCTGATCCTCCGCATCCCCCCTCTTTGTCTTTACCATTAACACTGTCATCACCACCACTACGACATATGATGTTGACCATCATCGTCCCCACCGTCATGAGTTTCAGTTCTTTTCATGTTATGCTTCTCGCGAAATTTTCATTGTTGTTAGCGTCATCAGCACCAGCACCATCATCAGTTGCTGCTTGTGCTTCGTTGCTGGTTCGTTTGCATCGTTTGTCCTTGGTTGTTGTTCTTGTGTTGTTGTGATGGTGGCGGTAGTCGTAGTCGTCGTCGTAGTCGTGGTGTGTAGAGTCAGTGATAGGGATGACTATAGAAGGTTTCATGAACCGGCTGTATAGGAATGAATCGAGGCAAAGTGCGCTATACACGGATGCGGGGTTTTTGTTGAAACGGCCATGGCGGTGGTAGCAGCAGTGGCCAGGGCCGTGGCAGGCAGTGGTAGTGGTAGTTGTAGTAGTAGCGGTAGTAGTAGTGGCAGTGGTGGTAGTAGAAGTAGTAGTGGTGGTGGTGGTGGTGGTGGTAGTGGACGTAGTAGCAGTAGTAGTAGTAGTAGTAGTAGTAGTAGTAGTAGTCGTAGTAGTAGTAGTAGTAGTAGTAGTAGTAGTAGTAGTAGTAGCTGTAGTAGTAGTAGTAGTAGTAGTAGCAGCAGCAGCAGCAGCAGCAATTATTACTATTAGAAGTAGTAGTAGTGGTAGTGGTAGTGGTGGTGGTGGTGGTGGTGGTGGTGGGGTGGTAGCAGTCGTGGCAGTGGCAGTGGCGGTTGTAGCTGTAGTCGTCGCCAGTAGCAGCAGCAGGGGCAGTGGTGCATTGCAACCGTCGCACAAATCCGAGTGCTTGACAAGGCAAGGCAGAAGAACCGTATTGCGGTGAATCCGGCCATTCTGTGGCGGTGACATCAATTTTGATGCCCGTTTTAAGCCAACTAGCAAACTACAAGAGCTAGTCCAAGGCATCGAACTCGATCAAATCGCATCCGTGGATCCACTGTCCGGATTGGCAAAGCACACTTCTGACTCTGCTGAATGTGCCGTTGCCGCCTCATCAACAGAAGTAGTAGCAGTAGTAGTAGTCCTCGTCGCTACTATCGTTATCTTTGTTGCTGCTCATTCGTTTATCACCAGTATCTTGGCTACCACTATCTCGCTGTCATGCTGTCCTTCCCCAAACTTCATCGTAGTAGTGGATACAGTTACTGAACATGGCGACTACGGCTATTCTCCGATGGGAATTGTCAGTGCAAGGGTGGCTAGGTTGACGATGCTAGCGATGTTGATGATGGCGTTGCCGACAGCCTTATGATGCTCAATCTGAAATCAATGAGAAGTGTCCCATTGTGATTCGACAGGTCCGCGTAGATGGTTCTTCCGGAGTCGAGCCAGGAGCTGCCGTCGCAGCATGTGAGACAAGATAGCCAGACACATGCACACACGCACACACACACACACACACAAGCAGCCACCACCACAATCACAAACCAACACACACACACACATACACACCATCAAACACCACACAGACAGAGCAGTGATCCTGATTATTACAGTATGTGCGCTCGTGAACAGCTTCAGGGTGACCCGCACGGCCAGCACCATACTTGTATTGCTCATATGATCAGCTTCGTGTCCATGTAATGGGCCGAGCCATCATTTGCGCCATCCTCCACCTCACCATGTTCTTCTCCATCACCATCATCATCGCCACCACCAGCACCCTCACCAGAATCAACATCTCCCACACTGACTACAGTCACGTACAGAATACTGAAAGCGTTCGTTGCTGTAGCAAGAGCAATATGAGTGCAAAAGAGCTTTTCGTCTTTGGCCGAAGCTGTTGCCATCGTTTTTTCAGGAGACTCGCGTCGTCAGGCCAGAGACTTGAATCTCCTTACGTAGAGCTGGTCATGCAGGATGCGCAGCGAGATGGCTGGACTGGAGCAGCTCCAAAGCCTCTGTGCATCCCAAGGTCGAGCAGCCTGGGCCTGGACGACCGCAGGGCGGCGGAGGCCAGGGCCCGGCGCCGGCGGTGCCGGCGGTGCCGGCGGTGCCGGTGCCAGCGCTGCGGCCGAGCCCGCCGGGCGCGGGCGCGGCCCAGGCACTGGGCGCAGGCCCTGGAGGTCGGCTGCTCAGCTCATCTCAGCTCTGGGCTCTTCTGCCTCTGCTCTGTTGGGTGTTGCGGTTCCCGCCACTCTCTGATTCCTAATTGATCCTGCTACTCGAAGTTTGGCATTGACGATGCGTTCGTTCGGAGATTTCACTTGCGACTCCCTGAAGACCAGGTCTTGTGTTCTAGGAAAATTAGGAGACGTTAGAGACATTCCGAGTAACCGATCTTCGTCCCATGGATGCTGGCAAGATGGATGAGCTTGAGAAGGAGGCCCAGAGAGTCATGGAGATTCATGGAATCGGTGCCAGCAAAGCTCCGGTGCAACCTGCCGCGGCTGAGCTCTTCGAAGCCTTCAAATGCCGGAAAGAAACGACGAGTGTGGGACTGGGCGTGGAGAACCACTTCTATTCTGGGTTTCAACATTCTCAAGTTGACTGGTCAAGGCCAGTTCATGGAATTCTGGTGGATTTCAAGGGGGACAGCATGCAGATTGGGATGCTTTTGGAGCGCCTGGAATTGTGCCAAGAACAGTATATTTTCATAGGAGCTCCACCGCCTTTCAATGGTGGGTGGCACTTTACTGCATTGAATGATTTTGAGCACGTCGCAGAGCAGAAAGGACTCGACCCAGGTTGGGAAGGGTTTCGTATATGGCATCGAGTGAACTACGTTCCGTCTTCAACTGAGGAAGGCATGCCGGCATTAGTCCCGAGGGAACAGTTTGATCCCAAAAGCAAGCATGCTGGCTCAATTCCGATTGGAGATAAGTTCAAGCTGGCCACAATCTTTTTGACAGGTGGCCTGATGCCACACACTCTGAACGCAACACTAATGGCAGACAACGGTGATGCTGCGCAAGTTGTCAAGAAGCATGTTGAGCTTGGCACGCGATTTGCGACCATTGGCCATGGATTGGATGTGATTCTGGCGATAGGAGAGGAGAGGTCGATCTTTTCTGGATTTCAGGCTGCTGTCTTTCCAAAACAAGAGCATCTCTTGGCCATCAACGGTTTGGTGCCCCCAGCAGATGGAGCAAAAGTGTGCAGCTTTGCTTCGAAAGGGGTGGAATTGGTGTCGGCCAGCTACTGGGGGAAGGACACAGCGGAGCCGTTCTTCGCCGCTGTCGGCTTAGCAGCCGGAATGGACAGCAGCTTCTCCAGCTCTGGACGAGTCCAGAGATTGGGCAGTTCCGAGACGGCCTTCTGTTTCGATGCATCGAAGCTGGACGGCATGTCCGGGCGACTTGGCCCCATTTGGCCCCTAGCATACATGCCATTCTAAAAACCGACATCACTGCGAATGCCGCATCCGAAGAGTGACTATACATGAACTGTGGTTTCAGGGTCCCTCGTCCATGCAGCCAGCTCAGCCGCAGGGCGAAGACATAAGTCCCGAGACGGTTTCGCCGCAGGGTCCAATCACAGAAGTGAGAACCAAGGGTAGCGAACTCCCGTCGCCGGGAGCTGCTGCACATCTACTGTCTCCAGTCTTTGTCTAGTCTAACAGCCTAGGGCCTAGGGCCTAGCATCGGCCGCATCTTTACAGCCGCTCGTCTTAGCGTCTCCCAGGAGCCTCCTCGGCGGAGATGCTTCGGCCCCGCGGGTCGCTTTTCTGGTGGACGACGTGGCAGATCCCATCGAGGCACGGGCACGTCACGCCATCGAACCTGTGCCATCGAATCTGTAGGCGCTGCAGCCGCGCTTACTGCTGTGTCTGCGATGTACTTTGTTATTGTGTGTGGCTTGCACCCGGCGTGCAGCAGGCCTACACCATCGTCGACCACCTGGTCAACGTGAAGTTCAACGTTCACCTCATCAGCCGCAGTGCCACTGAAACAGGGGCCAGCATTAGACAAGTTCAATCAGAAACCGTATGGGGTAATGCCATGTATGCACTGAAAGACTGCTGCTGCCTGCTGCCGACTACGCCAGCCAATCTGGTGGACAAATCAATACAGTTTGATGGAGTTTTTGTAGCAGGTGGCCAATGTCCATACTACATGATGCAAGATCCTGCAGTGACGGCAATCCTGGACTCCGCGCTCTTTGCAGCCGCAGTCTGCCATGGGCCTGAAGCATTGATTGGTTCGAAGTGGCTTCATCCACCCGATGGAAAGGTCGGACCTTTCATCTCATACTATGGAGCATGGATGAGCTTTCGCGATGTTCACGGCTATGAGCGCAGAAAGCCCGGAGAGATTTGCGAAGATGCATCTTCCCGGCTCTTTACCGGAAATGCACCCAACTCTACGAAGGCTCTGGTTATTCGAGCGTGCGAAGCTATCTCCGCATCCAAAGCATGATGCGGCGCTCCTGCAAATAGTCGATCGGGAAGTCGCACCGGTGATGAAGGTGCAAGCTTCTGCAGACATTTCACTGGCTTTCTGCATCCAGCTGCAACATTTCACCTGTGCAGATTTGTGCGCCGGATGCTGATCTCGGATGTTGAATATTGAGGTCCAGTGTTTCGTCGGCCCCCGCCATCGTCACCGCGGGAACAGCTGGAGGACACAGTTGAGGGTTGCAGTGCCGGAGGCGACATGTCCCGGCACGGGATGTGAATGCAGGCCCGGATCCGTGCTGCAGAAGCTGAATATGGCCACGGGCCCCATTTCTGCAGAGCAGGCACTGACGTTTCGCCGTTTCGCCGACTCTGTCAGGCTTCGATCTTTCCGTGCAAGAACGGCTGGCCTTGGACGCAGGACCCTGCTGCCCTCACACTTATCGAACAGCTCCTAATCCTAAATTCTGTTGTCTTGGAACATAAGCATCAGAAGTCGATAAGTACTTCGAGATTTACAAAGTCCTCGAGTTGGTGCCTCTGCTGAAGGACCTGTGCGCTTGGCGGAGAGGCGATTTGCCTCAGGTTATAGTCGTTACCTTGCAGTCGATGTCCTGCTAGGCTTCCTGACACTTCTCCTCCCAAGCTTCAGAATGTCCGTGACCGGGACCTCCACCGTTGAGGGCTCAGACTTGTGTTTACCTGACATCAAGTGGAAATCGACGGTTTTCCCGGATGATGCGAGGTCTCAACCATCCAACTAATGCTGAAGGCACGTCAGCAAAACTGCGGTCCCTGGCGACACGGATGCTTCGCGTCGGGTGTGGAAGCCGGCTCGGTGCGGAAGCCGGCTTGCTGCAGGGCCGCGGTTCCTCATGAGGGACTCTTACTGGGACCAGCGAAGCGGCCCGAGCTTCCTCCTCGGCTTGGATGCTTGCCGGTGCTTTGACTTGCACTTAGGTCAAGGCGAGCGAATTCGTGAGCAACCCGAAGCAATGTTTCGGCGCGGACTCTTGAAAGAACATGAGCAGGTTGGAGAAGCAGTTGCAGTACGTCTGTTGCACTTATCGCGACTGCCCAACGCTTTGGAGGTGATGCCTTTTCGTGCCAAACCTGTTCCAGTGGGTGTGCTGACCCCACGGATGCAGGACAGTTGCTCTGGTGTTTGACTTCCCTCCGTACTTATCTGGTGCCGCTGCTGCCAGGCCCGACGGAGTCGCTCTGCCGAAGGCCCCCGAGGTGTCGCGGTGCTGCGAGACCGAGAGGAGCCTCCGTTCCGGGCCTGGGTCCAAGGGACACAGCGACCAGAGTGTAGTGGTGGTGTAGTAGACCTTTCCATCACCGAGGCGAGGCCCGTGCCGTGGCGCGTCTCAACACCTATGTATGTGCCATGGCCGATTCTTTTTAAGCTCAGCTGGCAGAATGGCAGAAGGTCATTTCGCATGCGGCAAAGGAGCAGCTCTTGCTGGAAGAAAGAGAGGCAAGACACACTCGATGCCGATCGTCGGTAGCTCAGCGTGGACCGGCCATACCGGCCACAGTGCTAAGATGCGCTCGGCAGGCGCAGCCTCGAGCTGCTGCGCTCCGCTTCCTTACCGCGCGGGCCTTGCGGTGGCGGTGCCGGTGCCGAAAGCTCGTCGAATCGACCTGTGACCCAGGCCTCGAATGGAGGCTCTCCGTCCTGAGCTCAGCACAACCAGTCAACAATGCCTCGTTCATTGATTGTGTCGGCACACAGATGCCGCATGCACTGCACGCGCTGTTACACGGACACACTCTCCTCGTTTGCATGTTACGGGGGGTGCCCTTCACTCTTGACAAGGACCACATGACTCGAATGTGTCCAAAACGAGCTTCTCAATTCGCCGCTCCTCCACCTGGCAGCAACATGCGTCAGCTTCCTCTCTTCGCTTCTTCCTGCCGCTCTGTCTGCTCTTCACCATCATCGACGATAACAGCAGCAACACCACATGGCTCCCGAATCGCGGAGCGTCAGAAGTCTTTCAGGGGTAAGTCGAGAGTATACGTTCTGCTTCGTCTGAGGCAGGCTGGAGCAGGAGCGCGGACAGGCCAGGTGTCTCTCCTGCGCAGCCGCCGAGTCGGATGTGCCTTTCTCCTTGCTTCTGGACGTTCACTGGAGCTCTCTGAAGTTCTGCTGCTGCTGTCAATAACATCAGGGAAGTCGCTCGCCTGGCCGTGAGGGGTCGGACGCTGAGCTTGCCATGAGCATGACGATGAGTGCGGTGGCTCCATGGTTCCGGCTCGGATGCGCGGCTGCTGTCGGAGCATTTGCCTCGAGCGACTTTCGTGTCCCCAATAGGGCCAGGGTTGCTTGCGGAAGCATCGAGTTTTTTTTTCCCAGGTGTTCAGGGCAGGAACTCTCGTGTCTTGCCTGGCTGGAGCTGCGCTCGGCATAGCCTGGGAAGCATCATGAATCATAATTGAAAACTCTGAACTTTAGAAGGAAGCCAGTGGCACAGGTCTTGCAAGGATCTGATTCTCGTTTGGACAGCGATAGTTCTCTGAAGGCCTTGGCATGGGGAAGCCTACAGCGCTCGTCGCTGGCTGGCTTCCGAGGCCCAACAGGCTTGGGCCTCAGATCCATGTAGAATGTGGTCCACAGGCCGCTGCACAATTGTTTACAGATGTTTACAGTTTATTACAGTTTACAGTTTATGACAGCATACAGTGCGCATGCGTTGTCCTAGGCCTCCCGTGATAGCGCTGGCAGAAAACTGGGCTTGGGTCTGGCCCCCGTTTCTAAACCGGCTCGTCAGAAGTCTTCCTGCACTTTTAACCAAGCTCGTCAACTGTGGCTGGCCGCTCAGGTCCGGAGTATGGTTACACTGCCCCAGCGGGGGCAGCAGCAAAACAGGACGGCGTCGGACCAGCCGCTGCCAGGGGGAGCCCCATGCTGCGGTCTGGAGCCGACCGACGTAGCCCTTCGGCGCCGCGCCGGCCCGAACCGCGAACGGCTGTGACAGAGGTGCAGCCCGCTCCACTACTTTTGGAAGTCTTCAGCAGCGGGGTGTCGGAGCTGCTAAGTCCAGGTGCCAGACTTTGCCGCTCGCCACGAACACATGCAGCAGCAGCTGCTGGCTTAGCTTGTTCGTCTTGCATCTTTTGCTGCTGAATGACGCCGGAGCGGTCAGAGGCTGGAGAGGCGGAAGTACTTGAATCGCTATGTGACCCAGCCGGAACCCTTCGTGTTCTTCACGCCTTCACGAAGCGAGACTCGCCAGCCACCAATGCCGAAGGACCCGCTCCCTCACACCTCGTGTCCGAATCTGTTCGCAGATATGCGGAGGACCCCGGAGAGGATTGGCGATACCATCGGAGAGCAGCTGGTCGGTCGCAGTCCCAAGGCAGGCAAGCCGTCCGAACAAGTTCGTACTTCCGTACTACGCCCCCTCAGAGCGAGGCGCACCAGAAGCCAGGGATCGGCGACCAGTTCGAGTGACTGGCTATGACATCAAGCAACGAAGCACGCAGAAGGCCACCTCGTAGAGTGGCGAAATCCGAAGCAGTTCAGGTGGCCAAGCGTGCTGGCGAGAGCGTGTAGCGAACAGTTATGTAGCACGAGTTCGTGTCCAATCTTTTCCAGATTCACAGTTTGCTGTCAATACAGTTGCGGCTCGTGAACAAGCTCGCAGATCCCAGTCGTCAGGTCTTGAGCAGTCAGCTAGCAACGATGAGGAGGCTCCAAGAGAAACGCGAGAAAGAGCAACGTGAAAGGGAAGAGCTGGAGCAGGTGCCCCGATGTGTTTTGGTCTTCGACTGGAGGGCGCTTCGCTTCCGGAATGTGCAAGTAGGTTAAGCAAATGATGAAGCTGGCGTCCCATCTACAATGGTCATCAGACAGGGCTCTTGCTGCCCTTAGCGGTTGGCATCATTGGCAGTGCAATTTCCACATCAGTGTTCACCGCAAGTCGTTGCAATTGCAGACTGAGCCTGGAGTCTGAGTCTCAAGCTGATCAGTTGTAGGCAAAAATGTGTGTGTGTATGTGTGTGTGTGCAAGCAGTGACAGGCACAGGCAGTGGACGAGGAAATGAAGGAAAGAGTCAAGCAGGCCAATGCTACGGCAGAACCATACAGATCAAGACGACCGGCTATGTGTGCATACGATCATGGCAAGTCTTGTTTCTTGCATCATCTCGATCACGTCACTGGATTCGTGGTTTTGTTCAGGCAGTTGGCCCCATCGAACCGATGGCAAAGAAAATCGAGCGCATGGTAGATGACAAGCGGCGTGGGCTGCAGAGAGTCCAGAGCCAGAAAAGAAAGGCGCCTCGGAGCATGAGCTGCCGTGTTCAAGGGCGTTGTTCCAATCGCTGCTGTTGGGAGGACATCGACATGATGCTCCAACGTGCCAACAACAGACCGTTGCTGATGCAGCAGGCAGGCGTTTCGGAAGGCTCAGAAGGACCTGGCTCGGCCTTACCAGACCAGGCCGACACTGTTGAACGGGCTCGTCGCAGAGCGCTGTTTCGAGTTCGCAACGCTCTGCAGCGGTCCCAGTCGTGATGAAAGTACACGACGTGCAGCACGGAAGCTCTGCAAATTTACCGCTTCAGCTTTGCAGTATCTCTAAGGAGACAAGCCGGTGTGCGCGATGTGAACCGCATCCTGGCTCTGAACCACGATGACACCTGCTGATACTCTGGGTTTGTTGAGGGTCTTGTCTTGAATCTGCCATGCAATGGATATTTGCTTGATGGCCTTCTGTGGCGTGAGTTTCAACCCCTGTTGCGAGAAAGCAGAAAGGTCTCCCACGTGGTCCGGAGGAATTTTTGGTTTGTTTGCTTTCACTTTAAGTGTTATTGCCTGCTTTTGATCTTTCATCCTATTCTGACGAAGTCCAGGGCAAGCAGCTAAGGCCACTTTGGGGAGGAGGAGCTGGACGAGTTGGATCGAGGAGATGCTGCCGCTGGCATCAAGGACAAGCGGCGGTGTGGAAGTGGGAAAGGGGCCTCGGAATGACGGCTTCACATGTCTTTCCGGTTTCTGATGAGGTCTCGTAAAACTGGACTTGGGCTGAGTCCCGGCTGTGAGCCTTTCAGCATCACCTGCTAGAGGTTTCTTTCCCAACGCAGCGTTAGTCGGCTTGCGACTTGTACATCGGCAGGAAGACGAGGAGTACGCTGATGACTTCTCGTAGCAGTTTCTTGGAATCTGGCAGCAGCTCTGGCATTCTGAGCCTGCAGTATGGAACCAGCAGCTTCATAGATAGATCGTTGGTTCTATGGGCAACCAATTCGGCACCCGATCCAGTGCCATTTCCTATTGTTTTTTGCTTGCTTGCCCAAGCTTGGCCATTGAACCCCTGTGTCTGTGTCCGGAAGTTACTGCTTTTTTGCACAGTTATTAACGAGAACAAGTCTCCCTTTCTGACCGCTGATCTGGAGCATGTGGCCAAAGCCGAATTTGACAATCAGTCTTCGTTGTACAAATACCGCCGCTGGTGGTGACCGAATTTGTTCTGTCATGCACGTTTTGTGGAGTCCGTCAGGACTGAGAAGTGCTAGCAGGAGCTTGCTGCCGTGGCACAGCAAGCACAAGCCTCGGACACCAGCACGCTTGGATAGCACAGAAGGTGCCCAACTTCTCAGCTTCTCAGCTCTGGTCTCTAATTCAGATGACTGGACAATGATATTTGTTGCAGAGCAAATCCGTTCTCTGATGCACTGAAGATATGTGGTTTGCATGTGGGTTGTATGTGTGAATCATGCGTGGTGCATGGCCTGTCTTCATTTCTTCGGCCGCCTGCAGCTTGCACGACACTCTTTCTCCAGTGGAAGCTCTGACCGCAAGCAACATGAGAACATAGCGCCTCCATGCTACGAGATGAGCAAAGCAGCTTCAGAATGAGCATCGCCTGTGCAGAATCCTCCTTCCAGTAGCTCCCCGCAGCCTGCCAGCCATGTCAGACACCTCTGGGGATGACTGGTCTTCCTGGGCATCGCGTCTGAAGGCACCTTGTGACAAGCGATGACTGTGCACATCTCGTAGGCAACATGTCGCACTGGTAACTCCCTGCCGCTATCGTGCAGGTCGGAGATGGCGTTTGGTACCAGCGCTGTGAGGGCACGGAAGTCGAGGCAAGAGTCGTGTCTTGGAAGCTTTTATCACCATACATCTTACATTTCCGAACGGCTTGAACATGTTGGCGGACAGAGTGTCATGCGACGGCCAAGTTGTGCATCAGTTGCTGCAAGAACTGAACTTCATTTATCAGCATGCTCTATTGTTCTTAAGCCTCTTCGTAGGGTGCCTCGGTGTCAGCACGTAAGGTTGAGATCTGCGCGACAAGCAGCACGTGCTGGGTGCAGTATCACGTGAAGCCTCCCAAAGGCTTGGCCGTGGTTTTCAGGGCATGATGGCGGAATCGTTTGAACTTTCGATAAGATCCCACCGACTCGTGATGGCGGCTGTGCAGGAAGTTCTCAGTACAAAGGCCAGCTAGCTGCCCTTGAAATCATCCTCTGCAGGCGGCAGGCAGAATCGCCGAGCGCTCGTCAAAGTAGAGGAGTGGAGTACATCTTGCCAGATCTCACATGCGTGTGCGCTGTCTTGATGTCCTCTGTGACAGGAGCTGATGCGAGTGCAGCAGGATCATGAACGCTCACCTAGTTCGCCGGCAGGCTGCATATATGGTAGCCTGCAAAACCTATCCAAGGTGGCAGCGCTGTACCAGCAGTTGCTAGCTCTGCACCGACATTGGAGAATTGTGCCATGCTGCACCGACATTGTAGCTTGTGTTTGTGAATCCAATGATGGAATCAAGGTCCCTGGCTGCAAGCGCCAGAGCTTCTGAAGAACCCGACTCTGCTTTTGAGTGCCTGGGCATTGTCAGCCTCATATGCACTCAAAATCACTCGAGCCAGCAGCAGGGCCAGCTGGGCCTCCGAAGGCTACACTCCGACTGTGGCCGAGTCACTTGGAGCCAATGGCTTGTTCCAGTACTGTATCCTGTTACCGCTACATTCCTACTACATTCGGCTACCGCTGCCACTGCGAGTACTGTACCGCGCCGCTGGAAGAACAGCATCTGCTGCAACCGCAACAGCAACAGCAAGAGCAACAACAGCAACCACCACCACCACCACCACCACCACCACCACCACCACCACCACCACCACCACCTACTACTACGACGACTACTACGACGACTACTACTACTACGCAGCTACTACTACTACTACTACTACTACTACTGCTACTGCTACTGCTACTGCTACTTCTACTACTACTACTACTACTACTACTACTACTACTACTACTACTGCAGCTACTACTACTACTACTACTACGACGACGACGACTACTGCTACTGGTACCACCACCACCACCAACACCTACACCTGCCCCTTCACCTAACACCTACATCAACACCTACACGTACACCTAAACCTACACCTGCACCTGCACCTACGCCTACGCCTACACCTACACCTACACCTACACCTACACCTACACCTACACCTACACCTACACCTGCACCTGCACCTGCACCTGCACCTGCACCTGCACCTGCACCTGCACCTACACCTACACCTACACCTACACCTACACCTACACCTACACCTACACCTACACCTACACCTACACCTACACCTACACCTACACCTCCTACTACTACTACTACTACTACTACTACTACTCCTGCTGCTGCTGCTACTACGACCACCGCTGTTGCTGCCACTACTAAGGGTTTCGGCCGGAGCTTCAGCCAGAAGATAGGGGCCTCTTGTGCAATGGGAGGTTACTGCTGGACAGTTTTACATTTTTCTTTTTCTGTCTGGTCAGCCCTGAAATCATCGGCTGCGCCAACTCTGGACCGCACTGGTCCCAATTCCGGTGGTCGAGCATGCTGAAGAACACTCACGAAGATGACCTCAGCTCGACAAACCCGAGGGTTCGGAATGGTCCCACAGCCATCCGAGGAGCCGCAGCTGTCATAGACACTGGGGCGAAAACTCCTGGCACAAAGGCGACTACTGGACAGGCTCATTCAAGGAGCCAGAAACGGTCTTGCAAGCGTGCCCAGAAGCGCGCGGAACGTGATGGACAGACGATGTACAAAGGACGCATGGTCGCTGCTACTGACCTCGGCGTGACCTGGAAGGGGATACGGGCTATGCCACCTGCTTTGAGGCAGGCGCCCGTGGCAACCAGCCAAGGCACAGGAGATCCTGGAGAAACGACATTCTTTCTGGGTTCAAATGGGGGCGTTGCTGCAGGGTCTTCCCGCAAGAAATGTCCTGGTTATAGGAGCTGACATGAACTCGCGCTGCAGACCTCTCCCTGGCAAAATTGGACGCGGTTTGTTGAGGACCCACAAGACAGCTGATGAAGACTTCGTGGAGCTGGTACAGGTCCACGACTTGGCGCTGCTGAACACATGGGGAGAGGCTGCCCCGAGCAAAAGTCACACTTTCAAGAACGGCCCTCATCGGTCGCAACTGGACTTCCTGATCACTCGACGAAGCAAGGCAGATCACATGGCTAAAAGAACCGGCCCTTCTGACTTGGACTTGGCCCCGTGGAGGAAAGGACCGAAGCATCGCCCAGTAGTGGCGAGTCTCCCTTTCCGAGCAGGATGGTGTGATAGATCGGTCAGCCAAACCTCAGGATGGCTACTCTATCCGGGACCTTCGGTGGCACATAAGGCAGGATACACCCCAAGCTAAGTTGCTTAAAGACCATATCACCGAAATCTCGAACCGAACTGACACCCTTCAAACCCTGAACGACGAGATCCTTAAGTGCTGCAGGCAACTCTTCCCCACCCGTAAGAAACTGGCCTTAAGACCCAGCATGGATCCCCATACCACTGAAGCAGTTCAACAGATGTGGAGGGCAGTGGAGGGCCCACGCAGACAAGCAGGCCCGCTGTGTAGCAGGTGGCAGGGCACTGAACTTTGCTGCGGCCTCCAGGGCCTATCACGTGAATGCTGCTTTCAACAGGGCGCACGGGGAAGTGAAACGTAGCGGGAAGGTTGCTAGGCGTAAGTGGCCTGAGGAGCGCATTCAGAGGGCTGACGAGGCTGCGAAGATGCACAATCAGGCCGAGGTTTATAGGATAGTTTCGGAGATCGCGCCGCGTAAGCAGCGTGACAAGGTCTATGTGAAGTCTAAGGATGGTGGCCTTCTGAGCGGACGGGAACAGTATGATACTATCTACGGCTACTTCAAGAACGCTTTTAGCAGGGACCACGAGTATCAGCACGATCTTCCTACCGACTCTAGGGTTGCCTTCTTTGATGAGGCGGTTCACCAGGCCATATCCAAGCTTCACTGTGGGAAAGCCGTCCCACGTAGCAGCGTGCCGGCGGAAGTCTGGCGACTGCATTCGGAGGCGTTTAACAAGGTTTTTCAGTCGGAGCTGAGCCGGGGGCAGAATCCGGGCGCTAGACTGTCTTCCCAGTTTACAGATTGCAGTCTGTTACTCCTCCCGAAGCCCAACAAAGCTGGAAGACAACCACAGGACCTCCGCCCCATAGGTCTCCAGGACCCTAGCTCTAAGACTCTGGCTACTCTTCTCCGCGATGTAGCCAGTGCTCAATCACAAGCGGTGCTCCGTAGCTGCCCCCAATATGCCTATCAGGCCCAACGCTCAATTGAGGAGGCTGTCTCGCGAGTGGCAGGACACTGCAGGAAAATTCGGGATATCCTCAAGGAGGCTGTAGTTAATGTCCACCAAAAACGTGCGGGCAGACAGCCCTCTCGCTGCGTTGGCGGCTTGATGATAGGGTTGGATCTTAGCAGGGTTTTCGATTGCGTGCCCTGGGATGTGCTCCAGAAGGCACTTGATTTCGGAGGGATTGATCCGGCGCATCAGAGACTCATTCTGGACATTCACGAATCGTGCCACTATCATCTGAAGCACTGCAACTGCCAGGGGTCCTTCCCGATGTCCAGAGGGATAAGGCAGGGTTGTAGCTTATCGCCCCTCCTATATGCCCCTTTCACGGCTTGGTTTCATGCGGAGCTGCGAAAAGTCACCGGTGGCAGCTGGGCAGATCAGCTAGTCACTATGTTCGCTGACGATACCCTGTTGGCCTGGGAGATAGAGAGCACAGCCTCCCTCACTTTGCACAGCGCTGCCTCCGAGAGACTTTCCGCCTGTTTTCCGAGTGCGGCATGACGGTGAACGCATCCAAGTCGACAGCCGTCATTGCGCTGCGAGGTAGCGCAGGCAGAAGGTGGCTCCGCAACCACAGCGTGAAGATGCAAGATAGGCAATTAATAAAGTTTGGGACGCCGCACATCTCCCTTAATTAGGATCCCTATACACCCATATGGTTTATCTGGGAATAATTGCATCGTATACTGGATTCGAGCTGCAAACGCTGAACCACCGTCTGAAGTCAGGCCTGCAGGCACGACAGAGGCTGGCTAAGCTGCTACACTCCAACATCCTCTCGATGCAATACAGAATCCGACTCTACGTCTCCTGTGTGCGAAGTTCAGTCTTATACGGCCTCCATGCCATCGGCCTAACTCAGTCGGTCATGCAGAAGCTTGAGTCCTGGGATGCCAGGGCGCTCAGGGCCATAGCGCGCTCCCCAGTGCACCTGTCACGGGAGAAGAACCGGGCTTTCAGACGCCGAATTGGGGCAGAGTCTCCGACCGCTGTCCTGAGCCAGCTGCTCAGCCGCCACATTCCGAAGGTGCAGGAACCACAAAGTGTGCAAATCATGCAGGCCAGCCAGCAACTTCTGCAAGAGCTCACACAGCCACACAGCAAGCTCAGAGTACACCTTCGGGATGCCGTCTCACTCTGGTTTTGGAGGAGGGTCAGGAGCCTTGCGACAGTTGTGGCCTGTACTTTCCAAATAGGAGAATCCTGCTCGCCCACGTTGCCCGAAAACACCCGGAAGCTGTAGTGTGCAGAGTCCCACAGGGCGACCTTCATGATACCTACTCCGGTCACAACATAGATGGCATGCCAGCGTGCCGACACTGCAATGCGAAATTCTAGCGAGTTGAGGGACTCAAAAAGCACCTCAGAGGTGCCTGCAAGGTTCTGTACCCTCGTCCGACGACAGCGAACCCAAAAAGTGATGCTAGTGAGGCGGGAGTCCAGGTTCCTCCCCCTCATGAGGGGCTGCTTGGGCGCACGCGCCGGGTTCCTCCGGCATCACCCGAGGCACAGCAGGCCGTGTCACCAGACACTCCCATATGCCGAGATCCACGTTTTCGAGGCATGTGCCGAAAAGAGCTGGAAAGAAAAGGCACATCTACACCCGGCTGCAACGGCTCGACAGACGGGATTGGGCCTAGTCGGAACGGCACCCTGCCGCTACTGCGGAGAACCCTAGCTTGGCCCGCAGACCCAGCTTCGCCGCTGCCCAGCGCTGTGTCAAGCTAGCCTGTGTGGACTCATGCTCTCTGCTCAGGCCTCTGCGACAGCCGACCATGACGGAGGAGGGTCCCACGCTGGCAGCCAGGGAGGTCCACGAGTTCGTCTACACGAGAGCGGATGCCGAAATGCCGGCGACCACGGCGGAGGAGAAGGACAAGGAGCCGGACCTGACCCAGGACGGGCGAGCGCCAAAGTGGAAGAAGTCGAATTGGGGCGGGAAAGGCGAGAGCTGGGATGGGAGAGCCACAAGAGGACCTGTATGTGCTTTAGACTTTAGAGCCGATTTCACCGCTCCTTGGTCGCACTGCACTTGCCACTGCTCCGCTGTGGCCTCGAGCTTCGCTAGGTAGCCGTGGTCCCCGGTGTCGAAGAAAGCCATAAAGCCCGAGTCCGGTCGGGCTCGGCCCAAGTCCGCTTCGTGGCGGAGTGCGAGCTTGGTGAGGGCTTTCATGAGCTCGATGGTCTGTGCGTGGAGCGTTGCATCCTCGTTCGATGCTGAGGCTGGTTCCCAGCCCGGTTGCCTGCTCCGGGACTTCAAGCAAGCGCTCAAGGTCGTCATGGACGACGAGCAACCTGCAGTGGCTGGTGGAAGGAAGCCAGGCACTGAATCCGTGCTGGCAGTATTTCCTGTGGAACCCAACAACAAAGCAGCAGGAGATTGACCCGGAGCACCAGCCCATCAGCCACATGGACCTCCTCACCCAGTTGGACACGCTCGAGCGACACATCGTGGAGGGCAACAATCTCTCCAACTTCAGGGCGACGAGGTTTCTGGCGGATGCATATCAGAGCGAGGTCCTCCCCTTCATGATCTCAATCGGCATGAGGGATGCCGCGGCGCATCAGTGCCACGCCGCCATGACCAAGCTGTGTGGTTGCTCGGCCACGAAAGTGATGGGATTCAGACTGCGCCCGGAGAGAGCCACCAGACAGCCGGTGGCGAAAGCCCTGGAGCAAGCCTACCTGAACACCAAGTTCTGCGATTGGCAGACACGCAAGCAGAGTGTGCGAGGAGTGCCCCAGCCTGCCTGTCCGGCTGCCCCACAGGGCGCCAAGTGAAAGGCACTGGCTATGACAGGCTGCCAACAGCCTCTGCCTCCTCTGGCCCGGGTGCGTGCAACTGGCAGACTGGCAGACCTGCACTCCCTGTAGCAAAACTTCGAAATCCGGCGAACCACTGCTACATAAACAGCTTCATGCAGGCTCTGCACAGACTGGGTGAGCTCACGGCTGACCCGGCAGGATGTCTAGGCCTCCTGCAGGTGGGCCTACGCCCGCTCACGCGCCCAGGGTCCATACTCATTGTTGACCTGCTCTCTTGGCATAGCCTTTTCAGGGACTGGCGATCACCCAGACAGCAGCATGACGTGTGCGAGTTTGCGAATTTTACTCTGACCCGCATCGAAGCTAGCTCGTTTCAGGGTCGCTGGGAAGCCAGACTTGAAGACCCGCACCTGATCACGGATACAGGTGAGCTGGAGCAGCCAACCCCGCTGCACTTAGCACAAGGAGGCCTGATGATGGATCAGTGGCATCTCCAGTATGCCCGACATGCGCTGACCGCCTCCGTTACAGTCCTTTTTTGTTCAGCTGTGTAGATATGGGCAAGATGCAACTGTAACTAAAGATGCGACCTGCGTTGACATCAGGCTCGGCGAGGAGATCCGGGTCCCGATCTTCAGCAGTGAAGAGGGCACTGCCGTGCGTAGTGAGTCTTTTCGGGTAGGGGTCATCCTCATTCACATTGGAGATCGGGTGGATAGGGGTCATTACAGGGCGGTGCTCGGAATGCCAAACAGAGACGGACAACCGTGGACTGCATACCTGTGTGATGATAATCAGCCCCCCCGCAAGTACGGTCCTAGGGATAGGGTTTTGGTTAACTCCAACTCCTACCTCATAGGACTCCTGCGGTGCTGATGTGCAGAGTCGGGTGGCTAGGTCGCCACCCGACGCGCAGCCGGGTAGCTGCACCTCCCGCCACGCGTGCGGCAAACACACGTTCCTATTCAAGTTCCGTATAGACCGGCCTGTAAGTGCCGAAACAACGCAATGTCGGTTCCTGAGTCGATAAATCGCTCTTGGTTGAATCTGCAAGTTTTTGACACCCATCTTGAAGTATGCACAACTGCGATGCACTGTGGGCTGCACTCAACCGTGGCCGGAGCGGCATTCTCAGCTCAAGTCAGCTGATGTCAGTTGCTTTGCCTACACCCCGGCCGTGCAATTGCTTCAACGTCAGCATGGAATCGGCGATGGATGTGGCCCAGCTCAGACTCTGCACCAGAGCAGGATGCGGCCGCTCCTATCCTCGTCTTGACAAGCCTTACTGCTGCTCGAAGTGTGCTCATGGCTGTCATGGCCATACAGCACGCTGCAGCAAGCTCATGCGCTTCGTAAGCAAGACCACCAAGGCTTGTGTGCGTGCGGGAGTGACGATCTGCACCACCCCAGGATGTAGCCGACAGTCAGGATTAGGACACTCCACCTGCTGCTCCGCAACTGCACACCCGCAGGTGTCAGAGGATGCAGCAGTCTGCTGTGACCATGACAAGGCCCACGGCGGAAAGCGAACCGGTGGGAACGGGCACAAATGCTTCGGAAGCGGGCGCTAGCTCCAGTGGAAGCTATGATGGCGGTACGATTATCACCTTTACGGCTACCAGTGAAGCGATGCCGAAGGATGGGACACGAGCTAACCATGCAGATGAAGCCAAGCTTGATTTAGAGGCAATGGACTAAGATGTTCAGCCTGTAGTCCCTCGGAGCCATCAATCGCATGGCGCGACCATATGAGTCGCCGAGTCATACGGCTCGTCCATCGTCGAACGCCACGACTGGTGTGACGTGTGCAATGCAATGCTGCTACTACTGCTACTGCTACTTCTACTGCTACTGCATCTACTCCCACTGCTACTCCTACCCCAACTCTGACTCCTACTCCTACTTGTACTCTTCCTCCTACTATTGCTACTGCTACCTACCGCTATCATCTACTACTCTGCTACTACTACTACTACTACTACTACTACTACTACTGCTACTATTACTACTACTACTACTACTACTACTACTACTACTACTACTACTACTACTACTACTACTATACTGCTACTGATGCACTAGCACAGGTGTCATCTCTTGAACTGCCTCGAATTCAGGACGATGCCCGCCCAACGTTTGCTCAGGCAGGCAGTTGGCACTTCTCTTCTTTTCTGTCATTTCACCATGCAAAGTGTTGTTTGAATGTCAGCTCTGCAATATGTCCACCGTCAATCTTCTCAAACCCGAAGCGCAGACGCGCTTGCAACTCATGTAGCACCACTGTTCCACCTTGTTGGCAGATGGGGCGAGTGCAAAACGTCCCGTTGTCCTACAAAGAGCTTGCTTGCTTTGCACTTTCATCCGAAGGTCACGGGGTCTCAGCATGGTTCTGAACGACGAAGACATTCCCGTTCCAAGTGGCAGGTGCACCGGCACGGGATCACTTTTTATCATCATCTTACCGACAAGAAGCCTTGGTGAGACGCTGAGCTGAAGCAGGCGGAGGCTGCTGCGTGCGTGCAGCATGGTCACCTGCGAGGAGGAATCCTTCAGGTCCTGCATGAGTCATGGGGTCCGGTCTGGCCCAGGGCAACCTCAGTGTTGAGTTGCGAAGGCGAGCACGCGCTACAAGCATGATCGATTCAGACGATGTCGAAAGCGTCGTCTCCTCCACGAATCAGTCCGGAATCCTACCGAGGCGAGGATGCACGAGATGTTAACATGTGCAGGTGACTGTTGCTCTATGTTGCTCGGCTGTCATTACTGCTGTCGTCCCATTGCCGCCAAGGCGAACCACTGCCGCGAGCATGATCTTCAGCGAATCTTCTGGCAATTCCTTTCATGAGACTCTTGCTATGAAAAAACTGCGGAGAAACATGTGTGCATGTACTACAGCGCAGATTCCTGCAGCCAGGGGCCTTGAGCAACTTAGGCCGAGAAAGGCGCTCAGCATGCTCAGCAACATGCCGGAGCACTGGCTTGACAGGGATGGGTGCAGCACTCAGTGCTGGTATCCGACACCAGCATGGTAGTCACTACAGTGTAGTGGTGCAAGTATTGCTGCAACTGCTGCTTCTGCATCCATCCGCAGTACGCGGTCTGCTGGAAGGGTGCCACGTGGCGCGCGTCAGGGTTGCCACACGGCGGGCGGTGAGGTTGCCGAGTGGCGCGCGGTGGGTTGTTGCCGCGTGACGGGCGGCGGGGTTGCCGCGTGGCGCGCGAGGGGGGTGCCGCGTGGCGCGCCGTGGGGGTGCCGCGTGGCGCGCGGCGGAGGTGCCGCGTGGCGCGCTGTGTTGTGTGGCGCGCGGTGGGGGTGTCGCGTGGCGGACTCTGCCACTTCCTCCCACTCCTCCTCCGGCCAAAGCAGCAGCAACAACAACAGCTCCCACTACCACAGCAACAACTACCACCTGTACTCCGAAGACTACTGTTGGTGCTACCACTGCTTCTGCTACTAATGCTAGTGCCAGTGCTGCGGTTGCTACGGTTGCTACTACTGCTACTACTGATACTACCGCTACTACTGCTACTGCTGCTACTACTGCTACTACTGCTAATACTGCTGCTACTGCTACTACTGCTACTGCTACCGCTACTACGGCTAGCTACTGCCGCAGCTGCTGCTACAACAACTACTACTACTACTACTACTACTACTACTACTAGTACTAGTACTACTAGTACTACTATTACTACTACTACTACTACTACTACTACTACTACTACTTCTTCTGCTTCTTGTTGCACGGGGACGACTACTAGTGCTGCTGCTACTACTACTACTTCTTCTGCTAGTACTCGCGCTAGTGCTGCGACCTGCGCCATAGTACGGACGAGGATGTTGCAACGAGGAGGTTAAGAGTCGCGGTGCTCAAAGCGTGGCCTACTGCGAACACGTATTCTTCTTCTTCCGAACAGATGCTTCCGTGCCTGCGCATGCCCACGTGTGGTGCTTTGGAAATTCCTAGCGCGTTGCGCAGAGTGCCAAGCCACATAAACATGGGCAGGCAAGTGTCGAAGCCTTCGCAAAGACCGAAGCTCGTCTGCACTTCGACGCTGCAGTAGAGATGTTGCGCAGTAGCAGTAACTGAGTGCTGAAGAGCTCTGGCATGTGTGCAGCTGTAAGGTTCGGTAAGGTGCAACAGACAACGTTGTGACACTGAGGCCACGGGGGGCGCTTAGCATGCTCAGCGAAATGCCGGAGCACTGGCTTGCCATGGACGAGTCGGGCTCCCAGAGGCACAGTAGCACTGGCAGGACAGAAGCAGCAGCAGCATCAGCGGCAGCAGCAGGAGGAAGCAAGAGGAAGCAAGAGGAGCTAGGAAGGCAGCAGGAGGCAGGAGGAGCCGGAGGGATGAGGAGGAGTCATAGTAGTCATAGTAGTAGCAAGAATATGTTGTCTCTATGCTTCGTAGTTGTAGTTGTAGCAGCAGCGTTCGCTTTGGCGTTTTGGAGGGGCACAGGCCTCGCGAACATCGCGGTTGTCGGCTTGACACTCAGCGAGTTTACCGCTTGGGCCCCGGCCCCGGAGCCGGAAGTCTGAAGATATGCCCTGGGTGAGGATTGAGCTACCAATCGCATCAGTCTGGGCGAAACTAAGCACTTATGATTCCTATGAAGCAATCAGCACATTTGGGACCAAGACTAGGATTGATGCCAGTGGCGATCCTAGCGGGCACGCTTTCAGCGCCCACCCCCCCGCTGAACACGTTGTGAAACCTCGAACGGTCCAATCGCATTGCAGTGGTGAGGTGTTGGATGCCAGTGGCGGATGTTGTATGCACGTCTATTGCTCATGCCGGCTGATTCTGTTTTGCATAATATGGAACCAGGGCGGTGTACGAACTTGCCCTTTCTACCCGATTCGTCCACCTGTGCCAGTGACCGGAGGTTGTTGTTCATCCCACACGAAACAGCAGGCAATGGTGGAGCAGTGGTGTAGACGGCAGCCAGCCGGTGGTGGGTCGTGGGAGCGGGGGGTAGGGGCAGGATCAGGACTGACTCTTCAGGAAGTCTGAGAATTGCATCACAGCATTCCACACACGGGCAGGCAAGTGTCTGAGCCGTCGCAAGAACCGAAGCTCGGCTGCACTGTGATGCTCCCATCGAGACCTTGCGCACTGCTGATTGCTCAATACCTTCTGGAGCGTTCGATCGTGCAGCAGCACCCAATGCATCCACGCAGCTTTCAACCCCTAGGCCGCGAGGGGCTCTCAGCATGCTCAGCGAAATGCCAGAGCAGTGGTTTGCGAGGGATGGGTCGGGCACCCAGATGCATCGAGCAACCGTCGTCGTCGTCGTCCTTCTGGTCGTCCTCGTTATCCTGCTGGTCCTCGTTATCGTTGTCATCCTTGTCGTTGTTTTGTTGTCTCGTTGTCGTCGTCGTCGTAGTAGTAGTAGTAGCAGCAGTAGTCGTCGTCGTAGTAGTAGTAGTAGCAGTAGTCGTCGTCGTAGTAGTAGTAGTAGGAAGAGGAGTAGTAGTAGGAGGGATCGGAGAAATAGGAGTAAGAGCAGGAGCATGCAGAAGCTGCAGCAGAAGCTACAGCCGTAGCGGTAGCGGCAGCGGTAGTGGTAGCAGTAGCAGTAGGTGTAGCAGTAGCAGTACGAGTTGTCGTCGTGTTGGTGGGGTTTTGGTGGTGGCTCGGTGGTGGCGGTGGTGGTGGTGATGGTGGGAGGAAGAGCTTCGTATCTTAAGCCACTGCATAACATCTCATAGAAAGAATGCCGCGACGACGATGTGTGACCTTGGTTTGCCCTGTGGAAGTATGCTCCTTGGACGCAGACTGAGAAGCATTGCAAAGCCCCCGGCCCCAAGCATTGGCAGGCAAGAATGGGTGCCTTCGCAAGAACCGAGACTCGGCTGACACAGGATGCTAGCAGCAAGATCTTGTGCAGCTGCATGCTGCACGGCTCCGAAGAGGGTACTCATAGCTGGCACAGACAAGAAGCAAGGCAAAATGGGTGCACTTGTGTGGATGTCGTCGTCCGCAGATACAAAACAGTGCCCCCAGCCTGTCGCAGCGCAAGCTAGCTGTGAGGCAAGGATCCGAGTTCGACTTTGACTTGCCGCCAGAACCGCAACCTGGCAGTTCAAGGAGTCGTAAGTGGAGGACTTCGTCCTTCTGTTGAGCACCGGCTGAGGTCCGAAAAGGGCGATCCGGATGGCTCTCAGGGCGGCAGCTTTTCCACATCGATGTCACGTCAGGAATTGCCAGAGGAGCCTGTCTCAGAGTCGGAGAAGACTGAGACGAGCATAAGTTGCTCTGCCCATCATGGCGTGAAGGGGCATCTCAGCCAGCATTTGGCCTCAATCTTGCCCTGCTTCAGTGCCTGCTCTCTCCCATACACACTCGTGAGCGCAGCCGACCTGACAGCAGAGCAGTGGACAACCCGGCACTTGGCAGAATGTATTGTGCCACTAGACTCTGCTGCCTTCTTCGCACCGATAGCTGCAGTCCAGCCAATCGAGGTATTGCAACGCAGCTGCTTGGCCATCTGCGCAGTGGACAATGCCAGAACTGGCTCCACGGCTTTAAGAGTCTGGCAAGTTCGCAAACGTGAGGCTTTCCTAAATCGATCATTCCTCGACTTCACTTGGAAGCACTGTGCATCCTTCCGTTTGCCTGTCCTTGGAAGACGCTGCTTTTGAATTTTGAGCTAAACTGTGGTAACTTCCGTTCGGTTTAATGCCTCGACTTCCCTCAGCGTGGGCTCCAAAAGAATTCGCAAGTGCACAAAGACAATGCACATGCATGACTCCTGAGCCACGCCAGGACCGTGACAGGGCAAGTCCTTGAATAGCAGGGCTAGGCAAACTTTCAAATGCGTGGCTGTGCCCCTCTGCAGCTTGTGTGGACGTTGCAAATGCTGCCCGGTTTAAGAACGGCAGGACCACTGGCGTGACCAGAGACCGCAGCCCTTCTTAGTTCTGGTGCGGTGCTGAGAGTGACCCTGGAGCTTGGTTGCCCATTAGCGAACGCGAACTGCTCGGAATGATGAATGCTCCGACCGAGGCTGCAAATGATTGAGGCACCACAGGGAAAGCGGTTCACGCCGGTGACCAGTAGTCTGCGCTGGCAGAGCTTGATGCGTGGTCGCAAATTCATGGAGTACGCTGCGCGGCTAAGAGAGAACGAGAAGCGAAGCTTGTCTTTCCTGGTGCCATCTGAGGAAAAGGTTGGCCTGTGGATGCCAGGGCGACTACATCTCTGCTGCTAGCGACTCCTCTTCTTTGCGTCTTCAACAGGCTGACTTCCAGTCAGAGACAGTTATGCAGCACTGTAGGTACGTAGGCTGTCAAGAGCAAAAGAAGACGACTCCATGTGTTCTGTTCCTCTTGGGCGACAACAGACAGCGCTTCGGAGTGAGTTTTTTGTCCGGTGAGCTACATGTGAAGACTCCGGTCAACCCATTGCTCTTGTGGAATGATCTACTTTACTGGAGGCAAAGGTGAAGGATGTGGACCCACTGGAAGTTATGCAAGTTGGTCGGCATGCACCTCGGCCACTTGTGCAGGAGCTCTCCTGCAAGGGGGCTCCAGTGTAAAATGCAGCCTTGTGCAGCCTCCTCAGGTGCTTTACTACAACCCCAAAGCCAGGCGCTTTGAAAGCCGGGTGGTAAAGATCGATGAGCAGCTGAGCTTCCTCTTCGTGCTGCAGGAAGGGACTCTAAAGGAGCCTTTTGCTGCAAGGCTCTACGAGGTTGACGAGGCCCAGCAGACACTGGCAAGCCCTTCAAGCAAGCCTGCATGGACATTCTACAGGTAACTCTGCAATACACCGCCCTGCAGTAACCCACGAATTTTCGAAGTCCCGGAAGTCGCACAGAGGATCCGCAGTAGGTACGCAGTACGCCTCGAAGTGAAAGCCCAATGCCAGGTGGTGACATCAACTCGGGCCATGCAGATTTGTGAGGAGCTGGATCTGAGTGACGAGTACTTGATGGAATCCACTGCTGTTGTCGTAACCCATACGCGTACCTGGGCTTTGCTCCAGTCAGACTTACCCATTAACTGCAATGCTTGTCTTGTAGCATGCGCACATAGTGTCAAGTCAAGGAAGCTCGAAAGACAGAGAGAACCTCTTGAACCATGACAAGGCGATTTGGGGTCTGCGTCTTGCGCAGTGAAGCTTTGCGTTGTCAGCCGAGTTTGACAAGCTTACGGTTTCACCCAGCCATGAGGTGATGGTCTTCGTGGCCCCACCTGCAATGAAGCTCGTTGATCACATTGCCGCGTGCGTGGAGCTCTCCAAGCTGAAGTTCTCCGCCGGAGCTGATGACGAAGAAGGCTTCCAGAGAGAGGGAGCAGTGAGGTGAACTTGCCAATCCTGGCCAATCTTGGCGAACAGAAAAGACGAAGCAATGTGGTGCTCTAGCTTTCAGGAGGACTGGTAGATGTGGGGAATGCTGAAGAGGCACATAATACGGCGAGTCAAGCACCACCGCAAGCCTAGGCCGCGGAGCTCGGTCAGAGATTTCAAGTCAAGTGAATGCTCGTTTTGGATTCAGAATGCAATGTCGTCTTGGACTTGTATGCATCTTACCAACTGTACCTGCAGCATTCCTATCATCTGAAGTGGTGCTTATTGTAGTCCGCCATTAGGGGTAGCAGTCAACATCAGCCGCGGTCAGAGTTCGTGTCAATAACGACTTGAATAAATGTCTGCCACAGAACAATCAACACTTCTTCTCTTGGTTCCTGTAAATGGAAGCCTTGATAATCGCGATTGTCGGAACCATAGTCAACTTTAGAAGCACGCTTGCCCGCAGTGACCTTGGCGACAAAACTTAAGAGATCTGGCGATGTCATTTGCTCAAGGTTCTTGCTAGGGTTGCTTGTTGGCTAAAGTTGAGTTGAAACCGGTAAACTGACGCGCGCGGCATCTGCAAAACACGCGCTGTTTCCGAGGTGTCAGGCTGAAAGATACCGGACGCTATCTCGATGCAGCTCGCATTGGGAACTGTGCGGCCATTTTCTTTCATTACTCTACCGGCGTTGAGTTGGAGTTTACACTTCGCCCGGCTGACAGCGTCGAGGAGAGACAGGACTTGGCGAGGAAACAGCATTTGAAATTTCGTTCTTTCGTCACGGTCAGGGTTGGGAAATAGAATGAAACAGAAATGTTTCGCTCCTTGAGGACTACGAAAGCAAGATGCCAATCACTCACATGATCTCGTTTCCCATAGAGTACGGCAGTGTGAAGATGGAAATAAACAAGCTGCTGGACAGGCTTGGCATTCTTCCAGCCCTTGACTTGACACGTCTCAGCTTGGTGATGTACGAGATGGTGATTCACAGACACTGGATCCACCCTCACATGAAACTCTTCCCTGGAGGCATGTACGAGTTCATGCATGACAGGAACGGGCTGCAAGCGCACTTCAACGTAAGTGCTGAGGTGCAGAGCCAGATATTAGAAGTTCCGCAACCGCCTCGGCGCCAGATGGATGTGCACTACTACTCGAGCAGAGCATTGCAGGCAACCACCTTGGCTTTGAAGCATCTTCTTTCTCTGGAAACTGTCTTTCAGGCAGCAGACAAGAGAAAGGTCTCAGAATCACCGGAGGATGTCACGCAGGGGGTTCAGATCTTCTGCAGAAGCAGCAGAAGGCCTGATGATGAGGAGCTTTCCCATATTGATGAGGAGTTATACTCAGATGAGGAGCCTTCCGAAACATGGAAAGAGCCCGGCCGAAGAAGTTCGGGTGGAGTCGTGCTGGATGTATCCACAGAGCCACCTGAGTTTGAGGATGTAAGCGACGTGGAAGACTTTGCCTTCGCTGTCAGAAGAGAGATTTAAAAGGAACGTTCGTGGGCGGCGCGGCGCCATGTTTGAGGTTGGCGTCTTGTGTTCCGCCGAGTCTGTATTGTCTGTATGTATAATTCCGTCCGGTTAAGTCATCGATTTGCGCCTGGGAAGCGTGTTTGTATGATTGCGGTGTGCAAGCGGCAAGTGCATATATGTTCCCTCGATGTTTTTCAAGCATGTGATATTCTCGAGCATTGAACAAAATGGGCGCATCGTGCATGTCAATCCACATACCGTATACCAGTTAACGTCCGATTGCACGTTTTGGTTTCGAGTGACGCTCCATGCACGTCCTTCCATAGAGACCATAAAGTTTCCGAGAGGGATAGCGTGGTCGCACTCCTCACTGCTGTACGACCAAGTTCGGGTCGCTAGACCTAGACGCGAGGCGTATCTACCTTAAAACGGTTTGTGCGATGTCGTTTCAAAGGGTTCCGATCTCGAAGCCAAGGTCGGACTGGAACCTGATCACGTGGACGCTGGGCCTGGGTTCATGTTCGTTTCGCAGAGTCCGCGTCACCAGCCTGCGAGAACGCACCGTTTCAGCTCAAGCACGAATTGTGACTGCAAGGACGTCTTTTGTCAGTCGGCATTGGAGAGGTGTGGAACTTGCCCAACGTCTGTAAAAGCCTACACCACCCACAAGGCAGTCGCTGGCTGTTGTGAGAGCTTGGCTCATGTTAGTCGGATTCAGATGACATGAGAGCAGGTTGAGAGGGAGCTGTCTGAACTGTGCCGTCTGCTGGAGCACAAGGCCAGGCGCAAAGCAGTAGCTCAGTAGCGCCTGCGGCACCGTTTGAGGCAGCATCGCTGGCTTCCACTACATGTGACCCAGATCAGGATGCCAAGCGCTGAGCCTCTGAGCCCCCCCAAGCTTGGGCACTGGCACTCGTCTTTCTGGCATACAAGGACACATCAAGCTCCAAGCACACAACTTCCGAGGCAGGTGTATCTTGCGGCATCTCAAGCAATGGCTTTCGAATGCTCCCAGGACGGAGATTGGGAACGCGATCCTGCGGATTTTCTGGCCCCAGTTCAGGCAGAGGCACGTTGGGGTTGCAAGTCATGCAGCCGTCGCACATGGGCACGGTGGCGTCGAAAGTGGCGATGTGCCAGGCCAGCGCAGAAAGCGATACGACGATATCTGGGTCTGCTGTCGTTGCTACCAGAGCCGAGCGGGAACGCGAAGCAGATCCCGATGCAAGCAGGCCAGTCCTGATGCTTGTGCTGGTAGCTCCGATGCAGTTCGAGATTGCTCCTCCCCTCCCGTCAGGCTGAAGAAGCCCGGGTTCATGGTGTCTTGGCAAGAAACATGGCATGCGGCAGTGGCGGTGAAGTCATACTTCGTTGACATTCTGAGTCGGCAATGCGAGAGAAGGTGCACAAGGTATTTTTGCATATTAGGGGGATCTTGAGGTTTATTCTGCAATATTCTGCAAGAAGCAACGATTTCTAGAAAGTCACACTGCAGTGTTCCAAGGATCGAATGTTGAGGACCTTTTGCCCTTCGCTTGTGAAGTCCAAGGCCAAGTGTCAGTGTTGGCAGGGGGCTGTCCATGCTTCCAACAAAAATTGGAAGAGAACACACGGTTGGCTTGTGGAGCCGAAGCTCGCGAACTTGCAGAGCACTCGCACCTCGCTTGGCAAGGTCACGATCGGACAAAGGCCGGCTTGCTTCCATGTGTGCGCTGGAGCCTGTTGTCATCCCATGATGTGCATGACGAAGCTTGTCTGCTGCCATACCAGCTGTATTTCACGGCAAAGCACATGCTGAGCAGTGGATTGCGCGTCCCGGAGATGGGAGGCGAGAGAGGCGACGAGGTCGCCAACTTGCCGAGGCGAAGCAGCACTACTCATACTACGGGGTACTACCGTACTCCGTCTTAGGTGCAGTTTCTTCTGTTCCGCTGGCACTCAGGTTCGCAGGAGCAGAATCCAGTTCGGCTCCAGAGCCCTTGAGGCATTCCGGCATCTGTGTCGTGCACTTGTGATTCAACTGTCTTTCCACTCATCTCATTGCACGAGAGACATGCAGCTTTCGGGATTGTGTCGAAGCCCTGGGGCAGGCCTGACACGTCGCCGGGTTCTCCGAGTTCTCTCGGAGCAGGCATGAGCATGAGCGTTCCCTGTGATGACAGGTTTCAGGTGTGTCGCGGTGTTGCCGGAAGGTGTCGGCGACATAGAATAACGCTGCGGGGCGGCCTGAGATGTAGCAAGACAGCGTGGAAACAGCCAGCTACAGAAGCCACAGCGAAATCACAGGAGTTCCCACGTGTTAGGAATTCGTGAAAGTCTAATTACTCGCAGGGAACTGAGCTACGCCCCTTTACCTGATAAGGGCAATAAGGTAGCTTCAATTCCCTTGCAGTTTGCATGCGCTTGCCTCGACTGGCTGGAGAAGACTCTCGGCCAGGCTGGCCTAGTTGGAAGCAGCACCTGCCTTCCTGCTCGATGCATGTCTGGTTTTCTAGGCCGCTGAGTCGAGACCCTTCCGCCCTTAATGGGCCGAATGAGTCTCAACATTTCTGCGGTTGCGTTGTCATGCCCTCTCTCCGAGCGCTACAGATCATGAACGAATGTTACAAAATTCTTGGGGAAGTGTCCTCTGCGGTTTGCGGAGGAGAAGCTAAGTCTCGTCTGAGATGAGACTTGGAGCAACAGGACCAGGATCTGGCGGACTACGCGGAGAAAGTTTCTCTCAGGGAAGAGTCCTTGGCTTGTGGAGAGACCATGTATTTGATAATGTCATTGCTTGTTGGGGGCGTGTGATCTTGACAGCTGAGGCGGGCTCTGTCGAGGCTACGAAACGCTGTTTGCTCTCTGCAATGTACTTCCAAGGATACGAAAGCGCATTTGTGGCTTCAAAAGCTCTGAAGAAATGCAGCCGGAGGAGGAGGGGTCTTGATATCTTCGTGTCCGCAGCAATTATCGAAGCTCAGGCAAATGGTTGGCAAGCCGGCGTCCACCAGCGTATCTTCGCCATGGGTCCTCGACAGCTGCAGACTTTCCTGAGCAAGACGGTGGCACCGCAGATTATTGATGTCGATGATGAAGTCCGAAGTCATGGACAGGTGGGGCTCGTCGTAGACTTTCCTGCCTTTACATTCTGGCTACTCGGGTACCACAACAACGAGATAGTTGCCTCAGACCTCGGTCGCGTCACCGCTCTGGCCCGAAGGTTGGTCGAAGGGCTTGCCAGCCGCGGAGTACGGTTTCACTTTGTTGAGGATGGTGCGCAGGGCTGCAATGGGCCTGAGGAGATGGAATCCAAGCTGACGGAGTTGAAATCGCGCTTTGCCCAACGTCAGGCTGACAGAGCAAAACTGAAGCATTTCTTGGAAGGCACTGATTGCGATCCGGGGCAAATCCACGGTGGGCCCCTCTTTGCTGACGCAGTTCGTGCTGGGATTCGGGAGGCTGGCGCTTCTGTGCAACTTGCACATGGAGAAGCGGATCCTGAATGCGCTCGTGCTGTGGAGCAGACAAAAGCACTGGCTGTTCTTGGCAATGACACGGACTTTGTCATCATGCAGGGTGGTGCCAAGCTTGCTCTCATTTCCAACTTTCTTGCTAGTCCCGACTGTAGTCTTCCAGTACAAGTAGTTTTGTTCTGTAAACTTGTGGTCCTGAAAGCTCCTTCCAAGGCCGACTCGTGACCTTCCAGAACTTTGATCCGCATTTCGCCGTTCTCCCCGCCCTGTTGGATTTGCGAAACATCAAGGAGCCTGAGCCTTTCAGAAGCGCCAGGGATAGCCTGCAGCTTCGGTTCCAATCCACAACAGGTCCTGGGGCGCAGCACAGGGGTGTGCTGAGAGTCAGCAACAGCCACTGTTCATCCGCTTCGAAGGACTTGCAAGGCGAGCGCCAGCACGAGAAGAAGTTTGTCCTGAAGGCTTTGCCTGCAGGGAATTCAAGTCCACAATGAAGTGAATCCTAGTGTGTGAACGGCTCTTGCAACGGTAAGTCGCAGCGAAGGACCAGAAGGCTTCGCTTGGCTATAGTCATCTCGCTATATGTCTGTACAGGTTGCAAACTCACCATCGGGCCTGAACCATGTCTGCGATGCGTCGCGCTAGAGGTGGCCGTGTTTGTGAATGGCTGTTGGCACGGATAAGCGGAGAATGCCAAACGGCACTCGAAAAGCCGAACAAGGAAAAATCGAAAAGTTGCAGTGAATAGAGGTTTTCGCGAAAAGCCAGAAAAACCGAAAAGGCGAAACGTCAAGAACAGCAAAACACGAACAGTCGAAATGCCGCGAAGAGTCGAACGATGTAGCAGGGCGCGAAAGTGGAAACGTAGAGCCAATAGTTAAACCGTAAATTCGCAAAGTCAAAATCTGCGAGCTGTCGACAAGTACAGTGGAACGCTACAAGGCGAAAATTCACAAACGTCGAAATATCGAAGCGTTAAAAGCCCAGAACCACCGAAGAAAGGGACACCTGAACAAGTCTGGTCAAACCTCACTGAGACGAGCACTTTCGGGGAGCCTAACCCGAAGACCCAGCTCGGCCAAAAGCATCTAGGTTTTGGATAGAGGTCTTTATAAAAACCTCTAGGTTTTGGATTCTTGTAGCTGGTCCTTCCAATGCCCGACATTGCTTCAAACTCAGCCAGGCTTGACACATGGTGGTTCCCAGACCCGAAACAATTTGGTGCTGTCGGAACCACAAAGTTCTCAAAAATTAGTGCAAGTTGGCGTTTTACGGGCTCCGGAAACCAGAAAATCAAGCATGTCTATGGTTTCGTTGATGTCAGGTGTTCCGAGGATACCCAAAATCATCAATCACCAGATGGGAATTTCGCGAGCCTTGCTTGGTCGGCTGCTCCGACACGCCAAACAAATTGAAATGCCCGTGTCTTCGTCAGTCTTTGGTGCTTTCGGGCACACGAAATTCTCGAAAGTCATTGAGACTTGCTGTTAGGATTCCTGACTTTCACCGAGATACAGGTGGCTCCATTCGTTTTAGGTTCAGAATACCAAATCTCTGAAATTTGCGAGCCCGTGGTGCCCAAGCCTATTGAAAATCAGCCGAAGTATCCCAAAACCGGGCAACAGAACACTGCATATGTTTCTGGTATTTCTGGTTGATTACAAAACCACGATGAAGAATATGCAGCTGCGCGGCTCCTAAGACCCGAGCAGCAAACCAAAATTGCATACGTTTTTGCTACTTTCTGTTGTCTGTTGAAAAATTGTCAAATAACGCTGAAAGAGCACGCTTGAAGAGTTCGCCTCATCCGAAAATTCAGCAGGCATGCATGTTTTGTCCACTTGTCGGTGGCTTGGGCAGAACCCGAAATGGTTTGATATTTAGCAAAGTTTGCCGACAAGCTCGATTCTTCTGAAAGTTACTGCCGCGACTTGTGACAGTACTACTACGACTACTGCCGACTGCTACTCGTTGTACTTGCTTCCACCACCAGCCCTCGCTTGTCCCTATCCGCCCAACCTCTTGGCCTGCCTACCCCGGTCTAGCCCTGGGCTTGCCAGGGCTTGCCGCTGCTGCGCTTTCGCCTGGAACAACAGCCCAGGGTACCCTTGCTTGGCCTAACCGAGCCCAGCCCTGGGTACCCGGCCTGGAGCTTTTGTGTGAAAACCTGAAAACATCGGCGAAGCCGAAAAGTACCGAACATTCACGTAGAGAACATAGCGAAAGTACAGAACAGTTCGAAAAGCAGACAAGCTCGGAAAGCACCCAAAAGTGCGAAAAGCGCAGACAAACGCGAAAAGTCGAAAAGCCCGAACAGCACCAACAAGTGCGAAACACACAGAAACAACGCAAAAAGTCGAAACGCCGAACCGTCAAAAACTTTTCGACTTTCGGTACTTAACTCGGTTCTCCGCTTATCGCAACCAACGCCTGCTTGCATACTTAGCCCAGGGGAATGAGTTACATAGGTTCGCATATTCAGTGCATGCCACTGTGCCTGCTATTGCTTGCTAACGGCGACCTTACCGCCTCCAACAAGACTTACCAAATGCAACCCGCGGCAGCCTAAGCAATATGTTGAACAGCCCGGACATCCAAACAACTGCAGTTGAGTTCCGCTCCATCTTGAGGTTTGGACACGCCAAGCGCTGGCAAACGCCCTTGCCGTTCCCGAGGACCGTGTATCGACGGGCGAATCGTTGGTCTGCATGTGAGCTCTCGTGATTTGCGGGAATGTCCCCCGGACGATGCTGTGACGATGAGTCCGAGATGATACCTTCGGATGTTGGCCTTTGGTCCGATGGACAGACAATCTTGAAGCCAGGTTCCACAAGAGGATCAAGCATTCTGCTTAGGCTTAAGCCTATCTACCTGGCCTTCCGCTGCTCCCTTCTCCTTCCTCTCTCTCTCTCTCTGTCTCTATCTGATAAAGTTGCGCTTGCATTTTCGCTTGACCTGTCAGCCTTTTCTCCGTCGCCATTCGGCCTAAGATGGGCCCTCTTGAGTCTCTTACCTTTGTGCGAGAAGCGGAAACATGTCTTGCTGCGACTGACACGTCTTTTCTTCAGTGCGAGTGTCTTGTCAAGTTGGCACCGGAGCCTGCTTCGAGCCCGCATGCCGAGCATTCCTGAGATCTTTGCGATGAACGGCGAGGACTCTGCTGATTCTCTCCCCGACCTCGAGAACCAGGAACCGGCATTGCAGACGGCTCATCCAGGGACCACCGGCCAAGCCAGACAGGCGGACCGTTGGAGATGCGCTGCTTGTGAAAGCAGCAACTTGACCAAGGACCCCGCTGGCTTTTGGAGTTGCGAGGACTGCGGCTCGACCCTTTATTATTCAGTGGACATGCCTGCGTCGAGAAGGGCGGTGCACGGGCTGGGGACATGGCATTATGTTCCTGCAGGCGGTGCGCCACCGACTTCCCCGATGGCAAGGACACCTGGTGATGGAGGGCCTCCGGCTGCAGACCCGAGCCCCACTACGACTCCCACAGCGAGGCCTGGCGCCGGCAACCGCCGGCGGAGACGACGGCGACAAGGACGACCCAGACCACCGGACGACGACGATGGCGATGAGGCCTCTGAGCGACCCGAGTCGGAAGCTTTGACCTATGATCCTACGGTGTCAGCTTCCTCGGTTCCTTCGAGGCGCGCTGTGCGTCATGACCCGTGGGCGCGGCTGGTTCCTGAACGTCGCCCTCCACCAGGCCTACCTGTTGCACCACGAGCTCCTGGCGGCCATGATTCCCGACCGCCTGGAGAAGACGATCCTCCCGAAGATCATCCTGGTCACCTGCTCGACTTGGAGGCGGCACGGCAGGGTACACCTGGTGCCGAGAGCGGGAAGAACAAGAAGGCCGGCTCAGACTTTAGCTGGAATAGCCGCATGGGCCCCGAGAAGCACATAAAGTGGCGAGGTGGAACCCCACCTCAGCCGCCAGCCTGGCGGTATGATGTGAATGATTTGAGGGCCTTTGCGAAGTGGGCGCGGAAGGTCGAGATCTGGCACGTCCAGATTTCAGTTTATATGCCGCCGAGGGAAGCAGCCTTGCTTCTCTATACGAGCCTGACAGGAGAAGCTGAGGCCGAGCTCGAGCACACGCCGCTCGAGAAGATCAACCACGAGGGCGGCATCGACTTCATCCTCAACACCTTGAAGGCGCCGATGGAGCAGAAGGCGGTATACCAAAAGCGCAAGTACCTGGCAGACTTTGAGCAGCTGAACCGGTACCCTGGCGAGGGCCTCCGCACCTTTGCCAATCGGTACCGACGAGTGGAAAAGTCCCTCGAGGCGCTCGGCGTGGACATCACCGGGATGTATGACTCCGAGGCCAGGGGCAACCGCTTGCTGGAGCGTGCCAGGCTTACCCCTGCTGATCAGCGTCTCATTTTGGTGGGCTCAAGGTACAGTCTGGCCTTCGACGATATATCGGACAGCATGTTCATGCAGTATCCTGAGTTCAAGGCGCCCCGTGATGAACAAGGACGGCACACTTGTGAGCAGAGCCCCAGCCGGGAAGGACAAAGGCGGCGGCAAGGGGCACACTGCCCAGCAGCAGCCGCAGCACCCAGGCGGCAAAGGCCAGCCGGGCAACTTTGGCAAGGGCCAGCCTCCTCGCAGAGTGTTCGTGGCTGACCATGTGGATTCCGAGACGGCCGGCCATGACACCAGCACGGCCTTTGAGGCGATCCCCGAAGGCCAGGCCGAGGACGAGCCAGAGGACCAGGAGGACCAAGAGAGGGGCGATCCGGCCCCGGATGATGGCGATGATGATTCCGAGCTCGAGGACCTTGCCCAGGTCCTCACGGTGACAGCCCGCCGATTGGCGAGCACCCGTCTTGGACGGAAGTACAGCGGATCCAAGGTACCAGCAGCCGAGCTCAAAAAACGCACCAGTTGCGCACCATGTGGGGAAACCGGGCATTGGAGGGGCGATCCAGAGTGCCGTGTGTCCGGCAATAAGGGTTCAGCGTCGAGCAAGCCCCCGGCCGCGAAAGGCGGATCGGCGAAACCTTCAGCAGCGGCGCCAGCCGGCAAGTCAGGCGACCGAGGCGGCAAAGGACAGCCACACCAGACCTTTACGGTAACCCACAGTGATCTCGGCAGCTATGAGCTTTATTCTGAAGAGTACGGCCAGACCTTTGCAGATCCCCAGTACAGCGTGAGCGTAGTGTTTTCGGCACAGATGCTTCATGATGTTGGCTCCCAGTTCGTCGGCTACATGGTTCTAGATACAGCGTGCCAGCGAAATTGTTGTGGCAGGAGTTGGGCGGCGAAGCACTTCGACCTCCTCAAGAACATCAACCTTCAACCGGTCAAGGCCCCGCTCCATGACAAGTTCCAGTTCGGGAAGGGTGCCCCCGTAGAAGCAGATTGCCGTGCATATGTTCCAGTAAGCTTCAACGATCACATCCCGCTGCTGATCGGCACAGGCGTCCTCGATGCCGAAGTGCCACTACTTGCGAGCAACGTGCTGCTCAAGGCCCTCGGCATGGTTCTTGATTTGCCCTGCATGACGGTTACTTTTCGAGCTTTGGGTTGCAGCGCGCCAGTGCATATGATCAACGGGCACTTGTCAGTTCGCATAGATTGCTTCAGCCAACATGCACACCATGATTTTGCTGAGCTGTTGTCCCGCACTTCGTGGCATGACGCACCTCCTGAAGCGATTTTTGGCCAGACTGCAAGGGCACACCACGAGGAGCCTCGGCATGCTTGTGACTCCCCCGGCATGGCTCGTGGGCTGGCGCCGGCTTGTGAGGTCCTTGCGCAACTTCACGACCCACCTGTATGTGACCATGGTGCGTGCGGTCAGGCTGCACATCTGGGACCATCAATGGATGCTGGAGGCTACTCCTCCGAGGCTGGACCCCCAGTTTCAGGTGCGGCAGGACACGTGCCGCCACAGCGACATTCAGCGGTACGGCAATGCAACCGGAAGGTACAGCAGGTGCAAGCTGTGCGGGAAGAGATGGGTGTGGGACTACGCGGTCGACCGATGGGTTCACAAACCATACGCCGCATCTTCGCGCTCATCGGCACTGCCATTGCCCTCTTCGGACAACACCCTGGAGATCCCGCGGCAGGCGCCCCCACCTTCGACTTCATTGCGGGCGGCCCGGGCCAAGACGAGTACGGCACGACCCAGGCCGAGCACAGCAGCACCATCAACGGCATTCGCGCCGACTACGAGGACCCGGCGCTCCCAGGACCACGACATCGACCATTGGGCACTTCTTCACGGACCGGGACCCAGCGATGCCACGGAGGAGATCAGCTCGGAGGAGCTCGACTGGGACAACGTCGCCGCCTGACCGGCGACCTGGAACGTGCAACCAAGGTCTACGAGAAGGAGCTCTCCATTTACGATGCACTTCCGACTACCTGCTCACGGCCCCCTCCCAAAGTCGACATCCTGGAGATCTTCGCTGGAGAGGCCAAAGTGTCGGGCAATGCATATCATTTCGGGCTAAACGCCTGCCAACCTGTCGACTTGCAGTTCGGTTGGGACTTGCGGCAGGAGGATCAACAAAAGGTCGTGACCAACCTCGTGCGCCGATTGCGGCCATGGGCTATCATCGTCGACTACCCCGGCCTTCTGTACAGCGTGCACGCCGAGAACTTGAACTACCACAACAAGCCGGGAGAACTTCTACGACTCCGTGCCGCCGACCGGCCCATGCTGAACTTCGCGGCGGCACTTTGCCGCCACCAACATGATGCCGGCAGGCTCTTCTTCTTCAGCAATCCGAGGCAGAGCAGACTTTGGGGCCAACCCGAGATGGCTTCGCTCCTCAGTTCGCCTGGCATCACCACGACCACGGCGCACATGGGCGCTTACGGCGCCGAAAACAAGCACAACGAGCCGGTGAAAAAGGCGATCCAAATCGCCTCCAACTACCCCGGCCTCGACAAGGACTTTGGGCGACGACTTTCAGCAACCGACCTCCTCTACTGCACGCCTCTCCAAGGACGAGATGCACTACGATCCCAAATTTTTCCGGATGCCTTTGTGAATCAGCTGCTTGCCTCTATCAGGCAGTGGATATCACAACGGGAACCACAACGCTTCGGGTACTACATGGTCCTGGCCCTTGCACGGCCAACTACGGACACTGCTGCCTGGAACCACGTCTTTGAGGAGATCGAGAAAAGCTTCACGGGCACCAGCCGGCGCCCCTACATCGTTGACCCCGACTCCACCTTCGGCAAGCAGATTCAGGACCTCTTCCGCATGGACGCCGTGCGCATCCAGGTGGCCAACACTCCATCGCAGCGCCGCTTCCACTCCGACCTTCCGCATGTGGCCCGAGGTGCAGCGTTGCAGTACATAGACAAAACACGTTCAGTGGAGGTGGAGCAGCTAGATGAAGTTAGGCAGCCCAAAGGCCGTTTCAGTAAACCAGTGCAATTTGCAGTGTTCATTTACGGCACTTCACGGCAAGCTTCGGGAGAGCAGCAACCACCACAGGATGATCCCGGCCCTTCTGTGCCAATCTCCGGGCTCCCGACTGATGTGACGTTTCCGGGACTGAGCGATAAGGTGCCGATTGAGATAAGGAGATCCGTGGCACGCCTTCATGTGAATCTCGGACATCCCAGCTCGCAGGAGCTGAACCGATTGCTTTGCCATCAAGGCGTGCCCAGCTCGGGGGTTCAAGAGTGTGTGCGCAAACTCCATTGCGCCACATGCCAACGTCTTTCGGGACCCCAACAGCCTCGACCTTCGACAGCTCCCAACCTTCAAGCAGGACAGTTCGGCGACTTAGTGCAGGGCGACTTCTTTTGGGTTCGGCTGTCGAGTGGCACAAACGTGCAAGTCCTGGGACTCGCTGACACAGCAACGGGCTATCACCAAGCGGCAATCCTTCGTGAAAAATCCGCTCGGGATGCCTACGATCTACTCCACACCGTTTGGCTGCGACCTTACGGGTTACCAGTTCGGCTACTTTTGGATCCGGACCCCTTGTTTCAGGGAGATTTTCAAGAGCTTCTTTCTACTGTGAACGTGCAGGTGGAGTACTGCCCCGCCGAAGCCCATTGGGTTATCGGCACCGTCGAACGGCGCAACTGCGTCCTCAGGACAATCCTTGAGAAGCTGATCAACGACCATGTGGTGGACGACCTGGACCGCCTGGACCACGTGCTTTCGGCTGCAGTGCACGCCTTGAACTCCTTCGTGACCGTAAAAGGCCGCAGCCCTTACCAGGCAGTGTACGGGAAAATTCCCAGAATTCCTGGAGGATTGTTCACCGACGACGGCTCATTGGCTCAGTCCGTGATGGACCCGGGCCTTGCAGCCGAACGTGCTCGCTCTGAGGCCATTGGCCACCTAGCAGCCATGAACGTGGATCAAGGGCTGCGACGGGCAATCCTCCGAAAGACTAACAACACAAAGATTGAAGGACTAATTACAACCAGGCCAAAAGATTGCTTTTTGGCGTTGGCGAAGACGCGGACTTCGCAAACGCGGTGCCTGGACTACGGGACGGTTCCTTGCTTACGACCCCTCACAGCCGAACAAGCAGTGCTGGATCAGATCCGGCAACAACACCATTTTGGTGGCCATGGAACAGCTGACGTTGGCAGCTGGCTGGGAAGACTGGTGTCCCGACGAGTCAGACATCAAGTGTCTGAAGGACGCCACCCTGGACATCCGCGACAGCATCTTCCAAGATCAACAAGGGCCTCCTCCTCCTGAAGACGAGTTGCCCGACAAAGAGGAGGACATCCTCGACGCGGAGTCCTTACCACCGACTCCGGCAATGGCGCCTGGACCCTCAGTTCCCTTCCTGGTACCGCCAAAGGAGCAGAACACACCTCAGCAACCACAAGCACCACAAATACCACAGCTACAGGCCACCAGAACCGACAACTACAACCTCACACTGAGCCCTACTTACCAGCAGAACACCTACGTCCAGAGCTTTGGTGACCCCTCCCGCGCAGTCAACTTGCCACCGCGAACTCCGAGGACACCAAGACAAACACGGAGCCGTTCACCAGCAGCTCGACCTCTACTACAAGAAGGACCCAAACCACCAGCACTACCTGCAGGCGCTTCCTACGACGAGGCGTTGCAGAGCGCAGCCTTTGACAGCGCCGCCTACGACGACGAGCCACCACCAGGCCAGCACGGAGAAGACCAACAGCAGTCGCGACCAACTTCCGCGCAACCTGGTGAGCCTCAACAGGAAGCAGCACCTTCTGAACCACCAGCTGGAGGAGAACCTTCATTACTACCTGGAGACCAACGACCACACAGTTCCACAGCAACGACCTCGCAGGTGCCCAGTTTAGCACAAGGTGACCAGCAGCAGTCACGACCAACTTCCTTGCAACCTGGCCACCCGACGAGCAGTGCTTCTTCAACTTCTAGGACACCTACCGAGGAGGTCCCAAGTTCACAGGCAGCTTCTCAACCTTCTCCAGACGCCGCTGAGGCACCTCCGGTACTACCTCAGAAAAGGCCCTTCGACACTCTGACAACCCTGTTGGCAGACGGCGGCGAGCTACACCGTGTACTACCTGGCGAGACCTTCCACAACGGTGTGTTCGGACCACTACGGCGCCCCTTCTACGAGGCGTACCTGGCTTCAGACCACCGACCAGGAGACGTACCACCGGACAAGGACCCCAGGGAGAGCGACACTAGCGACTCCGACGTCGACAACACCACCAAGGCAGGCGGACGCAAGCTCTCGAGAAGGGAGCTCAAGCAACTTGACCGCGAGATTCCATGGACGGTGATCATGAAGGGCCCCCACATTCAGGACTACTTGAAGGCGGTTGAAAAAGAAGCTGAGTCCTGGAAACAGTGGGACAGTGTGGAGCCGCTGTCACACGAGCAGGCCAAGAAAGTGCTGAACGACAAGATCCTTGTCAAGCGGATCCTGCGCAGCAGAGCTTGTTACAGAGACAAGAGCAGGGGACAGGGGCAAGTTCGACCCAAATGTAGGGTAGTTTGCCTGGGCCATCAAGACCCGGATTTATTCAGTCTTAATCGCCAGGCTCCAACACCCTGCAGAAATAGCGAGCACATCGTTCTGATGATCCTCGTTTCGGGTTCCAACGGTGAGTTCGGCACCACAGGCCACAAGTGGACCGGCTGGCTAGCAGACGCCTCGACGGCTTTTCTCCAAGGACAACAGCCTCAAGAAGAACGAAGCCAGCCTCTGTACATGAGGCCACCCAGTGACGGACTTATCTCTCAGACTCCTCACTGGAAAGCACCGCTGTACCTCATCAAGTCGAACATTTACGGCTTGGCGAACGCTCCTCGCCTGTGGTGCGTGGAAGTGACGACCAGGCTCGTGAAGCTCGGGTACACCCAGCACTCCTTCGACCGGATGGTCTTCTTGAAGAGGGATTCCCGAGGCAACTTGATCAGCATCATCGTGGTCTACGTCGACGACTTCTTGGGAGTTTTCCGCGTCGACTATGACATCAGCGAGGTGCACAAAGCCTTCACCTGGGGAAGTCTCAGCTACTTCGAGCTCAACACTCCTTTGACCTTCAAGGGCAAAGAGCTTACGCTCAGGCTGAACAGCCGGGGAAAACACGTCCTCTACATCTCCCAGGCAGAGTTCATCCGTGGACTCGACAGCGGCAAGATCCCGAAGGACGCGGACTTGGAGCAGCCCTTGACTCCCGAACAACAGGGAGAGCTGAGGTCCGTGGCAGGCTGTTTGCAGTGGCTCTGCGGACAATCTCGCCCTGAGCTGTCTCCTTACGTGTCGCTTAATAGCCTGAACTCACGAAGCAACCTGGGCAACCTCAAGTCCCTCTACTTCGCCCTCGACTTCGCCAAGAGCACCGCCGAGCAAGGACTCCTTCTGCCAGACGTGCCGCTGAACCTAGCAACCACATTAGTTTCGTACAGTGACGCTTCTTTTGCCAACTCCCCTAACGACTTAAAGTCGCAGTACGGAGTTCTAGTGCTCGCCACCACGGCCCACGTGTCCTCGACTCCTTGCCTAGGCTTACTGTTGGATTGGCGTTCAGGAAAGAGTGCCCGAGTTTGTCGTAGTACCCTAGCTGCCGAAGCTATGGCTGCTGACGAAGCTGTAGATCGTCTCCACTACACAAACCTCTTCCTGACCGAGATCCTTACGGGAGAGCTGGCCTACAAGGCAAAACCAGCACTCCGCATGCTTCACGCCGTGGATGCTAAAAGCCTCTACGACTCGCTCATTCAAGAGAGCCCTCAGACCAGTGAGAAGCGAATTTTGGTGAACATTAAGTCTGTGCAGGATAGCTTGGATGCTAGCTCGATTCATTGGATCCCAACTGAGTTGATGCGCGCAGATGGGCTCACCAAACTTTCGGCTGATCTACTGGCGGCACTCCACGAGTGGTTTAAGGCCCCGTGGGTGATCCTCCGACAGGTCAAAAGAAAAATTGACCAGTGATAAAGTTGCGCTTGCATTTTCGCTTGACCTGTCAGCCTTTTCTCCGTCGCCATTCGGCCTAAGATGGGCCCTCTTGAGTCTCTTACCTTTGTGCGAGAAGCGGAAACATGTCTTGCTGCGACTGACACGTCTTTTCTTCAGTGCGAGTGTCTTGTCAAGACTATCTGTGATGCTCGCTTGCTCGTGCTCGTTTGTGGATGCAGGATGTGCTCCCAATGGTGGCGGCACTTTGCGGCAACGACCACTCGCGGCAGCTCATCGATCGATGCCGACGACGTGGCTTGCCAGGCACTGTCCACAGCCTAGGACAGCCTTGCAGGGTTTGCGGTAGTCTCACAGACTTTCCTTTTCCTCCCATTTTGGCAAGGTGGTGCCACGTGTATCGCTGACCTTGCAGCACTGCCTTCGGTAGTGCTGTCGCTCAAAAAATGACGGCTGCAGTTCTCGTCAGCACAACTTTGAGAACGAACGAACCAGATCTTCAGAAGTTTGCTCACTGACATCGAAAGAACCAAGTACTCTAAGTGTGCATGTGCCCGTGGGCTCGCAGTAGTCGCAGTGCTGGCATTTTTGAAGGCCCTGGTGGTGGAGAGCTTCCAGACAGCTTCGAGAAGTTGGCCAAGCTTCTGGAGTGCAAAGCGAGACCTCCGAAGGACGGCCGCGATGACGGGCCTTGCAGTGCCTTGCAGCATGTAGGGCTGTACTGGTTGCCCCCCCCCCAACTCGTTGCGTCTTGTTTGTCTCAGCTCAAACTCAAAGAGGAGGCAGCACTGGACTTGCTGAAGCCTGCGCTGAACAATGAGGCGGAGATTGAGCAGGCGCAGAGAGTGTTGGCAGATGTCCAGAACTTCTACATACCACAGAGAATACTGCCGAGCCCACACATCGGAGACGACAGCCTCGCACTCGTCGCGAAGCTGCATCAGCTTGCGGGTGGGCAATGCGCTTCTTTGCTAGGTGTTGTTTTCGTTCTTCTAATCCGATGGCCTTTGGCATCGCTGAGGTGTACAGCGAAGTTGAGCAAGGCTTACTTCCGAAGTGGTGCATTCCTGTGGCGGCCCACGGCCTTTACCTCTCCAGCGACTTCCTGTCGGACCCAGCCGTGGGTTCCTGCAAGATGACTCTCCTCTTAAAGCTGAAGAGCTGTGCATTTGGATTGCTGGCGCCTCCCTCTCCTGGAGTTCCTTGCCCTCCCATCACGATTGGGAGCCTCGGTCCGTGCACACCATCGAGCCCTCGGGACAAGTGGGGCAATGTCCAGGTCCGCATCCTGGGCAAGTCGGAGCATGCCAGCTTCGACGACGTCCAGAAGCCCTTCGGTTGCTCGCCCTTTTTCGAAGCTTCTGCCGTAGTCCTGTGCTCCTGTCCTGTGCTTCTGTCCCAGCCCCCTTTTTCGTCCGCGAGGCTACCTGGGAAGGCTCGGTGGCCTCAGGGCGCAGCCGCTCCGCTCGCGCTTTGCGCTTCTGCGGCTCTTCGTGGAGGCCAGCTTCCGCCTGGAGCTTTCCGAGGCTTCGCTCATTGACTCCGAGGTGTCCTTGAGCACGCTGCACGCTTTGGCCTTGCGCTTCACGGCGGCCATGGCGCAGGAGCTCAAGCTTCAGGAAGCCGACTTTGATGCCCTCCTTGTGACTTCTTACATTTTGAAGAGCACGATCGTGCCCGAACTGGTGGATGCTCCCGACTTCTCGAGCCGCAGATGCGCTGACTTTCGCTGTCTGTGCCTCGGCGCTTGGTTTCAGAAGGTGATCTCCTCAGTGCTGGACCTAGCAAAGCTCCTGGATGTGGCACCGACCGTGAGACCGGCGAAGCTCTTTGACGGCCGGCTCTTTCTCCACGTCTTGCGAACCTTCCGAGAGAGAGGGGGGCCCGGTCCCGGGGAGGCGGAGGCCGCTCCGGCTGTGAAGCCTCGCGCTCGGCGTGGGAAGATGGGCCCACGGACCGGCGAGGTGACCGAGGTGTACCAGGCGCCTGTGAGCCTGGATCGCTTGGATGCGGAAAACCTGGTGAAGCTGCGGACCAGTGCGGAAATGAAAGCGTGGCGAGATGAAGTGTTGCGAGGGCTGGTGGTGCAATTTCTGCCCTCCATACCGCAGGCGGCCCCGGCCAGCTTGGCAAAAGATGCCGTGATCGAGGACAGGTTCACGGGATCGGCCGAGCTGCCTATCACTGCACGCAAGGCAGAGCTCTGCAGAGACCTTCTGGAAAGTCGCGTGACTTGCGTTCATGGCGAAACAGGATCCGGCAAGAGCACACAGGTCCCGCAGTACATCCTCGAATGCTTCACAAACGCTCAGGTGGTTGTCACACAGCCCCGTCGAATGGCCGCGATCAATTTGGCCAAGCGAGTCGCAGTGGAGCGTGGGGAACATCTGGGTAGAACTGTTGGGTATCGGATTGGTGGAGACAGCATGCCTGGCTCGCAGCTGAACTTCGTGACCACGTTTTCGACTCAGTTGAATCGCAGCACTGTAGCATGGTCGATAAAAGTCCGTGATAGGCTACGCATCTTACCTCGCTTCGTGTCTGTGTCTCCCTCCCCCTCTCTCTGTGTCTCTCAGTCGGCCCAAGCGATCTGAAGTAGTAGGGAATGGCCACGACAGAAGCCTAAGTCTAAGTGTCCTGTCCTCCCGCATCAATCAGGACGACCGGCCCGCCGAGTTTTTTTTGTTCTCTTCTCTTGTCGGAAAGTCTCGTTGAGCCAGTCACACATGCTTAGCCACTAGAGGGCTTGATGTCTCACGCCGGCAAGAGCACACTCTTCTGCCCCGTACACCGATGTTCCTTCGAAGAAGGCTTGATGATGTTCGGAACTTGTGCATATTTCGTTTTTCAGAGACCCTACGGTAAATCTTCTGCAAGCTGCCTCTGATTTCCCGTGTACGTCCCGACGTTGTTTGGTGCCTCGGGGTTTGTGTCAGTGGGAGGAGAGTTGCGAGGGAGTCCAGCAGCAAGCGAGAAGAGCCGAGGGCAGTGAGATCGGTCTGTTGTAGACTCTACACTCTACACCTTGTCGACAGTCAGTGCCTGCCTGCACTGCGTATGCACATATGTGAATGTGTGGCTTGCTCTGCAGGGGCTGGCTGTTGAGAGCCTTGGTGAGCAGTCCAGAGCGGATTGGCCAGCTCACGCATGTCGTCTTCGACGAGATTCACGAGCGCTCGGCCGACGCAGACTTCTTGAGCATGGTGGTCCGCTTGCTGCTTCACCGCTCTCCGACTGTGCGCCTCGTGATCATGTCTGCAACCCTCCAAGCGGATGTTTTCCGTTCCTACTTCCAGCAGCTGCAGCCTGAAGCCTCGGATATACCTCTGGTCGCAGTGGGCGGCCGCTGTTTCGACGTTCAGAAGGTCTTCCTCGATGACATCCGGGACTTCTGCAAGGGCAAGAAGCTGAGCAAGCCGGGGCAGGTCGCTTTGTCGAAGTTACTCTTGAAGTTTCAAGAACGCAAGTTCGAGAACAACAGCTCCAAGAACTTGTCTGACGTCTTGCCCGTTGCTACACCGCTCATTCTCGACCTGCTGGCCTCTTTGGCCGAGCCGGGCTGCACAATCCTGGTCTTCCTGCCTGGCCTTGAGGAGAGCCGAAATTATCAAGCTGTGAGGATAGAAGCAGGCAGCTTGAGTTGCATGCATGCTTGCGGCCATGCATGCTTGTGTGTGTGTGTGCGTCTGTGGGCGGGTTCGGCTCGTTACATGAAACAAGAAGCGAAGCGCTTCAAAGCAGGGCATGGCCAGGGCGGGTGCATGTGTTATTGCGCCTTCATGCAGGCACACAGCGGCAAGAATCCGGGAAGGACGAATGTTTGTGTGGGCAGTTTACGTATGCATGTGCATGCCTGACTGAGGTTTCGTGCACTTACACGATCGTGGTCGTGATAGCTTGGACTTCATGCGTGAGTGTATTTCGTACTGTACTTCTGCTCATGCGTGTGGAGTTGCGTCCGATGTCATAGATGTGTTCGTCATGATTCTAGGAACAGGTTGCGTATGACATGTGTTGCTTTGAGCTTTGGATCTGTTCGCATTGGCAGATGTATGCATGCATGAACTTGGGTAGACAGATGGACGGATGGATTGACAGACAGACAGGTGGATAGATGGAGTGGAATGGCTTGAGATTACGTACGTGTGCACCGGTGTATTCATTGCCACTTGCCCTCTCGGGTCGTGTGCTTGAGATCAAAGCATGCTTCTCTGCTGCGACTGAGTACTCTGCGACCCTGACGGCAGGAGATAAGCAATTTGTACGACGACTGCCAGGCTTACCTGCACGCGAAGGATGGTGCATTGGCCGACTCGGAGGAGGCGGACCCAGAGCCTGAGCCAGGATCCCCCGAGCAGGCGCACTTGGAGCTTAAGGCTTTCGCTATGCACTCGCAGATACCTATGGAAGACCAACTGGGGGTCTTTAAAGGCCCAGGTCCACGGGCATGCCACCTGGTCTTCGCCTCCAACGTGGCAGAGAGCTCGTTGACACTGCCAAGCGTGTGCGCAGTCCTGGACCTGGGTTTGATAAAGCAGATGGTCTACGACCCACGATTACGGGTGTCGTACCTGGCGCTGCGGTGGACAAGCCAAGCATCCGCCCATCAGCGAGCAGGTCGTGCAGGCCGAACCCGAGAGGGAACCGTTGTGCGGCTCTACCCACGAAACTTCCATGAAGGAATGGTGGCTTTTGACCGGCCGGAAACTTCTTCCTTGCCGTTGCCAAGATTGTATTTGCAAGCCAAGCAGCTGGCATGTGATTTGGGGGAGGGCGATCTTGCCGGAGGTGCCTCCGCAGTTTCTGTTCTGGAAGACCTCGTTGACCCACCAGACCTTGCTATTGTCGAAGTTGCCCGCCAAGAGCTCGCAGAAGGCTGTGCTCTTGCCGCATGTGCGGAAGACGCGGACATCACCACCCTGGGGAGACTCTGCTTGCGGCTTCCCTTCGAGCTGGCTCTTTGCCGCCTTATCTGGATGAGCTGTCATTGGGGCTGTGCCGCCGATGGAATTGTGCTGGCATGCAGCATGGCCGTGCAGGACCCTTTCTCGCAGCCCAACCCATTGGCCATCACCGATGCCGTGGAGTTGGGGCAGAAACTACGCCGGAGCAATCAGAGCCGGCGTCATTTTGATGGTGGAAGAGCTTCTGAGCCGCTTGCGCTTCGCAGCCTTTTCCGTGAGTTCTACCAAACACTGCGTACTTCAGCCACGGATGGTCTCCTCGGAGGTCGCCGCGCTTGGATGAAGCACGCGAACACAATGGCTTCGAAGCATGCGGTCATCCCCAGGCGTTTGGCAGAGTTCTGCGTTCAGGTGGATGACGTTGCTCAGCGCGTCGTGTGCTTGCTGGCACCTGGCAGTCGAGTGGAACGTCAAGTTCGTCTTCTGCTAAAGGGCTTAGGAAGGGGCCTTGTGGATACCGATGATGCCGGCAGCTTCCCCTGCGAGGCGCAAGAACCAACAGAGTGAGCCGGACAGGGAGAGAGTTCAGAAGTTGAGAGCATGGCATACCTTCCCTTTCTGACACGAAGTTGCCAGGATCTGTGGGGATTGGATGAATGGGTCAATGTAGACAAGAAGCCTACACGCCGTGCAGATGTATTTTCCCCCTTCGTGGAGAACGACGACCTCTTGCGCGGTCTGTTGTCCGCTTGCTTCACGAACCAGCTGGTGATTTCTTCGAAGCACAGCCAGAAGGATCTAGATCTTGCAAATGGCATGGCTCAGCTTGCGGACCCTGCCCGCAGCGCTCTCCTCGATGTGGAGCATCTCAAGGACAACGATGCTCTGCGAGAATCGGCGAACTTCTTGAAGTACTTGTCCCGTCTCAGTGGCGGATGCATGTTTGAGTGTAAGGGGATGGTTGGGAAGCATATTTGCATCCAGTGCGTTGACCCAAGCGCAAGTAGTCTCAGCGAGACATCCAATGAGTCAGAAGAGGAGGATGAGGAAGAAGATAAGGAGATATCAGAGATGCCTGTCGACATCGCAATGGACCTGCACATATTCAACCAATTCACGCGCGGCAAGCAGTCGGTATCATCGCAGATGGACCTGAGTGATATTCAAAGCAGTCACGACTCCCAAAACGAATGTGAAAAGGCTGAGCCAACTCCTATCGTTGTCAAGAAGCCGGTACATCCATACCAGATCAAGTGGCAGGTACATGCAGCGGGGGAGGAAGATCGCAAAGGACGGGCCGCAATGAAGAGAACCGGTTTGCCCGGCTGCTATCATCCCCTGGGCTTCATGTGCGATGTGTCCAAACGCAGCTGGGTGGCCTGCTGTAGCCATGTGCAATACACCCAAGGCAGCATTTGCTTCCTTTCCGGCATGACCCTCCTCAAGCCTTGGCAGGCCAAGCATTTCCTGCTGATGATCGACCCACAAGCTGCAAACGTGGCGCTTCGTTGCACTGCGGATGGATCAGTCAATGCTGTGAAAATGTTTGGTCAACAGCTGCGTATCGATCTCACGAAGGAGGACATGAATTTTGTGGACAGTTTCCGTTCGAGGATGAGAGACGCCTTGCTGAGCTCCGAGAAGCTGAAGGAGAGCCCGCTGAAGTCCAAGTTGCATGACTTCTGCAGGGGAGGCGATTCTACCGAGGGTGGTGCACAGGGCCGCTGGTTTCAACCACTCCGCACTTCAAGCAGCTTACCGGGACTGCAGCCACTGCTTCAGAAGATGGATGCAGAGTCAGAGGCCGCGGCGGCAGCTGAGATGAACCTGCGTGCCATCATCGACTTGATGATGGCTAAGAAGAAGAGAACGACAAGTCGGAAGCTTGCAAAGGAGGCTGGCTGGCCGGAGGAGCAGTTCGGCCCCCTCGAAAAATTTTTGTCGCAGCGCCCCCATCTCTTCCGTCAGGATGGAAAGAACTGGAAGTCTGTGAATTAGCTCTTTGTCTCGACAGTCTCAGCGTGCTGTGTATACTTCTGGTGTGCCCGGATCTATACTATGCGATGCAAGACTGGCATTGGCTTTGTTACAGCGCCCTTGTCCCCTCCAAAACCTGATGCTCAACGCTTCAAGTGATGAGCTGTTGGAGATTGTACAGTAAACAACTGGGGGCCAAGATGATCTTGACAACATCTTGATGATTATCTCTGATATTATAATTCGACACGATTCGGTCGGATATATTCGGTACTTTTTTCAAATCGCCTCACGAGATAAATTTTATCTTGTGATATAATCTTCAGGACATTATGAAAATTACGATAGTAGTAATGAGCCGCGGGCCGCGCATAAATTATCCGGAGACTTGATTTTTCTAGGCCAAAATCTCCGCCCCGTTCCCCGCAAATACGTGCGTAAAAATCGAAAGACGGAACGTAGGTTTGGCGAATTTATAATGAGGAGAGAGAGAGAGAGAGAGAGAGAGAGAGAGAGAGTAGCCATTTTGGCTCAAGTGGTTCAAGGACCGAGGGGGCCGCTCCGCCCTTTTCTCCCTCTTCTCCACTTCACGCAGGCCCCCCGGATCCTCAAACCCGGCCGCCTGCACTCTTCTCTTGCCAGTCTCTCTTCTGACGCGATTGCTGCGGGGGGACATCAAATAGTCTGTGTTCTTCCAGCTCCCCGCTCCTGCCGGTGAGATCGGTGTGCAACAATCCACGACGTGAACCGCTGCGGCCGTGCCCCTTCGGGACTTTGACGCTAACGCCGTCTTCGTGATCGGCGACACTACAGGAGTTCCTGCCAGAGAATACGATTCGGGAGTACCTTCCCACCACTTGTTCCCGGGGAAGCCCCCGCGCTTTCCATCGTCCCGACCGCCATGGCAGGGAAAGGCAATGGAGCCGCAGACCAGATGGACCAGGACTCGCCTCAGCGCAAAAGGGGAGCGCCTCCTGAGCCCGAGCCTATCAGCCTGGAAGCAATCCGTGAAGTTGTTCGCGGTGAAATTCAAGGCGCTGTTTCAGGAGTGACCGACCGAGTCTCTGCACTGGAAAGAGGACTTCAAGCCCACAACGACCGCACTTTTCAGGCCGTCGAGACACTCTCTTCAGCTCAAGCTCAACAAAGTTTCCGCCTGGAAGAACTTGCCACCGATGCAAAAGAGATTTCCGGCAGGCTTTCCTTCCTCGAAGGCACAGTCAAGCACCTGCAATCTTCGGGGAGCACCCCGTCCACCGCTGATTCGGGGAGAATCCCAGCACTCGTGATGGGTGGCTGGCCTCCGGACACTTTGGCCAGTGAAGTGATCCAAAAGGCCAATGAAATGGCCCGAGATCTACAATTGCAGTTGAATCTTTCTGATGCCTTTGTTCCAGGAGTCAGACGAGGCTTCGTTCTCATTCCTATTGCTCCCAACTCAGATGAATCCGACGAGGCTATGAAGCAGCGTGTGCAAGCTTGCATCCGCCGTGTCAATACGGCAAATGTTACACTCGGGCGCAAACCCGACGGCAATCCAGCCAAATTGTGGCTTTCCATCAGCCAGCCACCTGAGCGCCGCCGGCGCGCCGCACTTGCAGGAAAAGTCAAACGACTGATCATTGAGGCAGGGGGTCTCCCCTCGCTGCACCGCATTGAACCCGAGTGGGCCACAGGTACAGTCTGGTTCAAAGACGTTAAGGTCTCCTCAGGTAGCAGCGCGGCCCCTCACGGCGCATCCACTGCGGGATGCGGCTGGATCGATCTCTCAGCCATTGCCACCCAGCTTGGAATTGAGCGCAGTGCCCTGGAAAAAACCTGGGAGCCGCTCCTTGCGGCGCTCCGCTGATTGGACGAGACCTACCAGGCCGAAGGGGAAATGGCCCCTTCAACGTGTCACTCTAACGTGCCTGAGCCGCGTCAACATGAGGCGGCGACCTTGCCCTTTGCAACCTGGAACCTGGGGGGTTTGAGCCCAGAAAAAGTGCTCGATTTGCTCACCGGTTTCCACGGCTGCCCATCGCTTTCAGCCCTTCAAGTGCTTTTTCTCCAAGAGATTACAGTCACAGTAGGGGGTGGCCCTTTCTTTGAAGCTAATGATGTTTGGGTTCTTATCCATGGGAAACTACCCACCGAGTGGCGCGGCTGCGGCATTGCCTACCGCAAAACCCTCGGCATGCATGAGTCCTCGTCTCTCTGCATAGCAGCGTTGAGCACTGTGCTCCGCCAACCAAACGCCAAAACCATCGGGCTCCTTTCAGGTCATGTATCCCACAGATTCACAGTTGAGAGGACAGCCGAAGCCTTGCAGGCATGGGAACAGATGCCTGCCCTCAAATGCGGCAAAATTATTTTGGGGTTTGATGCTAATGAGACCTTCCTCCAACCTGGAGGTGAATTAGGCAACACTACTTTGTCCTGCACAGCTAGGGGCGAACAAATCCTGCAGTGGTGCCTCGAACAAGATGTTCATTTGCCGTTGCAAAGCATGCACATCCCCTCCCATTTCCCGTATAATCCCGAACTCTCCGCGAGGCGACTTGATTACATTGCCACTAGGGGTGTAAAAATCTCTGAGGCTAAGGTTCTTCCGGCCCGAGACAGAGCATCGTCTGATCATGAGCCGATTGCCGCTACTGCGCATGTTCCCCATCCCTCTCCCGTCAAGCTGGGAGTCGTGTGGTGTGCCCGGCAGCTCAAGGCCGAATGCCATTCCTTGCTAGACGGCTTCAACAGCACAGCAGCCGACCCTCACCATGCCATCGCTGAAGTGGCAGCCTGTATTACGGAACCAGCCCACCGTTCCCTTAAATTCCACGAGAGTAAGCACCTTAAATCCCTCAGGCGTGCAGTTCGGGGAATTCCCCCAGGACCAGACAATAGAAAAGCTTGGAAGACCATCTCCAAAGAACTGCAGCGTGAACGCAAGGCTTGGAAGGCAGAACTCGCCGATCGAGCCGGCTCCCATGACTGGAATGCGCTAAGATCTCTTAAAGCAAAGAGCTCCAAAACCGACTGGGCTGCCTCCCTCCTGGACGACCCGGGATGGACCCACAAGCTCAGCGCGCACATGTCCTCCATCTTTTGCAAGCAATTGCCAGAGGTGACCAGAACCTCTATGCAAGCCATGCGTGACCAAGCCACCCGCATGTGTAAAGTCACGCCATGGAAGCCCTTCACGGAAGCAGAGATGCGTGTCACTATGGCAAAGTGGAAAAACCACAAAGCCACAGGTCCGGATGGCATTGCTCTAGAAGCGCTCAAGCTGCTCTTTGAACACGACACTTGGCGGCCCAAGCTTGCCGAATTGATTAATGACAGCCTCTACAAAGGGGAATTGTCCCCTTGGATCCTTGCAGGTGCCTCAGTGCTCCTCCCGAAAACGGCACAACCTCTTTCCTGGTCCGATACCAGGCCGATAACTTTGTCTAGTGCCATTTTGAAATGGGTTGCACAGTTGCTCCTCCTGAGGGGCTCGCCCCTGCTGCAAGACTGTTGTCACAGACAATTTGCAAGCAAAGGCAAGCAAGGAGTTGAATTGATACTTTCTTTGCGAAAGTTGACTAGGGTTGCACACGAATGGAACACCCCTTTCTATGTGGTTAAGATAGACATCGCCAAAGCCTTCGACAGCATAGCTCAAGAAAAGCTTGCGGACCTTGTTATGCGCAAGATTGCCTGCAATGGATGCCAACCCTGGGAAGCGCGCTTATGGCTCAGCCTATTAGAGGCCCGAGAACTGAACTTTTGGGTGCAGAAGTACAAGGTCACGGTGAGCCAAACAAACGGCATGCGACAGGGCAGCCCAGACAGTCCTGTTCTTTTCGCAGCCGCCATAGGGGAGATTTTGGATGCAACCCTACGTGCAGTCAACGGCGGTGGCCCGCCGCATGTGGGCAGGCACGCGCACCTTGAGCCGCCCCCCCACTCAGGCTCCGCCTTCATGGACGACACATATGTATGGGGAGAATGCCCCAAGTATGTCCAGAAAGTCCTGTGGGAGCTTGAAAAATCGCTCCTGTCTCTGGGGCTCAAGATCAATGCCAAAAAAACCCATGTCATCTCCAACACGCCAGAAGACCCCTTCCGCTTTGTGATAGGGGGAGTCCAGGTAGCCCCTGATGGCCCTGATGCCATTATGACCATCCTAGGTTCGCCTATCAGCATGTCCGGGGATGTCGCCCCAATCGTCGCTGAAATGCAAGGACGTGCCAGAAGGTCTTTCCACATGCACCGAAAGATCCTGTGCTCGCGAGCTCCACTCAAGGAGAGACTCTTGTTACATCAGTGCCTAGTTCGGGAAGCCGCTTTGTGGGGTTGCCCAGCGTGGCCCATCCAATCCTCACTCCTCCAAGCTACCAACAGCACTCAGCTGTTACAAATTCGATCCATGGTTGGCGGTGCTAGGATGCCGACCGAACGCTGGCATGAGTGGCACATTCGCACCATGCGCAGGGCGAGAGCCCTTATGCACCAGCACAAAATCGTGCGATGGTCTTCCCACACGCTCCAAATGCAATGGAACTTGTGGGGACATGTAGGCAGAGCACCTTTCCAGCCAACCTTCCACATCATGAGGTGGAGAGACCTTACCTGGTGGAAAGACCAGCAGAACCTTACGCCCGGCCCGGCCCCTAAAGGTGTCCGTCACATAGGCCACCATAATCCCCACCGAGACCCCGAAAGGCAAATTGGAGCCATAGCTGGAAGGCAGCGAATCGTGCACTGTGGCTACATCTAGGGGAAGCTTTCCTCGACCAGAATGACCCGCCCTGGGCTTCTGGGAACCAGCTTGTCTTGCCTGGAGCGCCAAACCTTGCGCCTAATAAGCGTAGCCCCGGCCCTAAACCCGCCGCCCATGCCAATCACATTGCCATCCGGGGAGCACCCCGCCGTGTGCTTGCAAGCAACGCCCGCCGTGCTCTGCTGAACGGATGACTGCATCGACAGGAACAGTTGTAGCACTGTCTTCAGGAGGGCAAATTTGCCTCTTTGGCAGCAAACCGGGATGTACCAACCCGACGCAAAACAAGCCTGTCACATGCTTTGTTTGACCCTTTGCATCTTCCTGCGTTCAGTGCTTTTCATGCCTGCCCACGGAGAGCGCGCACATCTTAGCTGTAGTGGGAGTGACTTACAGCGTTCATGTCGGATGCAACCCCATGCCTTGGCCCTGTGCAGCCTGTGATGCTTTTCCCGATGCAACCAACTATACTGCCTGTCTTCAGCCCAAGCCTGCAGCCGAGATCGACGATCTCTCCACGAGGCCTTTTCGGTGTCGACTGCCATGGGCTCTGCGACCGCCGCCGCCCCCCGGACTCCCTGGATGCGGCGAACATGCGGCCTGAACGCAAACAAGGTGGGCTTCCTTTTGGGAGCATCTGGCATGCTGATCCTTACATGCTGCGCGGGAATGCCCTCCTCACACCCTGGAGGGAGAGATGCACAACCGGAGGACAGTGATTCCTCGGACCCTCCGCTCGCTCCTCCGGAGCTGCCGAGTGAAGAGGACCTGCCCATGCATGTCTTCGGCCTGCAGCAGGACGCTTTCAGCACTCAATCTACGAGTGGTGACCATGACAAGGAAGCAATGCCGACCTACCCCGACCATGATCGAGATCACAATCCAGCACTACATGATGGAGAAGTCGCCAACCTGCCGGTTTTGCGCCGCGGGGGCACCCAAACAATACCTGAACCACATCCTGCCCAAGGGGAACGACCCCCTAGAGGAACCATGCAGCAAGACTCCCGGTTCCCCGCTCTTTTCCGACATGAAGCTACTACTTCCCCCCAATCGTCGCGGCCCTTGAGTCCCCCCTCGGCGAGCAATGATATTCTTCTACCACAACAAGCACCTCCCCAACAACACCCTGAACACGATCAAGCACTACCGCAACGGCATCCTGCTCAACATCACGATCCTCGACTACATGATCCACGCCAAGAACCAGCGCTTTCTGCACAACTTCACCAAGAACAACCATTTGCTACTTCCGCGAGCTCTTCGTCGGCGACTACTGACCCTACGGCCCACGCGGCATCCGACCTGATGCCACGAAGCCAGGACACTCTCCAGGGAAAGGACCCGCCGCTCGATCTACCTCTACCCCACCCACGACAAGGTGCTGAACAATTTCCCCGAGGAGCTCAACCAAGTGCCCTACGACATGGCTTTGCCAGGGGTTTCCCTCTACCCTACTCGGCCGACACCGACCCGTGGCACAACGACGGCTATATCACCACACAGGAACTGGGATATCTTCCAGAAGGACACGACCCTCCTTTACCGTTGGAGCAAGCACAACAACCTGTTGCAGCCTCGACGACACCACCTGAACTACCTCCAGAACGACAATCACCCACAATGGACCCCTGGAACTTTGTGGCCAGACGCTACGCGAGTGAAGGGCCCATCCTCCCACCGCACCTGTGGTCGCACAATCCATTGGGACTACATGCACTACCCCATCCTGACCATCAACAACCTCCAACAGCTGATCCTCTACAGATGCCAGCGCCAGTGCAGAACGACGAGAACACCCCAATGTCCTCGGCGACCTCATCTACATGTGCGCCCGATGACACACCGCTACCGCAAGAACAACAGATACCACCCCCAGAGCTAAGCAGGGACACAGATGCAACCGCTTCCCCGCTACCGTCTGCGACGCCGATTTCTCCCGAGGACATCGAAGATGGCGCCACCGACAACTTTGACAACGCCGAGCCCACTGCACACCAAGGTACTGTCGCAGCTGCAGAAGCTCATCAAGCCGCTGGGGACGCAAGCCACAACGACCATACCAACCCCGACGACAACAGTGACGATGGCTCATCCGGAACAAGTTCCAGCTCAAGCTCCAGTGGGGACGAACCCCAACGTGATCCTGGCCTACCTCCCAAGCGACGCGCAGGACATGGAAGCCAGCGAGTTAAGAACAAAGGGCAAAAAACTGACATTAAAGCCCTGTGGCACCAGCTGAATTGGGGAGATAAACCCCCGTGGCTTTCCTGGCGTCGAGCTCTCCCTTACATTCAGAGAGGGGAGAAACCCCCTTGGCGACAACCTCGACTTCGACCTGAACATGGCGACATGCTAGCAGCACTCAAAAATGCGCAGAACTACGAAAGGGATGCCACTGGCAAAGTGATTCCTCGTAGCTCGGCGTCCAGCTCTACCAGTTCGGCAACGACACAACAAGACCTTCCTCGAGACGCCGCTCCGACGAGACCCAGCCAAGACTCAGGTTCGAAAGCCAACACAGCAGCTGCAGAGGACCACAAGCGCCGCCAGGCTTCCAATCCCTATCTACAGCCTCCCGACCAACGCCCAACAGCTACCGCATCGACTTCTTCCTCTTCGCGTGAAGTACAACCCTCACCAAACCATCTTCAACGAGATGACGACAGAAGGGAGCCGGGCTCGCCTGGGGATAGCCGCCCCGAACCTCAGCCACCACGTCCTCGAGTGAGTTTCCAACTACCACACGACCACCGTGAACTACCACCCAAGCCAGCGAGAAGACAGCCAATCCTCAGGAAATTGGCCAATAGCTCCCACACGCAGCTGCGTATCGACGGTGTGCACCGCAACCCCATCATCTTGGTGGACAACAGACCTGCTTCTTTGCACCAGGACACGGCGGACTACATCGACATGTACCACAACCGAGAACATCTAGGGCCAGGGCAAATGCAAGGAGCACCTCTCTTCTATCCACCACCTCCCTTGAAGAGGAATGCCAGCTCGAGTGCCAGTTCAAGCTCCGAGCCACCGGGACAACGCGCCGACTCCCGCACCGCTACGCCAGCCAACATCTCCGACCTCGAGGTAAGGGCAGCGACTGCAACTGAGCCGGGGAAATCCCCCAGACTGACAGAGATTGAAAAAGAAGGGGATAATTCCCTCCAAAGCACGATCCGTGTGGGAGCCAACACACAAGATCACTCATGGCTTTGGGGAGCAACCCCCGCTACTATCCCTCCTGCAGTCCCGCTCGATGTGGCAAACGTGCTCACCCTTCGCAGCTCCTCTAATGGTGCTTGGCGCGGTGTTGTGTGGACACCACAGCAAAGGGATCAAGTCCGCCATCCTGGACGCCTGCGCTCCGAGCCCACCGCGGTCATCTTCAATACGCTTAGTGGCTATGCCGAAAGAGGACCGACCCTGGCTCCCAGGACCAGACTGACCCTTACACCAGTGGGACCCTGGATCGCTACGACCAGAATAGAGCTTGGCTTCGCAAGAACACCGAGGTATTGGCTGGTCCTAATTGACGAGGCGCCACCACCTGATACTACACAGGGGTGGATCCCCCTCAGCAATGGCCAAAGTTTCTGGTTGGAGTGGAAAGGTCAGGACAGGCTCTGGTCCCGCAGACCGCGCTTCGAGGATGACATCCGACGACTTGGTGGCCCTTCTGTAATTCCACCACAAGAGCCACCGCGACCGCCAACGCCGCCAGAACGACGTGAACCCACCGGACCTCTTCAACGGCAACAACGATCGAGCACCTCCGGCCGACCACGAGCTCCACCAACTCCACTTGAACTTCCTGAAGACCCTCGCCAACGTCCAGAGCGACCACAGCCACGACCTCATGCACGACCGGAGCGGAGCCCCAGACCAACAACAACCGGCTCGGAGTCCGAAACAAGTTGGCCAAGTGAGAATGACTCCACCGCCATGATGCAATCCCACAACAGCCAGCTCAAGCCCGCGAGATCTGCCCGAGAAGATGAACAACAAGGTGGCGAGGAGGCAGACACACCGGGGGCAGCCTCGTCTACAGACGCTTTTGGCCTGCCTCCTGAAGCTGATCAACCCCAGATCCTGGACAACCTCGAAGCCGTGCTCCATTCACTGCTTCAACAAAGTTTTCTTCAACCACGTGAGGACGTTACCACCTTGGCATACAAGGCGTGCGCCAGGCTTCACCGTCTTCGGCAACTTCTCACAACGTCAACGAGACCTTCGACCACTATGCCGAACACCATGCAAGAACCGTGCCACAACCCTCTTGCAGAAGTACAAGTACACCTTCGGCAGTTCCTGCACAACCTTCATACTCTACCCCTACGAGCACAACGACGACACGCTGACCGGCTCCGCGAAATCCTGGACAAGATCAAAGAAGACCTGAAGCGAGCCCGGGGTAATTACCCCGAAGCAGCCTGGACCTCAACCGAAGCAGGTCTCAAAACTTCAATGGCGCGCAAGCCACCTTTCTCGACTTAGCCATCGAAGAAGGGGGCATGGCTACAATCCAAGAGGCGGCGGAAACCCTGTTGGCAACGATTGACCGCACCGCCTCCTACATGGACCGGTGTATCGCCCAACCACTGCCACCTCCACCTTCGCTTCCTCCGCGAGTTCGAGATCCACCTGCACTACCTGCGCCACCAGGACTACCTGCCGGAGAAGATCCAGCCCAACGACGTCATATAGGGGAATCCACCCCTTATCAGGTATTGCGTGCACAGCAAATCATCGAGCAGGTTATGCCCTTCCTCGAGCAAGAGACCGCAGTTGCTCTGGCAGAAGCTCACCACTTATTGTTCTCGTGGACAGCTGCACTATGGGGTTCTCCCATTTACCTCGTCGACCACAACATTGAGGAGACGGTGGAACCCAATGCTGCCAGGAACAACACCAACAATGATGAAGCGCAGGCTGAGGGATCGGCCTCGGACGCGCCAACGCAAGCTTTCAGGTCTCGCAGTCCGAGACCGCGTGTGCCACCTAGAGGAGGGCCACCAGCCTTGGCGCGAGCATCGTCCCACCGACGCAGACGACTACATGCTGCCTTCTATGGCACTCCTGAAAGTGATCACGAAGCTGAAGATGCACAGGACTGAGGACCTCCGCCTGATTAGGGAAAACCCCTAGAGCCAAGAATTTTGGTACAAGAATCACCTGGCATACTGTGATCTCTTTCAAAGTTTGTTATTTTCCCGTGTGTTCCTTGTTGCTGCCCGTGTCGAGCCAGGTCAGTAGAGACTTCCGCAAGCTTACAAGCAACCCTGCGTACGGCCTTGAGTAGTACACATGTCGTGGTCTTTTCCACCTTGTTGCTGTGAGCGAGCCAAGCCCGGGAAGAACAAACTCGTGGAAACAGGGGGACGCCCCTCGTGCATCCAAGGTTCAGTCGACTGCTTAGCCACCTCTTATCTAGATACCTATTTCTGTTTTGGAGGTTGTACTTTCCTGTGATGGCTAAGTAAACGCGAACCTTCTCGAGAACAACAGCCGCGACGAACTCCGCTGCCACGAGAGCAACTCCTGCTCTCAAAGCCTGGAGCCCTGTGATATCTTATTTAGTTCTTCCAATGTGTTCCTGTTCAGAGCCTGTTCATGTGTTGCTGACCTCGTCCAACCAGGCAAGTAGTAACTAGTTGTAGTCCAACTTTTGCTGCGTGCAAGCACTCCTTACAAGTGCCATGTCTCACCGGCTCTTTGCTCGCGACCAAGGGAAAACCTACGGAAGCTTACGCTTGAACAACAGGGGAGCACCTCTTTGCCTCCATAGCAGCCCTTGAAGGCATAACAACGCCTTCCGCTGCTAGACCTGGCGTCCTGTGATCTTTTCACCTGTCTGTTTCTGTTCTGAGTCAGTTCTTTTGTTGCTACCCTTGTTGAGCCAGGCAAGTCTCAGCCCTTCAGTCCCTAAAGGAAGCAGTGCTGCACGTGTGCATCTCTCAGGTTTTTCTAGCTGCCCGACACTCTGTGCTTTTTAGCTGTTACTTCTTGCTTGGCCAGTCAGCACAGACCCCAGCAAGCTTCCCCTGAAGCATACCCACGGCAAGTCTCACAGAGTTTTTCTTTGACAAGGGGGACGCCCCTGGACGACAGGATGTGCTGGAACCTACCCGTCTTGCTCTGACCCACGTCCTTTTGTTGTTATCATGTTCTTTCTAAACCGATTCCAGAAGCACACCGACGTCGATCCTTGCCACAAATCTAATTCGATTGCCCGAAGTCACAGGGGAATGCCCCTCTTCCCACAGTCTTTTTCCTAGTCACTGTCATCCTCTACAGTTCTGTATTCCCCCGAAACCCGCCCTGTACTTGTTTTTTCGAATTGCAGTCGCTGAGGGAAGCTGCGCTTAACTACAGCATGCAGTGCCGAGGGCATGTGGTTGCAACTTGCTCACCCCCCACCAGTCGGGGGCGCTGACGCGCGCGGTGTAGAGGGAAACCTCTACACCATAGCCCTGGCGAAAGAAAGAGAGAGAGAGAGAGAGAGAGAGAGAGGAAAAGAGAAAGAATAATCATGAATAATTTTAGTTCGTCTGCACTCCCTATATCTCGTGTATCAGAATCTACGGATAGATTTGAAATTAGGGAAGCCTTAATGAGCCTATCCTACGAGAGAGAGAGAGAGAGAGAGAAGAAAAGACAGAATATAGAAGAGAACAAAAGAGAGAGGAGATAGATTAATGAATAATAGATCTTTTATTCTGATTTTCTTTCGCTTCTCGCGCTAAAATCGAATATATATGCCATGTGTAGAGTTTGGCAGGCTTGGGTGCACATGGATCATCTGCGATCGATATTATGCCTTTTGGTTCAAACCTTGGTAATTGAGCCAAAAAGGCAGGACTTGTTTGCCATTAGCTCGCGGAGTCGACCCGCTTATTATGGCACATGTCTTTGATCAGGAGTCACCTGAGGTCTTCGCCTACGTTTTCAGCCGCTTCGCGGTCCATACCGAGGCCCAGGTGTTGCACCCAGCGGCCATGCTGGATCTCAGGGCCCAGCTTCGGCTTTTGGTTTCCGAGGGTCGGAATGTGGATGCAGCCAGGCTGTGGGCATCAGCCCTTGAGATCCAGCATTACCCTCCCCCCCCTCCACTGCTTGACGGCTTACCTGCAGGTCTGCCACCTATCCGCACGGTCCCGTGTGTCGTCCCGGACTGCGCCAGGTGCGCCCAGAGCCGTGGAGGGTTTCAGCTGCCTTTTGTGGGTACATTCACACATGCAGCAGCGATTGTCCGCCCAGGGAGTGACCCGGCTCAAGCGTGGAGTGCTTACCATGCATGCCGCTCCTATTTGTCGCCGGGCGATATTACCGCCCTGCATTCGGGCCTTTGGCCTACCGACTTGCTGCCGAACCACCTCTACGCGCTCTTCTCTCGGGTGGCGGAGCAGACACATCTTCGGGCAGCCAGCTCAGCCGAGCTCTGGATTGTGTTCCGGCGGTGGCAAGCTGGGAGCCGAGTGTGGATCGAGCCCGGAGTCGAGGTCCCTTCTTGGGAGGCCGGCCGGGAGGATGAAAGATCAAGGGCACACAGGACCATCTGGCTGTGGCTTGGGGCCGTGGCTTATGGGCCGGGACTATTGCCGGGCGCCACTTCCAGGGTGCACGCGCGCCCGTGTCCAAAGTGCACGCGCTTCTGTGTCCAACCTGCACGCGCAGCGCTGGAAACCTGCGCAGGGCCGAGTCATCCTGCATGCGCCGGGTACGCCCACCCCCCGTGTCCAAGCTGCACGCGCAGCGCGGGAAACCTGCGCAGGGCCGAACTTTCTTGTATCCGGAGGCCATGCAAACACAGACAGAAAATCCATGCCAATGTAGACCAAAGTGCTGGAAACCTGCGCAGGGCCGAGTCATCCTGCATGCGCCGGGTACGCCCACCCCCCCTCGAAGCCGTGTCCAAGCTTAAAATCCATACCAACGCAGACCAAAGTACTGGAAACCTGCGCAGAGCCGAGTCATCCTGCATGCGCCGGGTACGCCCTCCCCCCGCGTCCAAGCTGCACGCACAGCGCGGGCAACCTGCGCAGGGCCGAGCTTTCTTGTATCCGGAAGCCATGCAAAGAAACCTGCGCAGGGCCGAGTTATCCTAGAAAATCCGTGCCAATGTAGACCAACTTCTGCAAGTACACACGAAATCCTTCTAAGAATTCAGCAAATTATAGTGTATTTTCTGTGGCTAACCTGCCCGCGCAGTGCTGGAAAGCTGCGCAGTGCC